TTTTTTTTTTCTTTCTTTCTTGCCTTTCTTTCCTTTTTATAAATCAATTTTTTTTTATTCCTTTTTTTTTTTTTTCTTATTTTTACTCCCCACATTCCTCACAGTTTTTAAATAATCAAAATGGTTAAGGCTGGTATGTACAAGACTCTTCTTTTCTATCACAATTTTGCCAATTGGCTAATTATCGCTATTCTTTCTTAGTCGCTGTCGTTCGTGGTGATTCCACAGTTAAGGGTACTGTTACTTTTGAACAGGCCTCCCCTGAGGACCAAGTCAAGGTTTCTTGGAACATTACTGGTAACGACCCCAATGCTCTTCGTGGTTTCCACGTCCATCAATTTGGTGACAACACCAATGGCTGCACTTCTGCCGGTGGTCACTTCAACCCCTACGGTAAGACCCACGGTGCCCCCGAGGACGAGAACCGCCACGCCGGTGATCTCGGTAACATTCCAACTGATGCTGAGGGTGTTGCTGTTGGCTCTAAGAATGACAGACTTTTGTCTCTTTTCGGTGAGAACTCTATTCTTGGCCGTTCTGTCGTTGTTCACGGCGGCACTGATGACTTGGGCAAGGGTGGCCATGCCGACTCTCTCAAGACTGGTAACGCCGGTGGCAGACCCGCTTGCGGTGTCATTGGTCTGTCTTCCTGACTGCCCAGCAAGCCCGCTGCTTCTACAAGCACTGGTTCCTCCACTACCCCATCTGCAACTAATGCATTGGAAAGCGGAAGTGCTGGCTGCCTTAAGATTTAATGAAATGTAATGACGAGTTTTTAAATATAATGAATTGTTTGTGTTAAATTTTAACGTATTTATATGGTTAATCTAACCAATTTTAATTTTTTAAAGCTTGTGTGGCTTTTATTTTTTTTTTTTTTTCTTCTTTCTTAACCTCCTTTATTCCCATTTCGGTCTTGCTAATTTGCTTCTTTTTTCTTCCTCCCCCCAACTTGCTTGCCATTTCCTAATACTAGAGCAATGTTTTCATTTTCATGGAACAAGCAGGACCCTGAAGATTCGGCCTCAGGTTCCACTTTGGATTACTGGGCTTCTTCATTAAAGTCGTCGCTGTTAAATGATGTCGGAGGCTCTTCTGACCTGTTACTAGGCTCGGACTCCGGTAAATCTATGGCCAACGGAAGCAACCCGAATAGTGTTCGGCGCCGTCGTTCAAGTCAATTTGTCACTGTGACCCCTAAGCCATTCGAGGATGATCCTTGGGCTTATTATTATACTTATGCTAATTCAGCTTTTGGCCGAGCTACAACTGGCGCTCTTTCAAACAAAGCATACTCCACAATTGGTATTGTGCGGGCCCCAGTATCTATCAAAGGATTAAATTCAGAGCGAGGACACACATCTCGAACATCTAGGGTAACCCGAGCTGAGGAAAATAACAACTGGGATGCGTTGGCACAACCACCAAGTACTAATGGCCGCCAAACTGCCAAAACTCAACCCAAAACAGTAGCAACAAACAGACCCACTGATACTGGCACATCAACTCTGTCTCCTCGTAAAAATAGACTTCGACATTCTCAATCAGTCTACGGGGGTATGGCTTCGTTGTATGATACTGATAATGATCTTTCGACAACAGGAGTTGACGATGTGGTGGGTCTGCGCTCCAACACTACCTTAACGACATCAGCCGAGGCCCAGAATTCACTTGCATCTTCTCCTCATGAATCTATTCAGGAGCGACTATTGGCTTCCATGTTTCGCAAACAGCAAAAGGAAGCCAGCCGAAAAACAAGAGCCGAGACATACGGGTCTAATGAACGGTACCCGCGCTCGGCTACAGTTGCTGGCAGCGTTGGCCGTGGACGCAATGAACCTTCAACATTTCCATCAGCTGCACAATTGGCTCGTCAACAATATCAAACCCCACCACCACGACAAAAACATCCCCCCGCACAAACATTCCCACGTGACTTGGGTGAATTTGATGGCTTTGATGACTTTGATGGTTTTGATGGTTTTAGCAGTACGACGACTGGCTCGCCTGCACAGCATCTGTCATCATCACATTCTGCATCTCTAAGAAGAACACAGTCTTCCCAACTAATTAAGAAAAATGAATCGCCAGCTGAAGATCTGCCCTCAAAAGCAAAGGAAAATGTGGATACCAGGGGTGAGCGCCGTTCTCATAATATTGCAGATACATCGCCATCTCCAATGAGAAGATCCTCTTCAAGATCTTACCGAGGTACATTTTCAAGTTATGCACGGTCAGAACGTGCACCTACACCCATTGCTGAAGAAGTCGAAGCTGTAGATAGTAATGAAGAAGTTGATGATGGACTTAGTGGTTGGGGATTGCCTAAGATCTTGGTTGCAACCCAGTATGATGAAGATGATGTTGAAGCAGATGAGGAAAACGACGGATATATGCATATGGATGCTGAGGTTGGCCACAAAGCTTCAGATATTGATAGCGCAGATCATTTTGAGGATGTTTCTGAAGATGATGATGACAAAAATATACAAAGTGATTCTAGCAGTTTTGACAGCAGAGCTAATGACTTTTTTGATGATGATGATGATGATGATGAGGCCGAGTTCGAAGCTGTGGCAAAATCATTCAACTTTGAGCAGATTCGCCGGTCAATCACAGAAGCCAGTTTAAATAGCCAACTTATAAATTCTTCATCGATTCAGCAGCAACAGCAAAAAAAGGAATTCCAGCAAAAACCGAAAAAGCCCGTCAGTGTTGCCGCTACCGCACCATCTGGTGGTTTCACAAAGTCCCAAACTTTTGCTGGTGGTCTGGCATCTGTAATCACTTCCCAGCAAAACCCTACACACTCAACAACCTATAGCACAACTTCCACTGCTGTTGACATTTCACCGCCGCCGCCGCTGCTGCCAAGACCCATCGATCGGGTTTCGGCTGCGGCACCCCTCTTGGCTCCTGTACCGGTGAAATCCTCAACTACTCCACATTTCAATGCAACGACCAGAGAAACTGAAATAAATACAAAAGCAGGTGCAAAAAGTGCGACGAACTTGCCATTAAAAACTTCATGTGCATTGCGTACATTATACAGCGTCATTTACTGGCTGCTCCTTTTCAGTCCAGGTACAACCCAATCGACGCGTACCCTTTTTGCTAACACTATTCTCGATGCTCTGGTGTTGCGCATCGAGCCTACAGATTTTCGTCGTTTGCGTCGCAGCGCCGTTGTCATTCTCATTCTAGCATGCTTGTACTATCCAGCAAGCAACCACAAAAACAGCAAAAACAACAACAACAACAACAACAACAACAACAACAACAACAAAAATCTCCGTTTAAAAGCCAAGCTGAGCTCCAATTTACGCCAACCAGCTCGTCAAACCAATTCCGCTCGTCGGATACCAAGCTCCAATAGTTCTGGTAATAATAGCAAAAGGACCCCCAACTCGGCAACGGCCTTTTCGTACCACAGCAACGGAAGCAATAGTAATAATATCAATGGCAACAGCCAGCGTGCACCAGTTTACGCGGTTGCAGCTGCTGCTGCTGCTCGCCAGGAGGATTTGTTTTCAAGTGGAGAAAGACTTAAACGGTCTGGATCCTTACGATCAGTACGTTCCATTGGCTCAGTGGGGTCTTTACGATCTTTGCGTACGCGCACAGAAAAAAAAGATCAAGATTTTCCCGCTTGGGGTGTGTAATATAAAATCTAGCCTTGTGTTTTAAATTATTTTTTAAACGAGAAAAAAAAATTTGCATTCTAAGAGTTTCATTAAATAGTCATCACATTAAAAAAAAAAAGGAACATATTAGCACAAACATGCTTATTCGTCATTAGAGTCGTTATCATTATCATCATTATCGTTCTCGTCTTCTTCTTCTTCTTCTTCTTCTTCTTCCTCTTCTTCTTCTTCCTCTTCATCATCAGCCTTAACCTTTTTAGATGTTTCAGCCACGTCTTCACTCTTACGCTTGCGCTTTTCACCAAGCTTGCCCTCACGATCCTTGAGAGCACCCGGCCCGGTCTTTTCAGCATCCTTAGCATCTTTGTCCTCATCCATAGGTGGTGGAACAAACCAAGGAATCTTTCCTCTGTTGAAGTCATTGAGTACCATCTTGGCAACACCGCTTTCATCAGGTTCACCACCCTTGAGAAGTCGACCACTCTTGCGAGCAATCATCTCCAGAAACTGAGTACTATCTTGCCACCCACGAATCTCATATGTATTCTCCAAATGATGTTGCTTGCATCGCGACAACATTGCAGGAATAAACTGTTCGGGATTCGAGACATGTTCAACACGCACAACACCCTTGAACAAAATGTCTGTTTCAGTGTCCTTTGAACTCGGGGGAACAATACCAGGGCAGTCAATGAGGAAAATGCGCTTCATAAGCGTAATGTATTGCCAAATCTTGGTCTCGCCAGGAATAGGGGCAACATTGCACACCTTCTTCTTTCGCAGAGTGTTGATAATGGAAGACTTGCCAACATTGGGGTAACCAATGAAACCGACAGAGATTTGCTTGCGGTCAGAGTGCAGAGAAGAAAATTGGCGCAGAAGACTAATCAAACTGCCTTTGCCAAAAGAATTGGTAATAGATGCGTGGAACGCAATTGTAGGGTAAGACTTTGATAAGTGCTTGATCCAAGCGGCCTGTATAAAAAAATCAAGTTAGTAAAAGAAAAAAAGAAAATAAAAAAATATTTTTTCTTCAAAAAAAAAAAAAGGTAAAAATTTGAAAAAGTGTCTGTTTCAATACTATGAATCTTGCCACAAAAGAAGGCACCAGGGCCAAGACAAGCTTCAACTCAAAAAAGAAACAAAGTGCTCATCTCCAGGAGCCTTCCAGAACGGAAAGCATTAGTTAGGATAGAACGGCTAATCTTCCACAGTTGTAACGGGTAACAACCTCACGAGTCAATAGCATTCATGAAGAATGGAGGTATTCCCTGACAGAACTATGGGTTTGGAAAAAAAAGAAAGAAAAAAATAAGAATTAATAATACTCACAGTAACCCAATTAGGGACCAGATCGCACTTATTCAAGACGTAAATCAGATGCTTATGAGGAGCCTCCTTCTTAAGATAATCTTGAACAGAAATGCAGCGAGTTCCGATAGGATCTCTAGCATCCAAAACATGAATAATGACATCAGACGAGTCAATGACTTTGTACAACTCGTTCCAGATACGCTTCGATGTGCCCTTGTGGAAAATGGCCTCCTTAGCTTGATTGGTCCAGCCATCCTCAAGATGGGCAGCATTTTCAGCGTCTTCTTCCAGCTTGTCTTCATAACGCTTCAAACTATCATCAGCATGTGTAGCAAGCTCCTCCAGTGAGCTCACTGTAAGATTAGGTCTCTTGCGTTGGGACTTGGGTCCAAACGTATGCTCAAATGACTCAGTTTCAACAATCTTGACAGTAGGGACGTGAGTCTTTTCTTCAAGAAGCGACATAGGAAGCTTGTTCTTTCTTAAAATCACTTGATAAGGATCATCCTTCTTATCCTTCATGGCTTCACGGAAATTGATAAGTGCGTCTTGAGAAATAACACGCGTACTGTTAAACCATCTGCGATCAGGAGCTATCCGCGCATTGGGAATATCTGTGCTTTGAAATGTAGCTTCACGGACAACATCACCTCTAGCATTGTGTTTGGCGCGACCTTCCTTATACATATTCAGGCGCTTTACCTTTTTGGCATCACGGAAAAAGTTCTCGCCTTTAACCTTCAGGTTACCAGGTCTCTTAGGTTCCGAGGAACCAGAGCTGGAAGCAGCGGGCTTCGAGGCTTTCTTTTCCCTTTTGTGAGCACCCATTATAAAAATATAGTTGGTGTTTGTTTATTAAATATTTTTTTTGGAAATAGTGGTGAAGAAGAAACTCTTGAGGAAAAAAAAAAATAAATAAAAGGGGGAAGAGAAAAGAATAAGAATTTTCTTTTCAATGAAAAAAAAATTTTTTTTTGTGAAAATTTTTATCAGTAGCTTATATAATATTTTTTAAGGAGAAAACTTGAGCCCTAAGTAAATTTGCGTCCAGGTAACGTGACCATAATCAGCCGTTTCCATGGTAAATCAAAACCTCCCATGTGTAGCATCTAAAAGTAAACAAACCAATACTTCCCTCTTTCCAACTCAAAAGCACTCTCTCCGAAGCTGCCTAGCAGTTAAAACAAGCAACATTTCTGATGAATGAGGTGTCACTTCCAGATATCAATAATCTTTCCTTTGATCGGCTTCTTAAGATCAAATCTATTCTTCAGCCTTCTAAACATACTCGCATACATGACACCTCGGTAGCAAACCGCAAAAAAAATGCACAACAAGCACTTATTTCCACTGACCAAAAGCTTATCCGCTCCAAAACAGTAACCGAACGTCACAAACTTGCACTTCACATTATAAACTCGGCAGAAAATGTTATTGGTTCTTGGAATGAAAAGAAATCAGCTAGTAGAGAATCTTCTACTGCTTCGTTTCCATCTCCATCTCCATCTCCTCCACCTTTAGATTCCTCCAAAATTGCTGCATACGAGGCCATTTCTTTAGCAATTAAAACACTTTATGAAAACAGGTCAAATAATTCTCAAAAACAGCTAGATTTAGAAAAGAGACACCTTTCTATCATTTTAAAATTATTAGACGTTCCAATGGTTGACGAATCAATATTAGAGCTACATATTTTGGTTGACAATATAATCATAAATATGCATGGCACAGCATCACCCTTCTCATCTATTTTTACCATTTCTCCTAATCCAAAATATATAAATGAATCTTTTGCAAACCTCATTGTTTATACCCAAATTGCAATTCTTAAAGCCATTATAAAAATACCTCCAGCATCTCAACCTGTTTCGAGCAAAGTAAGTAAATCTATCCTACGCTCAACAAGTACTAACCCTTATATAGACGATCATTGGGTCCTTGAATTCTCCTAATGGGATTTTATTTTGGGTATCTCAACTGCCTATAAATTCAGCATCTCAAAAACTCACTATTTTTGCAAAACTCTTTTTGGCGTTATCAAACAACTGTGATCCGTCGATATGTTTTTCTTATAGAATTGCTTCCTTACAACTATTTCCACAGATACAAGAGCCCTATGTTAACATGCTTCTTGCTTCATATTCTACTTTACGCAAAAAGGTAAACATGTCCTATGACCAAATTATTCGTGATTACGGTAATCTTTTGACTCAGTTGGTAAAGAAAAAGCACATGCAATTGAAAACATTTCCGGCTTTTGTCACTTGGTTTGACAGACTTTCTAAAAAATCATCAATAGAATCTTGGAAGGAGTCCTATAATTTGATCAAAAATACAGATAACGACCCTGTTCTTTCTCTTTTTGAGCAGTTGAAAACAGATCCTACAAACGAAAAAATTCAAACATTATCATCAATTGAAAACATTCAAGATTATTTTGGGACATCGGAGTTTCTTAGTACCTTTCTCCACATTGCAAAAACATTTTTGGACGCATCAGAATACTCAAACTTTATCAGTGTTATTCACTTTTACCTATCTTTTTTGCATACAAATCATCCTAACCTTACTAGAACCTTTTCAAAAACTTCATCATTATTTTTTCATCACGTCAAAATTATAATTGAAAAGGAAGATATTACGGATTCCATATTTGGCGATTTACTATCTGTATATGAGGAAATTGCGAAGGGACTAGTGATAATAGAAGATGATACCCACCTTATATACATTTCTAACTCTCTTCTTCCAATTGGGGCTCGCCTTCGCCAAAAAAAAAATGAAATTTATCTGGAATACTGGCGCAAATCCGTTTCAATAGAGCTGGACTTATTTGAAAGAAAAATACCCCCATCATCGGTTTTTCCAGGGAAGGTTGAACGTCTTGTTATTACCCTTATAGATTTCAAAAAATTGGATGAGGCATTTAAGTTTTTGTCTCTTTCTTTTCCATTAATCGCATCACTTGAAAAAATTCAAGACACTGTGTCTACCTTACCTTTATATTTACAATGGCAATCTTCTTCAAGTAACAGACTATTTAATATTTTTACCAGTGTTATCTTGGAAAAATCTTTAAAAGAAGAAGACATTGAGTTTAAAAATATTAATTCTGAAATAGAAGGTTCTATACTTGAGCAATTGCTGATATGCCTAGAAAAATACACAGCTTCTAACAAAAAAGAAATTGGAATTCAAATTTTGAAAAGGCTTGAAGTTCTGTATTTCAATAACCCTCTTCGTCTACTGCGGTCGTACAATTCACTTTTTAAATCGGCGAATGAACTTTATAACATACAAGTTATGGAAAAGCTTCTTGAAGATTTGATTATTAAAAGCACTTTAACAAATAATAATAGACGAACAAGCAATGGTGCCAATTTACTGGTTGAGTCTTCAAAATTGAAATCAGACTTTGAGCAGGCTCATCACCGATTTTTCATTATTTCATGTGCCTCTTTTTCTTTGGCAATCTCGTCTACAGCAGCTTCAACGCAAAAATACCAGTTTCTTAACTGTTCAGTCAACTATGCGATTGAAATGTTTAAGTCTAAAGTTCAGAGTGACAACACAGAAAAAGTTATTAATCACATTCGAAGCATGTGTGCTTTTCTTGATTTGCAAGGAGCTAATGAAAAACGAGCAGATTTGCTAAAAGCGATGCGTGATAGTTTTTTATTACAAGGGAAATCTACCGAAACACTCATAAACCGCATGCACTGTCGTCTTGATCTTATTAAATCGTTAATTGCATTAGGATATACAGGCTCTGCTTTAAAAGAAGTCACTTCCTTAGAATCGGAGTATCAAGAGCATCAATTTATTGCACCTATTGATAGATCATGGCTTAAGTTAAGACAAGCTCAAAGTTTTGTTTCAGTTGGAGATACTGTGGCCGCGAGGAATGTATTCAAACTCCTTTTCGAAGTGATTCAAAATGATGAACTTTTGAAAATGCCTCTTTTGAAAGGTCGCCCTGCAACAGAAGAAAGACAGCATTTTCAACAGCGATCGCTTTTATTTGCTGAAATTTGTTGTACACTAGGTTTATTCCATTCTGCTGAGGTATGTTACATCCCTTTTTTTTAAAAAAAAAAAAAAAAAAACTAAGTTTACTAATAAATTATAGGGAAATGTTGGTTATGGTGTTTCTCAAACACAAAAATCCATAAGTTTTTTGCAAGGATTTTTGAAAAAATTTCAGTCAGGCTCTGGTAATAAATCTTCTCGTGAAACAACTTGGCAACTGACATCTGTTTTAATTAATGCTCAGATTCAAATGGCAATGTCATATGAACGACTCGGTATTATTCGTGAAACTTGCTATTATGTGGATGAGGCTAGCAAAACTGCACAGTTATCTGATTGTGGACTTCGTTTAGCTGTGATTCTTGCTTTCGAGGCTGAGGTTCGTGTTAAAATGGGTAATCACATTAAGAGCACAGAATGCTTGGAAAAATGTCAGGCCATTATCGAAGGTCTTAATCTTCAAGATTTAAACGTTTTATACTATGCACACTCTGCAATCCTTAGTTTGCAACGACAACGTTTATTTAATGAAGAGAATCAATATTATGTTCTTTCTGATAAGATATTTTCTGATTTAGAACAAAAAAGTCAAAAGTTTTCTGCTTCAGAAATTGCGAAAAAAATTTCTCGTTTATCGTTGACAAATTTTGAAGCAGTTACACCAAAAAATACTCCAAGAACAATGTCAACACGCCGCAGTCTTGTGGGAAGAAGATTATCTGGTCCATTATTTTCAGAAAAATCTACACCCACACCTATTTCTCGCCAAAGCTTACCAATTGGTGGATCTCCAATAAATTTTTTAGCAATGATGGAGACCCCAAAGAGGGAAAGCAATATCAAAGAAGAATCGTCTGAAGGACCAAGTGAAATTTTTGGTGTTGAAGTGGTATGGAATTCCATTGTTCGCAGTCAAGTGTATAGTCTGGGACTTCAAAATTCTGTTGATGGTGCTATGTCTCTTTTGGAAGATCAATATCGCAGTGCCAGTACTAGGGACGATGTTCTTTTAGAAATTATAAAAGCTAGAAATCTTTTCCTTCTTGCAAAAAGTATTCTTTCAAAGGACTCTATCTATTCATTTGTTTTTGATTCTGTCATTTGTGTACCGTCAATCAAACCCAACAATGCATTTTACAATAATTATATGAAAGATTCGACTTTCCCAAAGACAGCAATTGGTCATCTTGAAAAAGCACAGAACATGATTTTGGACAATGTTTCAAAAATTATGGTTGTATGCAATGCGACTGAAATTAGTTCTGTTGCAAGTTTGATCAATGCAATTCAAATGAGCTTGGCTGCAATTAGAGAAGTTGTCTATGAAGGTATCGATATTGGGGATATTGCAACTAGCTATGCCAATCTTGTTTTGCAGGATGCATCTCGCCGACTTACTTTAGAGTCAGATCGTACTGTGGTCAAGCTTCGCAGTTCTGATTATAATTGGCCGAGTAAAGCTCTTGAAAGTACCGATACCCCAAAAACGATTGTTTCCATGTACAGTGATTTTGAACATGATATTTTAAATTCATTGCCGGAAAAATGGGCTGCCGTCAGCATCAGCGTTTCTGCTGAAACTGGAAGTTTGTCTTTGTGTCGATATGAAAAAAATAAGAGCCCCTTACAGCTATGTCTTCCACTTAATCGTCATAGTAGTCGTGACGCCAATGAAGAGTCATTTTCTTTTGATTTAGGCATGCAACGATTAAGAGAAATCATTGAAAAAAGCAACGAGTCTGCAAGCTCACAACGGACAACACAGATCAAAACCTCGGAAGAGCGACAATTATGGTGGAAAGAACGATATGGCTTGGATCAGAAGCTTGAAGAGCTTTTAGGTGATGTGGAATACTTTTGGTTGGGCGGGTTCACTGGTATATTTTCCCGACAGCGTGTGGTACCGCATCTTTTAGAGAATTTAGCCACTCAGTTTGTCAAGTTGTTGCGGGTATACTTACCATCCCGTAATTGGGTCATGGGCGGAATCAGGCCACGGAGCGGTCTGGGCAAATATCGATCACGCGAAGAGCCCCGAAGGTTTGCAGGTAGTTCTAATGAAATCAATACTGGAAGCAGCGGCAGCATGTCTAAGGGAAGTGCTGGTCTTGAAGAGGTGGAGATTGAGCTAGATTCTCGAATTCTTGAGTTGTTTGTGGGACTTGGAGATCCTGATAATATTAAAGATCCTGGTCTGATTGAAGACTTGACATATTTTGTTTTGGACATTTTACAGTTTCATGGTGAGCGTAACGCATTTGATGAGATTGAAATTGACCAGTTTATGGTACATTTGGAAACTGCATTGCATAATTATCATGCTCAAGTTGCAGCAATGGATGAACAACTTGGGGAGGAGGGGTTGGAGCATATTGTACTGGTCCTTGACCGCAATACACAGGCGTTCCCTTGGGAATCAATACCTTGTCTACGACAGCAGTCAGTGTCGCGGGTCCCATCATTATCAATTTTGTCTCAGTTACTACGAGAGCACTACCAGCCAGAGGTTGATCCTGTATGGCCTGTAGTGCAAGTATCATTAGAAGAAAAAAGTAGCGATAGCGGGTGTTATTACATTTTAAATCCCAGTCGTGATTTGCCTAAGACCCAAGAACGGTTTGAGAACAAGCTTACAAATTTGCGAGGATGGAGTGGTTTGGTTGCTCAAGAACCGACGGAGACTGAACTTGTGGGGATGCTTGAAAGTGGGAAGCTTGTTGTTTACATTGGACACGGGTCTGGATTGCAGTACATTCGTGCAGCAAAGATTAAGGCACTGAAGCGTTGCTGTGCAACATTACTTCTTGGATGCAGTTCAGGCGCGTTGGAAGAGGCCGGAGACTACGATCCGTGGGGAACGCCAATGACGTATATGATTGCCGGGTGTCCGATGCTGCTTGCCAATATGTGGGATGTGACTGACAAGGATATTGATTTATTCAGCACATGCATGTTGGAGCGGTGGGGTGTATTACCGCCGCCTAATCCTGGAATGGGAGTAAGTGCAATTGGTGAAGCAGTTCGTGATAGTCGAGATGATTGTAATTTGCGGTTCTTAAATGGAGCTGCACCTGTTGTTTATGGAATTCCGCTTAAGATTAAAAAAAAATTGGTAATGGGAAATAAATAGAGATTGTTTTTTTTTTCTTTCTTTCTTTCTTTCTAACTATGTATTATAGCTCGCTAAAGTATTGTATGTATTTTATCAAAAATTTATGAATGTCTATGCCAATATGCGAGGGAATATCAATGTATTTTTGTTCTTTAAATTTGGGAACCGATTCCGAAAGAATTTTATAAAGAGTTTCCGAATGTTCTTGTTGGGTCTTCATTATTTCAGGGATATTAAAGACTTGAGTGCAAAACTCTGGTAGAGTGGTATCATTGGTGGTGGTGGTGGTGGGTTCATTAAGTTCTTCCCATGAAAGTCTAAAAAAATATGGGGTTTCCTGAGGAAGAGGTTTAATTTGAAGACGAACAAGATGATGTTTAAGCACTTTTTTTTGCAAAATTCGAATAATATCGTCCACAAAAAGTGTGGGGATAAGTCCTGATGCAAGGTCTTGTGGGAAAACTGCTGGTGGTTGGCTAGATTTCTTGGATTTTTTTGTTTGCTCTTGGTGTTGTTGCTGGGATGCACGCAAGACAGAACTTTGGAATTGACTGTGAGCTGATTTAACAGAAGTTGTAAGGACGACTGGGAAAAATCCACGCCATTGTAAAACCAATTGGTCGACGCTGGATTGATGACAAGGGATGTATGCTGTGCTACCTGCTTTGGTAAGGTACTCTTTGCCCACTCGAGGCTGAAGCATGATTCTATTAGATGTATCTTCTTTTGATGGGTCTAAGGTATCGGCAAGTGTTTCATTAAAGTTTTCTTGCTCTGAAGAAGATGATGAGGAAATATTTTCTTGCTCTGAACCTTCTTCGAAGCCAAATGGGATAAGTAAATCACGGGGGAAGGCCGTCCAGCGAAGTTTATCCATACGGATTGGTGAAGCAAGCATATTTGCATAAGGATTTGCTTTTAGACGACGGCCGAATTCTTCATCGTATTCTGGTGCATTTGATGTGGTTGTATCTTTAGATGTTAGCAGGGAAGATTTAGGTAGGGTGTTTGGGTTTGTTGGTATAAATTTTTGTGTTCGATCGGGGATTGCAAGGTCTTTTTTAGGTTTGGGTTTATCATTATGGGATTGAGGGGGTGATGAAAGCACAGACGAAAGTTTAAATGCTGGTTGCAGAGATGATTTTGAAGGTTGGCCGAGAAGAATCTCAAGAGCTTTTTCAGTATTTGGTGTTTTCCTGAGGACTTTTCTTTGGATCGACATTTGATTGGAGAGTGGAGGAAGATTATTTTTCATATATGTTATTAGTGATGAAATAGAAAATAGAAAATAGAAAAGAGAAGGAAGTGAGCAAAATAATTGAAGAGGAGGGGGAGGGAAAAAAGAGAGAGAAAAAAAAAAAAGGATTATCTAAGTTATTACGAGTCATAAAACTAAGAACTTTGTATTTTATATATATATATATATATATATTTGTGACTTAATATTTAATATTTAATATTTAATATTTAATATTTAATGTTTAATATTTAAATCTTATTACTTAAGTATAAATGTTTATTTATTAAATATCAAGTTATTAAGCTTAATATTAAATTGCCAAGATTTTGTTGTAACATCTAAGAATTAAAATTTTATGTAACATTTATATATATATATATATAAGTAAGCAATTAATAATATTATGATTAGCATATTTCTTTTTGTGGCGTTGTTGCTTTTTATCAAAAAAAAAAATGTACAGCCGCACTCAAACTAAAAAAAATGTAACATTTAACTATAATTAATTTGGCGGTGGAATAGTAATTTTGTAATAAAAAAATAAAAAAATAAAAAAAAGCTTAAATATTTTTTTTTTCTTGAAATTCTAAAGGGGTATATTGTTAAATTTAAATATTTTTGAATGATTTTATAAAGTTATTAAATTAGAATTTTTTTTTTCCCTTCCTAAAACCAACATATAAAATTAATAAATTTGTCAATTTAATAATTGATAATTGATAATTGATAATTGATAATTGATAATTGATAATAATAATTTTTTTTTTTTTTAAAGTAGTCTACTAGTCCGATACAAATGGACTTTATAATCTTTTGACGTTCTACTCTAGTGATATATTTAATAAATAATCATCAAAAAAAAAATACTAGTTAGTAGGAAATTTCATTAATTTTAAAAAAAAACACCCTTTAATAAAAATAAAATAAAAATAAAAAAATAAAAATAAAAAAATAAAAAAAAAGTTTTATTTACTTCAGTTTGGTTTATCAAAAAAAAAAAAAAAAAAAAAAAAAAAAGTAATTTTTAAATAATAAATAAAGAAATAAATTTCATCATCATCATCTTTCTTGGATTGTCTCTCCCCCTTTTTTTGTTACTCACTTCTATTGTGGCCACCCAATTATCATACACGTATGTCATAATATATATATTTTTGCACACACCTTAAAAAAAAAAAAAAAAAAAAAACTTGCATCACAATCATCACCATCTACTAATCTTAGCACATCCGCTTTTGACTCTAGTCCATAATCCTTTTTTTTTTCTACCTCTCTCTCTCTATTCATATATATATATAGACCACTTTAATCTCCATGGGCTCGTCCAAACCAGTCCATCGAAATGTGGCCTCGGCTGCAGACAACGATGATTTATCAAAGTCTACACTTCAGGGACTCCCAATGTACACCACAGATATTGAGTCCTCCTCCTCCTCTTCTACAGCCGCTGCAACCTCTCGTGGAATTACTGCAGGAAATACTACTACCAACAATTATAACAGCACAGGAGACAACCTGATTGACGAAAAAAATGCCTTAAGATATGGCACTAGTGGCACAGGCACTCCAGCAGAGTACGACTACGAGAGTGGTGTTTTTGGAAATAGTCCGTCTAAGCTACACTCGTCTTCATTCCTCAGCCTATCGTCTTTGCTCAACTATAACGCCTCGACAAAATCTTTCGGTACAGGTAAATACAAAAACAACCGCCAACACAGAATTGTGCGCAACCTCCTATTGGGCCTGCTTGGATTCCTCTTGCTACTACTTGTTGGCTCTCCTTTGCTCTCTTTCCTCTTCGGCTCTTCCCGTTTCACTACAGTCACTGGTCTTTCAGACAAAACAGTCCTTACCTCGGATCCTCTAATCTACCCAGATGTAGAAAACTTTTTCAAAGCAAAGAGCTCAGGCTCTTCCTCAACTGGTGGTGCTAACCGTCAGGCCCCTAAAAAGTCCCCAGGTGACTATACACAAGACCTTAGCGATAAGGAAATGCCCGCCGCTGCAAAGGGGTCGCGTTCAGGCGGTGCTGATGGAAAAGATGACAGTGGTTCTGGTTTAGATTCTTCAGGTGCTTCCAGTTCCAGCTCAGCTAATGCTGCAGGTGCAACCGACTCAGCAACCCAGCTTGATATTGAGGCCGGTAACGAGCCCAAGTCCAACAATAACGCTTTTAAAAATAGAAACGGGATTATCTCTTCGCTTAAATACAAACCTGTCAGTAGCACCCGCGCCTTTTGGCGTTTTGGTAGCCAAAAGGCTGGCACAGATAATCTGGTTGGCAATTCCCACTCTGGGATCTGGGGCACCTCTGCAAAGTCTCCTGAACTTATTATTGTTACCGGTATTAACCCTGAAAAATATTCTATCGAATACCTTGAAAAGGTTATTGAAAATCGCAAGAGATATGCTAAAAAATGGGGATATGGATTATACATTCGATCAGTGACGGATTTTCGTGATAAGTATGAAGGTAGTGTCTCCAAAAATCCATCCTGGGCCAAGCTCTCAATTCTTCGCGCAGCTGTCCACACCTTCCCTGAAGCAAAGCATTTTTGGAATCTCGACGCTCATGCTTTGATTGAGGACATGAATAGTGACATTGTGGCTGATCTTATCGAGCCCAAACATCTGAGCAACCTTATGATTCGCGACCGTCAAATTATTCGCAGTTCTTCAATCATCAAGACATACAAACATACTCCTTCGACCAATGTGCGGCTGATTTTGGCTCCAGACGAGGTTGGTCTGAGTACCACCTCCTTTGTATTTGCAAACCTCGACCGCGACCGTACAATTGACTTTGCTGGTGCTGGCTATAATCGCAACAATGTCCAACGATACAAGGGGTCCGACCATGGAGAGTTTGCCAAGATTCTTCTTGACTACTGGAATGATCCAGCTACTCGTTCGTACTACCAATACGATCGTAGTGAAGCCTCTGCCATTAACCACATTTTGCAGTGGCATGCCAGTTTCCTTGCTCGCACAGCTATTGTCCCTGGCACTCATCTTATGTCGTATTCTGAAGAGAGTATGTTTTCTTTACTTGGAATCCGTGGTGGCGATTTACGTGCTGCTGCCAGCAAACTTCCTGTTGAAGATGGTAAACTATCGCTTAAAGATTATGAAAACGATGGTCTTGTTTTTTTCAATAAAGAACAAGATACAAAGAAAAATCTGGTCGTTGTCATGAACTCGTGTGCTGAAGGATCCAGTCTCACTTGTCTCCGAGAATTTTCTCGCTATTACAACAAGGCCATGTCCAAGGATGGTAAAGATAGTAGTGCTGAAGACAATGTTGGCTCTCTTGATAAAGTTGGTGCTGCTGCTGCTGCTGCTGCTGCTGCTGCCGCTGAATCAAAGGAAGATGTTGCTGACTTGGATGGCATTGCCAAGAAGGGAGATAAGGCTGGCGCACAAAAGAAGCAACAACAGCAACAGGCTCAACAGGCACAAGCTCAAGCTCAGGCTCAGGCTGAAGCACACGCCGAGGCTGAGGCTAAGGCTCAGGCCAAAACTCCACAGGAAAAGGCAGTGAAGCCTGGCGACAAGAAACCTGGTGAAAATAAGGAAACAATATCCAAGGAGCAACTCAAGGAACAACCCAAAGAAAATGGCAAGCTGGTAATTAATGAAATTGTCCATGGATCAGGGGTTGAAGTTTCGTCTGAATCCATAAAGGAAATTTCATCCAAGTCGGCTGATGGGCCATTGAAGGACTCAGTAAAAACGAGCGAAGAAAAGGAACAAGTCAAGGTGGCTAACTCGGGTGCTGCTGGTGCTGCTGGTGCTGCTGGTGCTGCTGGTGCTGCTGGTGCTGCTGGTGCTGCTGGTGCTGCTGGTGCTGCTGGTGCTGCTGGTGCTGCTGGTGCTGCTGGTGCTGCTGGTGCTGCTGGTGCTGCTGGTTCTGTTGATGCTGCTGGTGCATTCAAGCCCAAGGCCCCTAAAGAAAAGACCAATGAATTGGATCTCAATGATCCAGTAGTGGCCCAAGCAATTGCAAAGGCTCAAGCTGAAGAGCAGGCCAAAATTGCCAAAAAGGAAGCAGCTAAAGATGTAACTAAAGATGCAACTAAAGATGCAACTAAAGATGCAACTAAAGATGCAACTAAAGATGCTACTAAAGATGCTACTAAAGATGCTGCTGGTAATTCCAAAGCAGCTGCTGAAGTCAAGGCTGAGACGAAAAAGTCTGATACATTAGATACCAGTGATCCAGTGGTGGCTCAAGCCATTGCTAAAGCTCAAGCTGAAGCTCAGGTTAAGATTGAAAAGGAAGAGAAGGCCAAAGCTGCTGCAACAAATTCTGGAGCTGCTGCTAAGAAAGAATCCACAGAAGCCAAAGTTGGTGGCAATTCCAATGCTGATGCTAAGGTGGGTGCTAAGGCTGGGGACAAGGCTGGGGACAAGGCTGGGGACAAGGCTGGAACAAAGACCGAAACCAAAGCAGAAACCAAGGATGGTACTCTTGATACCAACAAGCCTGCTGGTGCTGCAGCTGTTGCCAAAGCTCAGGCTGAAGAGCAAGTCAAGATTGATAAAGAGGTGGTGAAGGATGCCAGTGTTGCGGCAGGAAAGCCTCAGGAGGATTCCAAATCTGCAGCTATTAAGGACGCGGAGGCTAAGGCTGCGAAGGCCCAAGCTGCGGAAGCTAAGCAAGATACGTTAGATATGAATGATCCTGTGGTGGCACAAGCAATTGCGAAAGCACAAGCTAAAGAACAGGCCAAGATAAATGCTGCTGCTAACAAGGCGCAGAAGGCATGATTATGAAATAAAATTAAAATTAAAATTAAAATGAATTAAAATAAAAAAAAGATAAAAAAAAGAATAAAAAGAATGATGTTTAATAAAAAAAAAAAAAAAAGTTTTTTTTTTTTGAGATTTTTGAACAAAACTTTTATTGATTTTTGATGAAGCAGGTTTATGAATGCAGATTTATGAGACTTGTTTTAAGGTTATATGTATGTAAGTATGTACATTTGAAACAATTATGGATTATGATGAAGCAGGTTGAATTTAGGCGAGTTTCTGAGTTTCTAAGAAAAAAAAAAAAAATAAATAAAAACAACAATTGTAATGCTTAGTCATTTTAATAAATTTAATGACTAATAAAATTAGACTCGAGATGTCATAGATGAGGTGCGGCTCTAAACACATTTAGTTTCTTGCATTTCCAAGAAACCAAAGTTTTCTTTTCCCCAATGAAGAAATATGAAACTGAAAGAGAGCAAATTTTTTTTTTTTTTTTTTTCTGACAATCTATTATATATTAAAAAAAAAAATAAATAAAAGAAGAAGAAGAAAAAGAAAAAGAAATAAGAAATAAGAAATAAGAAATAAGAAATAAGTTGATTTAAAATGGGAATAGTTTTTTTATTATTATTATTATTTTAATGGTTATTATCATGATGAAAAAAAAAAAAATAAAAGAAAAAAGGAGTATTTTAAATGGAAAAATGATTTGTATTAAAATATATTAATAAATTCAATTGATTTAATGAAATTCCTATAACCTATTTTTTTTTTAGTTATTTAGTTATTTATATATTTTATTTTATTTTATTTTATTTTACTTTTTTTTTTTAGTTATTTAGTTATTTATATATCTTATTTTATTTTATTTTATTTTATTTTATTTTACTTTTTTTTTTTTTTTTTTTTATAAATGAAATAGACATAATCTCAAGTTAACTTTAAAGATTTTGAAAATTTGCTATATATATTGATAGTAATTTTCATGTAAGGATGGAGACGATACGATTACAATAAAAAAGAAAAAGCCCATTATTTTTATTTTTATTTTTATTTTTATTTTTATTTTATTTTATTTTATTTTATTTTTTTCCCTCTCTAATGTAATTCAGATGAAATAGAAAAAAAGAAAGAAAGAAAGAATGAATGAATGAATGAATGAAAATAATATTTCTTAATGTCAATAAGCTTAAAATTTTATTTTATTTTTTTTTTGACATAATTTTAATTTTTTTTTTTTTTTACATCATTTTCCCAAGGTTTATTCCTTAAAGTTCTCGGAAACTAAAAAAAATAAAAATAAAAATAAAACAAAGGAATCTTGTTTTACCTTCTTCTCTTGGAGGGGTGGTAAGTTTAGCCTTTTAGACGTAACCAGTTCTATATTTAAAAAAAAAAAAAAAAAAAAAGATATATTATGGGCATGTCCCAATGTCAACATGAAACAACTAAAGTCCATCAAGATAGTTGGCAAGGCTGAAAGAATTTTTTTTTTTTTTTGATGGATTTGAACAAACTGGTTTAAAATCATTAAGCAAAGTATATTAAATTATATAAAAAGGGTTCATTAAAAATTATACAATCTGATTAGTAGTAAACATGTCTATCATTAAAAAAATATTGTTATCATAAAGTCATTTTTCTTTCTTTTTTCTTTTCTTTTCTTTTCTTTTCTTTTTTATTTTAATTTGTTGATGATTGAGCCACAAGTATCAGGACATTGCGACGAACAGCTTCCATAAACAACATGGAACTCCATGCACGGAATGAGGCCACTGGAATAGTACCAGCTGAAAGATCAACAGCTGAAGACCCGCTGGCACCTGATGAAGAGTCAGATTCCAGAGGAACTGGTAGGAAACATGCAATATCTAGAAAGTATTCAATGTTCTTAATAACACCAATGTTTCTATAGCCTCGGTAATCGTTAGAAAGCTTGGGGTCGTAGTCTGGTTGTGTTTCAATTGCAACCTTGCCAAACCCTTGATCGACAAACTGTAAAAGAATACCAGTAGATGCTGGAGACTTGCTAGCCCCTCGCAGAGGACGCAATAGAATATATTCACGAACAGGGCCGTCCAATTTGCCACTGCGTTTGGACTTGGATTGAAATGTAATAGTTTGGACGTAATACATTAGTTTTCTATGTTCCTGAGGAGTAAATGATTGGAAGGCGTCTGGATTAAAGTGGTAATCGTGGAAAAATGGTCTTGGAGAATTATGTTTTTTGGTTTGTTGCTGGTTGTGATCAAAAGGGTGCTGGACCAGGTGATTAATGTAACCGTAGACGGCTTGTTGTTCTTGAAGCTGATGGACCTGCTGCAGTTGATGCAATTTTCGGTAATATTCTTGTGGATTTTTAATTAAGTCTACTGAGGTAGGGAAATCTAAGGTCCATTTAGAGTAGAAATTAGAGAGAGGTTCAACTTGTACAGGCGGGTAGGGCTGTTGTTGTTGTTGTTGTTGTTGTTGTTGTTGTTGTTGTTGTTGTTGTTGTTGAGGTTGTTGTTGTGGTTGTGGTTGTGGCTGTTGCAGTTGCTGTTGTTGCTGTTGTGGAGGAATATCTGAAGAGACTGTTGGAACTTCAAAGCGGACTATTCTATCAGTTACGTGACGATAAGGAGATTTGGGACGCTCGGCGGGATTCTGATTATTATTTTGAACAACAGGAGGATATTGGGGTTGTTGATATGCAGGATACTGGTTAAGTGGTTGTTGTTGTGGTGGTGGATAAGCTTGAGCTTGGGGGGGATATGGAGAAGCTTGGGGGGGATATGGCGAAGCTTGGGGGGGATATGGAAAAGCTTGGGGGGGATATGGGGAAGCTTGAGGGGGATATGGAGAAGCTTGAGGGGGATATAGAGAAGCTTGAGGGGGATATGGAGAAACTTGAGCAGGAATGAAAGCAGGAGAGTTTGGAGCAGGAGCCTGATAGTTTGGAGAAGTGAATTGAGGTTGTTGAACAGTCAGAAAGTTCTGAGGGGGGATGTTATTTGGATATGAAGACGACATTTTGGCTTGGTTTTATATTTCTTTGAGATTGATATAGATTATGATTATTTTTTCACCAAAAAAAAAAAAAAAAACAGTTTGATTTAGTGATAAGTTCCAAAAGAAGAAGAAACAGATTTTTTTTTAAAAAAAAAAGAGAAGATTTAGAAAAAAAAAAAAAAAAAACGATGATTGTTTTAAAATGGACTTGGGGTGTGTTTTAGAAGCGTGCAGATTCGATGTGGTGATGTTGATACTTTGGCGTGTTTCAAAAAAAAGTTTCTAGAGGAAGAAGAAGAAAAAAAAAAAAAAAAAAGTGGATGCACCGATGTTTTTATACCTCTGCAGATGCATACTGTAATTTAAACGTTAAACACTGTAGCAATCACAATGGGCATTTCAAAGTGGGTCTTTTGAAAGTTTAAGACCTCTGTAAAAAGGGGAGGGGGTGGTGTCGGTTGTTGTTGTTGTGTATGTGGGAGACCGTATGAAGAAAGTAGGTCAGATGGGGGGGGTGAAATACCTGTGCAAGTTGTGGCCAAAGAAACGTCAGTTGCAGTGGTTGTGATTATTTCTGAGTCACAAACAACAAACTTCAATTAAGTTTAAGTATTAAGTAATTTTTATTTTATTTTATTTTTTTTTTTAAAACTTGAAATGCTTCCATATTCAAAGTAGTATATATATAGTACTAATGATACCCTCTTGTTTTCTTGTTCAAAAAAATGAAAGAAGAAGAAGAATAGCCAATATATAAAACAAATATAATCCATCTTTCTACCCAAAAAAAAAAAAAAAATAAATAAATAAAAAAAAAAAAAAACATGATTATCCGTAACGACGTTCCAACAGCCATCTTTGTCTTTATTTTTGTCCAAATCGATATCTTCGACTCGCTCCAGCAAATCATTTCAGGATTTGTATCTTTAAGGGATGCAATGTATCTTGATGCCGAACTCCGGTTTAGAGAGCGCTATAAAATCATTTCTTAGAGAAGTGGGAGGGAGAGAACAATTATGTCTATACGACTTAAAAAAAAAAAAAAAAAAAAAAAAAATGCTACTTTTTGTCACATTCTTATGAATCCATAATTAAATGATAAATCTTTAATTTAATTTAATTCAATTTAATTTAATTTAATTTTTTTTAATCAATGGTTATTGAAATATATAAACATCAGCTTTAGTGATATCTTCTTATTCAGTCTAACTCTGGCTCATGAGTATATACATCATTTCAATACGGATAGTTTTGATCTTTGCACTTCGGGTAACCGGAAATATCGTTTTTCTTGCTTTTATGACTTAATTAAAGTTTCCACTATTTTAAACTCTCTTTAAAAAAAATAAAAATTAGTAGAAAAAACGTTAAACTAACGTTAAATTTAAGTAAATTTAGTTAAATTAAATTCTTAAAAGTCCAAAAATACTGAATCTTTTTCCTTTAATTTTATCACGTGATGCAGTGGCTCAATGGTAGAGCATTGGATTCCAAATCCAAAGGCTGCAGGTTCGATTCCTGTCTGTGTCAGTTTGTTTTTTTCTTTTTTCACTTTGTAAGATTTTTAATTGTTATTAATAATTAATTTTATTTATTTATTTTTATTTTTATTTTTTTTCATGTTATTGTTTAACGATGGGCCATTTCCAACGTCTTTTCAAATGCTTTTACTGTTTTTACACTGAAACCTTAAATGTTCGGTAAAAATTAAACTTGAAGGGAGGGGGGGGGGGGGGGGGGGGGAGGTTTTCATGCAGCTGAAGCTTCAGCTACATGACATATTTATGTAATACATTATATAATACACAATGAAAAAATAAAAAACTAACTGGGTTATATAAGCAAATAAATAAATAAATAAATTAAAATATTTCAAACAAACTTTTGACTTGAAAAATCAACAAAAGCTGAAAAAAAATTTTTTTTTTTTTCATTTAATTTTTTTAAATTAAATGGTTTATAATAATCTAAATCTTTTTTTTTTCTTTTAAGTGAATGTTTAGGCAAATACAAAAATCACAATTTTTTTTTTTTAAAATTAAATTTAATAAAAAGATGAAAAGAAAGGAGTTTGCTAACTTTACACTAAATTTAGATAACTTAGCTGGTTTTCTAACCCCAATTCTTTATTTTATTTTTTCATTTTTCAATTTCCAATTTTCTATTTTCAATTTTTCAAACATTCAGCGTTTCTCTTCTTGCAAGGAAACTTTTTTTTTTTATTTATTTATTTAAGCTTCGCTTAATTCAAATAACCTTAGATTCCGTAAAAGTATATTTTTAAATTTTTTTTTTTTTTTGAGACATAACCCGATACCCCCCATGTTTACTAAAAATTTAAATATTCACCTGGTATTTGAAAAAAAAAAAAATAATTTTTTTTCATAAAATCAACAACAATAATAAAACAATCTTTTATTTGTTAAAATAAAAAACAAACCGAGCCAATATCATACCTAATATTTCACTTTTTGAAACATGTTCCTGGTGATTCTTCCAATCCTTATTAACAACTTTTTTTTTTTTTTTTTCAATTTATATACTGTAAAATGTATGCATGTTATAAACTTTACAAACCCCTGTGCTCTTGTGTTTCTTTCTTTTAATAACATAATGAAAAAAATTTTCAAAAATTTTCAAAAATTGAATAAAAAACATAAAAATATAATAAAAATATAATAAAAATAACTTGAAAAACTAAAAAAAGTTCATTAATAGTAAAATATATACCAAAAAAAATTTGTTTGTTTGTTTGTTTTTATTCAAGGGTTATAGAATTATATAACATCAGCATCTGCGCTATCCTTCTTGTCCATACTATATATTTTTTCATTTTAATAATAAACTTTTAATTTTGGCTTCAACATTGCATCTCCAACAGCCCGAAAATAAGTCCTGATGCCAGCTTACGAGGAACAGGGGGTTAAAATAACCAAACCTTCCCAACCTATCTCCACTTGTCTTCATCAACGCTGTAATTGTATTTCTTAATCCCTCCAAGCAGAGATAAAGCTTACAATCTCTTGTAAGCCAGTTAAACTGTTTAAGAGAGTCGACATGTCCATCTCTGGAGATAATACCAAAAAAAAATTTAATAATTATAATCTTCCAATGTTGATCAGAATCTTCCAAGATCCCTTCTTTACAATGTGTTCAGAATCACGATGCAGTGGCTCAATGGTAGAGCATTGGATTCCAAATCCAAAGGCTGCAGGTTCGATTCCTGTCTGTGTCAATTTATCTTTTTGTTTTACATTATTATATCATAAACAATTGGGGGTGAGGGGGGGTTCCTTTTTTTTTTTTTTTTTTTTTTTTTTTTATTTTTGGTTATTTGATATTGCGTGCAATTTATTGAAAGTTAAGAGTGAGGGACAGAAAATTGGATGGGTATGTTTTCAGATTTAACCTTATTACTGCCTGAAATTTCTAAGCAATTGATAACGATTAAATAACACATCAATACTTATTTAGCAATTCTTCAATAGAAGAATATAAATATACCTATATTTTTTATTCCAAACAAATTTTGTTTCCATTGAAATGTTTTGAAAATCATTTCCCTATACTTTCAAATTTAACTCAACCAAGCTAGTTATGTTTTTTCTCCAAAACAAAGAAAGTAAGATGATTAAAACCCCCATATTTTTCTTTATTTCATACAATCAAAAATATATTGATACAATATATTTCAGGGTTATTGATACAGCACATTGACATACCCAATTAAAGAAAGTATCTTGTAGAATTGAGTTTTTAATATTATTATTATTATTATTATTATTATTATTATTTTTTACTGCACTGCAAACGTATGATCTTTTGAATTTACCATGTATTTCTGGTTTTCTTGTTACGCTGACAGTTTTAATTTTTTTAATTTAAATTTGTTTGAGAAGCTAAAAAAAAAAAAAATTAGGGATTCGAAAATAATAAATAGTAATTGTATGAAATCAATGGCTACTGATTTCTTTTTTTTTTTTTTTTTTTTTAACATATTCAAGGTTTTCACCTTACTGCATTAAAATAAATTAATGAAGTAATTCATTATAAAAATTATAAAAATTATAAAACAAAAATTTGTTTGTTTGTTTTTGTTTTTATTCAAGGGTTATAGAATTATATAACATCAGCATCTGGGCTATCCTTCTTGTCCATACTATATATATCTTTTTATTTTCATAATAAACTTTTAATTTTGGCTTCAACATTGCATCTCCAACAGCCCAAAATCAATGATTTCTTGTTTGTTTGTTTGTTTGTTTTTATTCAAAGGTTATAGAATTAATCAATGATTTCATTGTTTGTTTGTTTTTATTCAAGGGTTATAGAACTATATAACATCAGCATCTGCGCTATCCTTTTATTGTCTGACATCTGTGACTTGCCGGTTTTCATTTGTACCTTTTTAGTACGGGTGGTTTCTGTTCTGTGCGTCTCCGGTAGCCCGGAAGATGGGCCCTGATGCCAGCTTACGAGGAACAGGGAGAACCAGTCTGTCGGTCCCAAAACCTTCCCAACCCATTTCCACTTATCTTCACGGACGCCCATGTATTTCTTAATCTCTTCCGCCAGAGATACGGCCCGCAATCACCTGCAGGCTATTTAGACTGTACGGAAGAGTCGGCATTCCTGTAACCAGGGTAGCCTATGGTTTTCAGTCTAGGTGTATACTCCCGTACACATCCTCAGGAAAAGGGGGTATTCTGGAAATCGAACCCAGTATCTTCCGCTATCGAGCGAATGTGTTATCCTTTACACCATCCAGCCCTTTCCCCCAAACCTTCCAAAACAAATTTCTTTTTTTTGAAATATATAAGTCTTTCTTTTTAGTTCTTTTAAAAACTAAACTTAACGATCACGTGATGCAGTGGCTCAATGGTAGAGCATTGGATTCCAAATCCAAAGGCTGCAGGTTCGATTCCTGTCTGTGTCAGCTATGTTTTTGCTTTTGCAAGATATTCAATTGTTATTAATTAATTTTTTTCTCTTTATTTTTTTAGGTGAATGTTGATAGATTTAGAGTGCAGGGATAAATATATATTATAGTTATAGATACAGATATAAATAAGGTTTATAGCAGAGACTGACTAAGAATAGAATAGGATTAGATAGAGGAACGCGGTAGAGATTGAGGAAGAGTATGACGAAATTCAGTGTGGCTCGTCAATGTTACTAAGTCTAGGTATTAGGTCTTGACTCAAGCTTTCAGTACCAGTTTGGGTTGTACAATTGATATATCAGTAGATGGTTAGTTAGTTAGGTAAAAGACAAGAGACAAGAGACAAGAGTAGGTAAAAAATAACACGTATCTATCTGGAGAACTAACATAAATCGTAATAGACCTAGAAGAAGAATAAGAATACACAAGAAGATTCGTGAGGTAAGTGAAATAAGAATTGTAGGGTTATTCAGGGAGCAGAAATATAGGTATCTTTATGGGAGCAGCTAATGGCTGTCCAGGGTTATTCGTCTTGGGATAAGGGGGATTTGCATCGCTTATTGCCGTTGACTTCTGTAGCTCCACTGGTTGCTGAATCTTCACTTCTAGACCCAACAAAGCTGGGCTGTAACAATCGTGTGTCATCATCAACAGACGCAGTTGCAGCAGCAACTCTAAAATCTCCTCCTTCTAGAAGGGAGAACCCCTTGTGACCAGAAACACCAATCTGCGGTTGATCCGCCTCACGTACTTGGATGAACGCGCTAGATGGTGCCCAATAAACAGGGGGATAACTATGTGCCGGTGTGCCGACCGAAAGAGGTATCACTTGCGACAAGTCACCAGGGGGGGGTAGTTGAGTCATCAATTCCCCGGCGCCTTGTGTATTGTTTGTTCGTAATTATGTACTGGTATTTTGCCAGACGGGCGGCGCGAGGTCAGGCCGTGTAGCGTCTTGGTGCGGGTCAGGCACCACGAAGTGCTGGCTACCTCCTTCTGAAGGCAGCAAAGACGCGTAGAACTGATCGTCACGAGGTGCAGTTGTGTGCGTGGCCGTTTGTGAACGCCACTTAAACGGGCAGTGCAATCCAATGTTAGGGCTGACGGTAGCTGCGCCAACCTGGCACTCACAAAATCAAGAGCACTCAGTGTCAGTCGTGCGGGATCTTGGTCTTGCAAGGAACAGGCAACCGGAAAAACCTCATGGTTCTCAGTAAGGTTGGTAGCAATCACTATATACAGCATTATCACCAAGTATGTCAAAGTACGCTGTGGAAGCTGGCTGGGATATACCAAGAGATCCGTGATTGCTACGCAAAAATATCTTCGAAGAAGACAACATCACGTACCGTGCGGACCTTAGCAGCGACTACGTTAAATACAAAGTACCCCATACTGCCGTTTCGCGGCATGCATAGGTATATACCAAATCAGCCTGGTATAGATGCTCCGGGTCTCGGGTCGTTATAAATGACGTCACAACCAAAGGTATGTAGACGGGTAAATTCAGCTGCTTTCTTATGAGCAATAATGTACGGGGTAATATACTTTTCATTAATAGTTTTTATACGGGTAGAGTTGTAAAGAAATTCAGCATGTCCACAAGAAAAGTCCCCGAATGGAGCGTGAAGATGGGAGTGAACCAGCAGAGAGCGTATAAGTATCTTCGCGGTGTGTACGTAGCGCTCGATTCGACGGTGTGTCTGGGAAATATGTGGAACAGAGTCGACTTTCAGAATCGAATGTCGGTCGAGGAGCTGCTTCACCTCCTGGCCGATGAACTCTCTGCCATTGTCAGAAAAGAGGTATTTGGGCTTGTGGTCGAAAGCGGTGGTAATCTCAGTGATTATCGAGCTGAGCGCTTCGCTGGTCTTCATGCTGCCTTTGGAAGTGATTGGTCATAAGAATAAGTTGCCGGACATTTCATCGGCAACGACAAGACAGTAGCAGGCAGCGTTGATGCTTGTTGCAAATGGGCCAGCAATGTCGGCATGAAGACGTTCGAATGGGAGGCTCTCAGAGTTGCTGCTGCGGGCAAAGGCACTGGACATGATCTTTGCTTGAATACAGAATGAGCACCTAGATGGTCTCGTCGCGGATACGGACGTTGCGACTATTTGGGTCATCATAGCGCTCAATGAAGTAGGATAGGTTGGCTTAACGCTTTTGGAACTTGTGGCGGCTGCCATTGTTCGGGGGAGAATCTTTGGTATAGCTCCCCTCGGAGTCATTGTCAGAAGGTTTGTTTGAGTCGCTGTTGCGTTAGGCGTCATTGAATTTGCGCTTGTTGTTGTTGTACCGGTTGTGGCGGCGTGGTGGTCTCCTGTTGTCACCATTCGATGGGCCGGAGTTTTTAGGCTTGGACTTGGCAAACGGACATCTGGTGTGCTTGGTGCCGTAGTGCCAGTGTTTGCAATTTGAGCAATGTGGAGGGTCATGGTTGTCAATGTGGTTGACCTGGGAGCCTTGTGAGTTCTTGGTTTGCACTGAGTTGGGTAATATGAAAGCAATATCACTAATGTTGCGGTACAAGATGTCAAGGCTTCCCTTTCCGCTGCTTCTGTAGTTGTCAAGAAGGTTAATCAAGTTGGTGAATTTTGTTTTGTGGGGGAAGAAAGTAGGGCACTGTAGTATGATGGACATGGCTACTCTTGCTCCTTCAAAGGAATTTTCCCAGTTTGACTTGTATTTGCTTCTGTTATGGCAGTGGTTCATTGCTGTGGAAAAAGTATCGGTAAAGATTTGAGCAGGTGATTTTGATTTAAGGATATCATCAGGGATCGCGATGATGAAAAACTCTGAGTTCCAAAAGTTGTCATTTAGAACGGAATTGTCATGTTCAAATGAGTTGTAGAAGAGGGTTAATTTTAGGATCTCTGGGAGAGTCGTCACTTCATAGTTCATAGAAAATCTGAGTTCAGGGCTGTTCTTGAGAAATCTAAAGGCGTCTTTGCAGATCAGTTTGTATGAGTCTATGAAGTAGCTTCTTGCACCTTCCGGGGCATTCATTTCGAAGACCTTGTTGATTGCTGCGGATATGTGGTAATCTTCCGTGGTTGGTTGGTCTAGAAATTCCTTGACCCATTTGGAGGCTGCTTCGGTTTCTTCTTTATACTTGTTACTAAAAGCGGAGACTAATAGGGAAATTCCTAGATTGGAGGAGCTTTCAAGTATGGTAGAGATGAGTGTGTGCAAGTATAGTTCAAGATCAGGCCTAGAGTATTTGGGCAAGTATGATCTAAAGTAGTTGTTGGATGATTCTATTAAGGCAACCATGTACTCTTGTATCCCATGTTCTTCGACTCGTACATGATTGGGAGGAATAAAAGGTTCGTAGACCTTTGTAGGTTCAGCTTCAAACGGGATAGTAGTTCTGTAGCAAATTCTGTTGACAAGAAAGTCGATGTCATCCGGGGGATATATAAGGTGTTTGAAGTCCTTGAGATTCAGTGGTACCAAGAGGTCCTTGATGCCGAATTTAATGATGGTTTTGAGGTGTTTAGTAGGTATGGTGATACTCTTGTTTTGAGAAATGTGGATGACAGTTTGGGATAGTGAAAGAGGGGTTGAGTTGTCGTCCATAATTCTCATGAGCCTCTTACATAAGAGTAATCTTTGGTCTTCTTTGCTCATTTTAGTAACGTCTTGAGGCCGAATCGTATAAATAAAGTATAGCAGAGACGGACTAAGAATAGAATAGGATTATAGATAGAGGAACTCCGGTAGAGATTGAGGAAGAGTATGACGAAGTCCAGTGTGGCTCGTCAATGTTACTAAGTCTAGGTATTAGGTCTTGACTCAAGCTTTCAGTACCAGTTTGGGTTGTACAATTGATATATCAGTAGATGGTTAGTTAGTTAGTTAGTTAGTTAGTTAGTTAGTTAGTTAGTTAGTTAGTTAGTTAGTTAGTTAGTTAGTTAGTTAGTTAGTTAGTTAGTTAGTTAGTTAGTTAGTTAGTTAGTTAGTTAGTTAGTTAGTTAGTTAGTTAGTTAGTTAGTTAGTTAGTTAGTTAGTTAGTTAGTTAGTTAGTTAGTTAGTTAGTTAGTTAGTTAGTTAGTTAGTTAGTTAGGTAAAAGACAAGAGACAAGAAACAAGAGCAGGTAAAAAATGACACATGTGTTACATTATGTAACACATAAAATTTTACCATAAGATAATCTTTTTACCCTTAGGGTAAGACAGAGCTTCAATGTTTGCAAGGCTTATGCCGGTAACCTAACCCCATCATGTATTATGTGGTTAGGGTTCCGGTCCTACAGTTGCAACGGGCCAGATAGAGCACCAGTATCATTGCACTTTGTTCTGCGACAGTGACAATAGTACCCCTATAGCATCAAATTATAGTAAGGAACTTCCGTAGAGGCATGCAACTTCTCAACAGTGAAGCTTTGGTGTTTGAGTATTAAAAAAGTAGGAAGGTCAGAAGTTAGGGTTTAAATAATCTATTTTTACTTTATTTCATGTCATGTGGAGGGGGAAAAAAAAAAAAATCAGTTTATGTCTTTTACAAATACCATCATCTATAAAAGTTCAATTCAATTCAATTCAATTCAATTCAATTCAATTCAATACAGCACTTGTATTTTCTATAATTTAAAAAATAATAAATTTGAACATTAGCTTATAAAGAAAATAGTGTTAGTGTTAAATACGAAACCAATTCGACCCATTTTCCACTTTTCTTAACGGATATCTCTGTATTCAATCTCTTCTGCCAAAAATATGATTTGCAATTTTCAGCAAACTAATTATACTTAATGGTAGAATCAAAAATTTAGTTAACCGTATCATTCTAAATGTTTTTTTAAGTTTTTCCAGATTAATATATTTTAGACACTTAGAATAAATATAAAATGGTATAAATTCTTTTAGTCACGTGCCGTTGTAGTATAGTGGTTAGTACACTTCGTTGTGGCTCAATAAAATGATCGAATCCGAAGAAACCTCAGTTCGATTCTGGGCAACGGCAAATATTACTGTTTTTAATAGTAACTTTTTAATTTTACACCCTTGAATAAAAACAAACTTTTTAATTTTACCAAAATTTATTCTTATTTTTCTTCTTCTTCTTTTTTTTTTTTTTTTTTTTTTTTTTTTTTAAAAAAAAAATAACAAAATTATTTAGGACAGCTAAACTTGATGTGAATTATTTCCCCTCCTTTGTTGATCAAATCTGGTATTTTTTTTTTAACCAAAAAAAAAAAAAAAATATAAATAAATAAAAAAAAATTCATCGTGGCGCGGCTTTACCTTCCTTTAAAAAAAAAAAAAAAAAAAAAAACCCTTTACAAATCAAACAACTTATGCTTATCTTTCAATTTCTTTTAAAAAAAAAAAATCTTTCCAATCCATAAACTCAAACATAACCACCACCAAATATCTTCAAATTTTTTTTGTTTTTTTGTTTTTGTTTTTGTTTTTTTTTTAACTAAATCATACCATGGCTTCCACAGAATCTAACACTCCTCCTACTGCTTCTGATCCACAGTCTATTAAAGACGAATACTATCTTTCTTTGGCTCTCGCAGAAGCCCGACAAGGATATATTGCAGAAGGTGGCATTCCTATCGGCGCCGTATTAGTGGCTGCCGACGGAACAATTTTGGGCCGTGGACACAATCGGCGTGCACAGCAGGGCAGTGCCATTCTGCACGCCGAGATGGATGCTCTTGAGCGTGCAGGCCGTCTTCCTGGATCTCGTTACAAGGGTGCAACTGTGAGTATACTTTTGTCTCTCCCATTATCCATTATCCATTATCCATTATCCATTATCCATTATCCGTCATCCGTCATCTCTCTCTAACAATTGTCTAACCAAAAAATTTAGATGTACTCTACATTAAGTCCGTGTGACATGTGCACCGGTGCTTGCTTGCTTTACGGAATTGGCCGAGTGGTCATGGGTGAAAACCGTACATTCAAGGGAGGAGAGGACTATATGCGCCAGCGTGGTGTTGAGGTTATAAATCATGACAATTCTGAATGTTATGCTTTAATGAAAGAGTTTATTGAAAAAGTGAGTGATGAATAAATTTAAATTATCTGCAGGAATCAATTTACTAACTCAATTCCTATAGCATCCAGAGATGTGGAATGAAGATATTGGCATTTAAAAAAAAAAAAAAGAAAATGATCAATTTATTACAAAATTCATTAAACAAACATAAAATAATTTATCCTCTTCTTTAAGATTTTTTTTTTTTATCTTTTTCCCCCCTTTCCATTTACTTTTCCTTTTTTTCCTTCTCATGTTCTGTATCTGTATCTTCATCACTGCGAGAGTCAACAGCTGAATCTCCAAGTAACATGCGAATCAACACACGAATAATCATATAGAGCCATATGATGGTGATACCCTGGAGTATCGCAAGTAGGCCCACAAACGTGTAATACGCAGACTTTGTGAAGCAGCGAATAAGCTCACCCGTAGCTTCATCGTAGTAGCACTTGGGGGGCAAAAGTCTGGGAACATCAGTATATGCTGAGTACAAAATATAATTGTAAAGACCATGACGAAGAACAATCCACGAAAAAAGAAAAACGACAAAAGTCGCGTCACAAGCGCGTTGAAACCCAGTATATCGCAACACTTTGGCCAGTGCGAGGGCAATGTCGACTGCATCCATAAGAACGAGAATGACGTGACCAACGCGTGTGAAATAGTAGTAATAAGAGCCGATAATGAGGGCACAGGTGACAATATGGTGAGTAAACATTTGGTAATGATCCTTGCGGCGCTCCTCGATATTAATAACGTAAATTTGTTGAAGCCATGAAGCCAACTGAACTAGATAAAAGGCCTTCATTTGGATCGAGATTTTGTTGTGTGGCCATCCGCGCCATAGTTCCTGAACCGAAGTGAGATATGGAGAGTGGGAAAGAAGGACTGCCCCCCACGCAAAAAAGGAGCCATAAGTAATTAGAGCATAAGACTGTTCAGCAAAGCGGGCTGTAATCTTGAAAGACTTGATACCAAAAACTTGTCGAGCCATGAGTATCAGCCAGTTATCGACAAAAAGAGCACGTAGGAAAGTTAAAACCACGATCCAGAAAGTGACAAAATATACATCGTCGGGGCCAATGCTGGTATAGACCGAGCCATCAGAAGAAGTAGTGACATATGAGATTAAAAGACATTTGGATGTGAATGATCTAAGTGGTGGCACAAACAAATGAGAAATAATAACGAAGGCAATAAGAAACAGAGAGGCCTCTAAAAGAAAAAAAAAAAAAAGAAAGAAAGAAAATGGTCAAAGTTAGTAAAGTTAACAGCACATCATAATTGGGACTGTTGTTTATTTGTTTTTAATTTTAAATTTTTTAGTTCGATTAATAATTAAGTGGTGCGGTGGAGAACAATTTTCAACACGTTTTTTTTTTTTTTAAACCAAAAATAATAGCAAAACAACAACAACAATAACAATAACAATAACATACTCAACTGGCGTTTATGAATGTACTCGCTGATACCGCCTCGAGACGCGGGTCCACGAATATTTCTAAGAGATGGTGCTTGTGGAGTAGTCGGTTTTTGAACCGGGGTATTAATATTATTAGAATTAGTATTATGATTATTATTATCATTAAGGGTTTGGGAATCAACTATGACAGTAGATCTTTTTGATATTAAGTTTGGAGCAAAAGGCTCCGCAAAAACATCCTCGGTGGGCTTTTTGGGGAGTGGCAGAGCTGTAGAACTATCTGTAGTAGGTAAAGACTGTAAGGGAGTGGTAAGTGTAGATTCACCATTGGCCGATATAGGTGAAGCTGGGGGTGAAGAGGCAGACGATGAAGATGAAGAAGAAGGGACTGAGGAAGATAAAGCTGAGGAGTCTTGATCAGTGCCAGCGATTGCTATATCGTCTTCGACAATCTGATGAGAGGAGGCTGGAGGAACTATGGTTGATTCGGGGCCATTGTGTAGAAGTGTGGCCATTGTTGCAAAACTTTTATATATATATATGGCCTACTTTGAGAAGAATAAGAATAAGAAGAAGAAGAAAATATTTATATATATTGGAAGAGAAGTAAAAAAAAAAAAAAAAAAAAGATTAAAATTGATGGGATTTGGAAAGAAACTTTTCCAAATATAAAGGAGTCGCAAAAGGCGGCAGAAAGACTTGGTTTAGTTTGTGGGAAGAGGCATGCATATATGTGTGTATATATAAATATAAATATAAATATAAATATATATATGTGTGTGTGTGTGTATATATATATATGTATATATATATGTTTGCGTGAAACGTTGTTACAGTTACAACATTATTAAAATCCCAAAAAAAAAAAAAAAAAAATACATGGTTAGGTACCTGTTACAAGTAACTTAACTTATTAAATAACTAATAAATTACCAAAAGTAACTGTAACTTACCTGTTACAAATTATGCACACGTGACCCTTTGTTTTAACAATCTGAAACTTGTAACAAAGACCCTTTTTTTTTTTTTTTATTTTTTTTATTTTTTGTTTCCCCTTCAACTGCTCCTCCAAAATCAACCATTTCTCGTTCTCGTTGTGACTTCTTTTTCTCCATCCCCTAAAGCTTTCTTTCCAATTTACTACCACCCCCCCCCAAAAAAAAAAAAAAAAAACATAACTGACAAATCTACCCATGATCTAAGTCAGGGGTCTTCTTCATTATCATAATCATCATCATCATCTTCTTTATTTTTATTTTTTAATTTATATTCATTTATTCATTCATTCTTTTTTTTTCTTTTTTCCCCATAATCTTATTTCATGTCTTCAGCTTACTCTGCTACTGCTTCGGCTACCCCAAAGGCTGTTGCAAACGGTGCTGGCAGCTACCCCTCAGGATCAGGGGTTCACTCTTCATCTGCTGCTGCTGCCGCCGCCAGACACCAACATCATCTCCATTTCCATCGAATGAGACACAGATTTTCTCTTACAAACATTCTAGGTGACCCCTTTGCTCTTTCAACCATCTCTATCGGCTCCATTGGCTGGGTTGTGGCCCTTTGTGGCTCCATTACCGTCTCAACTGCTACATCAAAGTTCCCTGTATTCACCTGGTGGGGAGTGGCTTCTCAGTTCCTCGTCATTATTGCTGTATTTTGGGTTTGTGCAACAAATAATGTTCATCCATACCGCTTGGCTTTGCTGGCATCTCTTGCAACAACAACAGTATACACAACAAACTCTACAAATAACTTTGTATACAACTCTACACCCTCTTCTGCTGCCGCATCTGCAGGTTTTATACTACTTTCAATCATTAACATTCTTTGGATGATTTATTTTGGAACTACTGAAGAGGCTCCCTTACACCGATTTGTGGACTCCTATTCCGTAAACAAGCCTAATACTCCCTATGATTCCTACTACCATAATCCCATGGATATGGGTTATACCAACCTAAACAATAACAGACTAGTCTCGGGCCTTTCACGCCAACAAACAAACCCCTTTTCTCATTCTGCTGCGGCGGCACAATCTTCTGCTATGGCTACTGGAATCAATGCAGGCATTAACGCCTATGGCCAGCAACAACAGCGTGGCGCATACAGCGACAATACAAACAGCTACAACAAGTACTACACACAAGGTCAGCAGAATTCCATTGGAGCAGGCTCCTATGGCATGGACGTTCTTTCCCAACCCGCGTACCATCAACAACAGCCTTCATTTATGGCTGCACCTCTCGGTGCTTTTGAAAACAGCTCCCAAATTCATCATAAACCCTCAACTGCTTCTGGTCTTGACCAGGGTGGCTATGGTGCAAACAATACACTGACTCTGGGCGGAAGTACAGGTGGCTACCGTGAGTCGCAGGCTTCGTCCGATGGTGAAGTCTCGCTCCCCACAGAGTACCCTTACCGTGTACGTGCAAACTATTCTTACGTGGCTACAGACGAAAATGAGCTCTCCTTTAAAAAGGATGAGATCCTCGAGGTTAATGAGATTCGCGGCAAGTGGTGGCAGGCCCGCCGTGAGAATGGCGAAATCGGTATTTGCCCGAGTAACTATGTCAGACTCTTAAATTATGGCTGGGGAGCAGCCGCCATTGCTGCTGGCTTGGTTGGTCCAGACGGCATGGCGCACTATGCTTCAGCACAACAACAATCGGGATATGATAGCATGACTACCACGACCTCAACGACTACAGGATATCATCAAAACCTGTAATGGCATTTCATTAAAATTTTTTTTTTTTTTTTTAAAAAAACTGGCTTATTTTGAAAAAAAAATAATTTTTTTTTTTCCCGCAATTTATATAAATCTTCTTATACATTGACAAATAAAATTATATTGTGAGCAAATATATATAAATAGACATTACCACTTTTAAATATTCATAAGCTTATTTCAATTTCATCTTAAGTTATGGTTATATTATTTGGCATTAACGTTTAATTTAAACAATTCGACACGCATTAATCACGACACGAAAAAGAGAAGACTTTAAAATTCTACACGGAATGATCCAACCTGGAAGCCTCCAAGCTCAAGGACAATCTCAGAATCACCTAAGGAGTTCACTGTAACTTCCAGCTCTTCCTCATCATCCTCAAGCAGATTTGTTTTAAACACCTTGCTCACTGCTGGTAACAGCTTACCATCAAGAATAAGCTTTCCGCGAGCACGGCCACCCAAAGCCTCGTAGACACGTACAATTGCACTGGGGTTCTTGCTTCGAACAGGGAGTCCACCATACGCAACTTCAGCATCGTCCTCAAATCGCTTGATGGTACTCAGCACAAGACCAGGCTCACCCTTGACTTGAACAGCACCAAGAACTGAACTGGGTGTTACTCCAACAGCAGTGTCCCGGTACAGACCCTTGAGAGGGTGATTCAAGTTGTAGCCAGCACGCACAATGTGGTGCGACACACCGCCCTCGTGTGGCAGCAAAGCATACGTAAATGTATGGTGGCCCATATCTGCATGTGCATCAGGTGCCTTGGGTGCACGTAGCAGTGACAGACGAATAACCTGCCCGTGAATAGAATAACCGTACTTGCAATCGTTGAGCAGGGCAATTCCATGAGAGTACTCACTATAGTCGCCCCACTTGTGTGCACAAACTTCAAATTTGGCAACGTCCCAACTAGTATTGAAATGAGTAGGCCGCTTCACAATGCCAAACTGTGTCTCATAAGATGCAGTTTCACTAAAGATATCAACAGGAAACTCAACCTTGAGGAACTTGCACTCTTCATGCCACTCAACGCTGCAGTCAAAGCGCAAAAGACTGCCATCGACAATATCTGCGTTAGAAGGAGCACCTACAGCATCAAGAGAAATGCGAGTAACAATACTGCTTTTCTCACTAATTTTTTGAGAAACCTCAATCTCAGCCCTTAAAGGACCACTCTTGGTAATTTTACCGGTACCCTTTCCAAGCTCGTGGCGGGTGTCGAGCGAATAAAGCTCGGTATCCCAAGCTTGCCAATAGAGAGGCTGATCCTCAAGAATAACCAGCTTGTTACCAGCCTCACCCTTTAGAATAAGCTCACGATTGTGCTTAATGTCATAAAGAGACGTTAGGTGACCACCATCAATCGTAGCTCTAAGAAGACCATTTTCAAGCAAAAAAACATTGGGAGCAATTTCTTGAGCAGTAGCCTCGCTGGTAGAAAAGGCCTCAAAGTCAGCTTGAGAAACTGGGGTAGCAACCTCGGAACCAGCTTCACTAGAAACAAGCACAAGGTGAGTGCCATCATTTGACTGAACAGCTGCAGAGTCAACAGGTGCAGGAACCTCAACGACTTCAAGACGAGGCCAAGGCATTGTATTGACAGCAATGAACTCAGAAGTAGCAGTCTTGGGGGCATCAGAGAGCCCAAGAGCTTCAAGAGCTTCGTTAGTCAACTTATGTGCACGCTTGTAAACATCGGCGTAAATAATCTTGACATCGTCATAAACCATCTCAATTGAAGAGCCAGGTAAAACATCGTGGAACTGGTTCAAACACACATCTTTCCAAAGCTCATCAATATCCTTCTTTGGATACTTGTAAGACTTACTTGAAAGAGAAGCAAGCGTAGCGTAAAACTCGAGATCATGGAGAATAATCTCAGAGCGGCGGTTATGCTTCTTAGTATCACTCTGAGAAGTGTAAGTACCTCTATGGAACTCAAAGTAAAGCTCACCAATCCAAGTCACCAGTTCCTTTCCATTTTTAGTGCTGTCAGCAATCGAGTTGTAGAACTCATCAACAGTAGTACCCGAGTGAACACGAGGAAGCATGCCGACTGTGTCAGATACACCGCGGCATCGACGCAATTTTTCAAGCATCTCGGCAGTAGGGCCGCCACCACCATCACCATGACCATAAAGCAGCATACCATGATGATCAACATCCATGTTTTTGTTTTGCTTAAGAGAACGAGCAACGTCACCAAAGTGAGCAGCAGCGGTGTATGTATCATCAGGAGGCATATGGCAAATAACCTGAGAGCCGTCCAAAGCGACCCAGTTAAATGTAGTGTTGGGAAACTTGTTGATATTGTTCCATGAAAGTTTCTGGGTTAAAAAACGGTCCATTTCAGCACCGCGACAAAGCTGAGGAATTTGGGCACTGTATCCAAAGGTATCAGGAAGCCAAAAAGTACGTGAACGCTGACCAAAATGCTCTTCAAAGAACCGCTGACCAAGAAGAAATTGACGTACAATAGCTTCACCAGTTGGCATATTGGTGTCGTTCTCAACCCAAGAACCACCAACAGGGATAAAGCGACCCTCCTTGACAGCCGCTTGAATACGCGTAAAGAGCTCTGGGTGGTCCTGGAGAAGCCATTCCATTTGCTGAGCCTGAGAAGCAGCAAACACGTACTCGGGGTAACGTTCCAGCAAGTCTAACTGTGAAGACCATGAACGAGCAACCTTGCGGCGGGTCTCAGCATAAGGCCAAAGCCAGGCCGTATCGATATGGCAGTTGCCAATTGCCGTAACTTCCGCGGCTAGAGGGCTCTTGTAAACCTTTGACGAATCAACCAACTTGCCGACATACTCTTTAGAAATTTTACGACACTCAGCAATTGTTTCGTCTGGGCGTGCGGGGTCGAACGTATCCATAATCAAATTAGCTACTTCACGAGCCTTGTGCTTTTGCCATGAATCGTCAGGCAGTTCACGTGCGGCGTCTCCGATAATCCAAAAGTCAATGTACAGTGCACGAGCCTCTAGGTTGGGGACAAGCAGCTCAACAGTAGACAGTGTAAACCAACGGTTATTATCAGGTGGGTGAATGTCATCAGGAGTACCATTACCAAACATTCCATTGCAGGCCATTTCTATGTAAAACAAGTGTTTCTTGCCATCCTTCTGCCATTCACTGGGAACAATCCATTCTTTTCTTTCGGCACCACTAAGACCAACAACAATGGTTCCATCTTCGTAGTAAATGCAGCCCTCGTTTCCGGCATCCCACTTGAAAATCACTTGTTCTTCGTCAGCCCACTCGGCAGGAACTGTAATTTCAATGCGGAACCAGTGAGTTGACCACGACGGACCAAACGACTCACCACGCTCAGTTGGGCGCCACTTGGCTGTAGGAACCACGTCATTGAACAATGGGCGCGCACTATTAGGAACAGAATAAACTTCAAGAGTGATATGAGGGCTTCCAGAAACGGTCTTGCGGTCATAAAAGTTAGGGAGGTTGAGAGCCTTGTACTCGCCATTGGCTGTGAAAAGACGAAGTCTGTTTTCGTAGATACTCTGCACCTTTTTAAAAACAGGCGCGGTATTACGAAGTGGATATTTTCCCATAATGCTGAAAAATAGTTGACTAACTAGATGAAATAGAAGAAATTGTTGAAATTTTATATAGTAAAAAAAAAAAAATTAAAGGTTGAGTTTTGAGAGGAGGAAGAGAAGGAAAAACAAAAGTGATTTTTTGAGAGAAGATAGGATTAAAACAGCGTGGTCTTGGTAAATTCAAATATCCCACCAGCCTCCTCCTCCCCCAAAATAACCTTTAGGCGGGGGTGGAAATAAAGAAATTGGGTCCGCCCTGGATTTGTAACAAGTTCTGTAACCTGAAACAACCGGGTAAGTAATTAGGTAAGTTGGAGAGATTCCTTTGGTAGCTTTTGAAAAATCAATTTGGAAAGTAAAGTAGCTCATGAAGTAATTCATTAATCATTATTCTAAAAATCTATATATATAAATACAAAACAAACCAAAATATATGTTTAATAAAGGAAAAATTAAACGTTTTTGTAAATACCAAGCTTGAGACGATTGACTTTTAAAATCGCATACGCGCATAATCTATAAAGAACAAGACAAACAGTTAATAAGCCCATGTATACTTGGAATCGTTTATTTGAAATAGAAATTCCATAAGTATCCAAAACTTGCTTTCCATTCATAAGAGCACATTCACCTGTAGTGCTATCAATTTCCTGGCCCTCACAGGAAAACTTAAGGCTTTCTGGAAATGCATGCTTAGCAACCACGCCAACTGCATACTTTAACGGGGATATCCAGTTGATTGCACGCAAAACAGGAGGCATGTGAAATGACATTACCCCAGACATCATAGTTGCAATAGAAAGAAAAACAGAAATAATATTCATTGCAAACCCTTCATGCATAAAAATTGTGTTGAATGCAATGCCAATTGATTCACCGCAGTTGACTATAACCAGAACGCAATAAGTAGATATGAAGAACATACTAGCAGAACGACCAAAATCCGTGGCTAATGCATATAAACAAGAAAACATCATTGCTGTGATAACTTCAAAGGGAAGCTCAATAAAGGTGTAAGTCAAAAAAAATGGAGTAACACCGTATATACCATCATCATACTCACGGTAGAATACAGATCGCTCTGAAGGATATACTGCGATATTGTTAAGCATCCCGACAAAGTACACCGAGGTCACTTGTTGCAGCAAGCCAAGGCGATCTGAGATTCCAACGTAGCTATCATGAAGCGGAGAATAATACAAGGCAAGAACACCTGCAATGCCAGAAACTTGAGTCAGACGAGCTACAAGTAAATGCGGGGATTTCATAATATTTGTCAAACTTCGACTTAGCAATATCATAAAAATAAACTGAGTATTGTTTTTATGTGTTGGAGCTGCAACTGGCATTTCAGGATAAACTTGACTGTAGGTAGTAGTAGTTTTTTTTTCTGATGTTTCATTTTTTTCCCAGCTTTCAATAAGCATTTTAGCCCGTTCCTTCGAAGATACTTCAAGCTCTGCGCTTTGAAAATTTATAGATACCAAGTCAAGAAGATGGTCTGCTGGATTGGTAAAAGATGGACATGGGTATCCGATTTTATCAAGATAAGGGAAAAGGTTTTGCGGTGAATCATTGTATGCAGTGTAACCACCTTTAGCTAAAAGTAAAATGTTACCAAAACGAGGGAACATATCAGAGCGGGGCTGATGGATAGAACAAATAATAGTTCTGCCTTCAGCAGCTAAACCTTCTAGAACATCCAGAATAGAGGCTGCTGTGAAACTATCTAGTCCTGATGTGGGCTCATCCAATAGTAAGACTTGGGGGTCATTCAATAACTGAGCACTAATGGAAACTCGGCGCTTTTCGCCACCAGAAATTCCTTTTACCTGGACGTCATCTCCAATTGGTGTATTAGCACAGTATTTTAGGCCCATTTTAAGTATAATGTTATCAGCGATTTGACGTTTTTCCGAGAGTGAAAAATGGTTGGGCAGCCGCAAGTAAGCCGCATAATGCAATGTTTCGCGAACAGTCAAGGCTGGTAATAAACCGTCATCTTCTTGAGTGACAAACGAACATGACGTAACTTTGGACCCGTTAAAATATATACTTTTGGAAGATGAGTATCTAGAAAATAGACTGGAATTTAAACGGCCAGCAATAAGGTTTAAAAGTGAACTTTTCCCAGAACCACTAGGTCCTAAAATGGCATTTATTTTCCCTGGTACAAAAGTTGCATTGACATCATTTAAAATATTTATTTTGTTCATTCTGCCATAATTCAAAAAATCAAATTTGCTAATTGAAAGCTTCAAGTCTTTAATATCAACAGTGACTCTAGAAGCGACAGTTGCATTAAAAAATTCATTGCCTTCGGTTTTGATGGGTTTAAGCTCGGACGAGGAAGTTCTTAAAGACTTTTGCTGTGCCATTGTCATTTTGACAGGAAAGTAATATAAAACAATTGCTGCGAGAAGATAAAAAGAAACTGCCCAGGCTGTCAGAATACCAAGAGGAGCCGCTATCCAATTGGTACGAAATCCCATGGATTTGACAGCGTATTCACCAGAATACGATAAGCATTCGGGAACTGATGGATCATTTCCATAAGGACAGTCACCAAAATAGTTTTGGAACTGGTTATTGATCACAGCTGTATACGAATAGTAAAGGTATGCCACCCAACGTGTCCATCTGACATAAACGGGCAAATGAGCACTGTTTACAAAAAAGCCACAAGCCATGAATTGGACAGTAAAGAAAAGATTACTGATAAGCGAGGCGATGGCAAAATCTCTTGAAATGGAAGTGCTCAATGTCGCAAAAAAAACGGCGGCATAATGATCTAAAAGACTGGCAGCAAAGTAAATGAAAAACTGTGTGGCAGTACGGGAAAATCCTATCATAAAGTAAGAAATGATTGAGAAAAAAAGCGGAACAAACAAATCTTCTGTGAGACATTTAGAAAGACGGCGAGAAATGAGAAAGCCAGCCACTGAAACACATCCTTCGCTTCTTTCCCTGTCATAAACTTTTAAGTCTATTCGGCAAAGACGATAGGTTTCATAAACAAGTAAAAGATATCCTTGGAGTGAGACTGAAATGTAAACTGCGCCAAACTGGGATCGAATCCCTTGAATGGAGCCATCAAGTTTATAAAAAATCCAGCCCACGATAATCCCCATGGAAATGCACTCAAATAGCAATCCTGCATAACCCATTGGGTCTCTATAAGAGATAATGAATTGTCGTTTAGTAAGAGCAATGACTTGACGGAAAAGAGGAACAACATTGGTGAGTGGTTCCGCAGACGAAGAAGTCAACGAAAGGTTTGAAAAGGAACCGCCATTTTTAAGTTTCTGGTAATGAAGGTCCCATGACTTGACAAGATTATTCACACGACAAGTAGTCAATTCTTCTGAGTCTGAAGTACGAGAGTCGACAGCACAAATATCAATGATAAAGTCTGCGGGATTAACATGAAGAGGAAGATTGTGTCCACAAGTTTCGAAATAAGAAATAACATCAGTAACAGGACCCGAATAAGCCAAACGACCCCCGCGAGTCAAAACCGAAATAGAGTCGAGAAGGAAAAAAATGTCAGAACGAGGCTGATGAATACTCATGATTACTGTACGACCAGCAAGAGCAAGGTTTTTACATGTTCGAACCAAAAGATATGCAGAGTTTGCATCTAGTCCGGTCGTTGGCTCGTCAAGAAAAAGCACGGATGGGTTTGCGAGGAGTTGTATTCCGATGGAGAGGCGTCGTTTTTCTCCTCCCGAAAGACCTCGATGAGACGTAGAGCCAACTAGGGTATCTGCACATTCCAAAAGACCTAGTTCGCGGATGGTTTTTTCGACGAGCTCGTGACGCTTAGCTTTTGAAACAGAATTGGGAAGACGGAGGTCTGCTGAATAAGTAAGAGTTTCCCGACAAGTTAGCGTAGGCTCTAAAATGTCTTGTTGGAGAACAAAGGCATGTGACACTGAAGAAATCCTTGGCAGACCATTGTAGGTTACCACTCCAGACTTTTCTGCAACGGAGGAAGAAACTGATGACCGGTCCGCTAGTGCGTTTAAAAGGGTCGTTTTCCCAGAACCGGACCCACCAATAATGGCCATCAATGAACCTGGTAGGACTTGAAAAGAAACATCTTGAAGGATTTTGACAGAATTTGAGGCGAGATTGGAATTTGAAGAATTTGAGGTATTTGAAGCAGAAGAAAAAGGCGATAACCTTGATAAAAACGAAGAAGACTTTTTAATAGCCAATGATAAGTTTTCGACAGATACTGTAACTTGAGGAACGGGGTCAAGCGAAATTACATTTAAAGATGATGATGATAAAGTACCTTTTGAGTTCGAAAGTGGAGGAGGCAATGCTTGCGAGACACCTTGCTCAATGTAATCTATTTGATTCATGTTTTTTTTACTTAAATGTTCATAGTGAAAATCTCAAAGGTATATGTGGTAAGAAAAAGAATTAAAAAAGAATTAAAAAAAAAATTAAAGGAATAAAAGGAAATCTTAGCAAAAGTTTTCTCTCAAACTATCAAAGCATTATTTCTAATAAATTGATAAGTATTGATCACTGTACGACTTCCCATAGTTTTTATGTTTATTTTTATTTTTGATTGCGTATTTTAAAAAAAAATGAGTTTGTTAAAACCGTCTGATGTAACACTGTACAATATTGTAGTTTGCAAGCTTTATAAAGAGCTTATATAACGTCAGTTAGCGTTATATTAAAAGAAATTAAGGGGAAATTAAATAAAATAAAATAAAATTAAATAGAAAAAAAGCGGTTAACTTTTAATTGAGCCGTGCAAGAGCTTAATGATTGCTATGTTTAGTACTCAAGTGTAAAACGGTGTCCATCAAAAAAAAAAAAAAAAAAACCTTAGACTTAACTTAAATTAAATTAACTTCAATTTAGTTTAGTTTAATTAAAGAAATAGTTACGTTTATCTTTTGTATTAATATGACAAAAAAAAGGTTTTGTAATTTAATTTTGTGTAATAACAAGTTCATTTATTTATCACAATAAATCCTCCCAAAAAAAAAAAAAAAATAAAATTAAAAATAAAAATTCCAATTTTCTCCAGCATCTCCTCTTTAAAACATTTGTAAACTTAAGTAAATAATAAATCATTCATCAAACATGGCAGACAGACTTGCTCAAATCTATGGAACAGAAAAAGATAAGGTTAACTGGTAAGTGTAAAATCCTTTATTTGATTTTCCATGATTCTAACCTTTTGTACAGTTCTTTTTACAACAAAATCGGTGCATGTCGACATGGCGACAAGTGTGCGCGACATCATATCAAGCCATCCTACTCGCAAACTATCATCTGTCGCAACATGTATCAGAACCCCGAAAATGAGCCAAACAACCATTTGACGCCAGAGGAGATGAAACAGCACTTTCTGGCTTTCTATGAAGACTTATTTTGTGAGTGTGCACTCTTTGGAAAAGTCGAAGAAATGGTAGTCTGTGAAAATAACAATGACCATTTAGCAGGAAACGTGTACGTGCGCTTCAAATATGAAGAGGATGCAGCTAAAGCCTGTGAAAAGTTCAATAACCGATGGTATGACAAGCGACCAATATACTGTGAACTTTCACCAGTCACAGACTTTAGTGAAGCCTGTTGTCGCCAACACGAAACAAAAGATTGCAAACGCGGAGGATTTTGTAATTTTATTCATGCTAAACGTCCTCCGCGTGAGTTTTTGCGCGAACTCCAACTTGAGCAGCTCCGCAGCTTGAAAGACAAAGGTAAAACTGATGATCTCAACGATAGTGACTCTGAATCCGATTCAGAGTTTCGTTCGCGCCGACGACGATGATATATGTTTATCGTCCTTGAAGCATGGTTTTATTCTTTTTTTTGTTTTTGTTTTTGTTTTTTGTGTAGAGTTCTATAGTAATTAGTTGTTGTATAAGTATAATAAAATATTAGTCGCCACCACAAAAAAAAAAAAAAAAAAAATAATCTACCAACATTCTTTTTTTTCTGCCTCACCACCAAACTTTTCATATCCACATCACCATTTAATACTTTGAAATTCGAAACCCCATCCTCGTCTTAAATAGACTTTTATACAAACATCTATACAATGGCTGATAGATACTCTTTTTCTCTTACGACTTTCTCGCCCAGGTATATTTTTTTGTATAACCAATTGTTTTTTTTTTTCTGAAGATACTAACCTTGAAATCCTTAGTGGCAAGCTTACTCAGATCGATTATGCCCTCCAGGCCGTCAACAAGGGTGTTACTTCCTTAGGAATCAAAGGTGTGTTTCACAACTAAATTATCATTTACCTCTAATTGTTTCTAACACATATCTCCAGCTTCTAATGGCATTGTACTTGCCACGGAAAAGAAATCATCTTCCCATTTGATCAACACAGATACACTTTCCAAAGTTGACCTCATCACTCCTGATATTGGTGTTGTTTACAGCGGAATGGGTCCTGATTACCGCGTACTTTTGGGCCAAGCACGCAAACTTTCGCATACTGCTTACAAGCGCATTTACAACGAGTACCCCCCAACACGCATCATGGTTCAGGAGGTCGCTAAGGTGATGCAAGAGGCTACACAAAGCGGTGGTGTCCGTCCCTACGGTGTCTCATTGCTTATTGCTGGATGGGATCAACACTTTGGCTATGGCCTGTACCAAGTGGACCCTTCAGGTGCTTATTTTCCTTGGAAAGCCACTGCTATTGGAAAGGGCTCAACTTCGGCAAAGACCTTTTTAGAGAAACGTTGGAATGAGGAGCTGGAACTCGAAGATGCCATCCACATTGCTCTTCTTACTCTGAAAGAGTCCATTGAGGGCGAAATGAATGGTGATACAGTCGAAATTGCTGTTGTAAGCGAGCCCGCAGACCATCTTTTGGGAGTGCGGGGTGTTGCTGGCGCTGAGGGCCCACGATTCCGCAAGCTTAGCGCTCAAGAAATTGATGATCGTTTGGATGCTTTATAAATAAGACGGTCAATTTGATATGGGGCTATTTTTATACACATGTAATGAATGAAATGATGTCGAGATAAACCTGCTTATTATTATTATTATTATTTTTTTTTTTTTGATGCTAACTTTTTTATGGATATTTTGTTTTTCTTGTATATATATTATTTTTGTTTTTTTTTTATTTATATATATATTTGTTTGCCACCAACATGAAAAAAACCATCTCATCTATTATCGCTGCTCGACTTATGGCCGAAGGCGTCGGTGCTTCGGTGCGCCGATCAATCGGCTCTCGTCATTTACGCCAATTATCACCTTTTTTACTGCTCGACTATATGGAAACAGCCAACACTGAAGCATCCTTCCCAGACCACCCTCATCGCGGCTTAGAAACGGTAACCTACGTGTTACAGGGCACAATCGAACACGAGGACTTTACAGGGTCGCGAGGTGTTCTAGGTCCTGGTGATTGCCAGGTCATGACTGCAGGAAAGGGTATCATGCATGCCGAAGTTCCTAAACCTCCAGAAAATGGAGCTGGATTGTTACCTGCTACTGGTATTCAGCTTTGGGTTGACCTGCCGGCAGATTTTAAGAACGTGGACCCTCATTATCGCGACCTTCGGCGAAATTTTATTCCAGTAACAGAACCTGCTCCAGGTTTGCGATTATATTCATTGTCAAAAGAAACAAGTATTACAAAAACACCTATTTGGTTTCTCTACTACAAGTGGTTTGGTACAAATGAACCCTTGCGTTTTGAATCACCAGTCATTCCTCCAGGATGGGCTTCCTTTATTTACGTAACAAAAGGTCAACTTACAATTGGGAACGGTCGCAGTACCGGCGGCGAAGATGCCAGTAGCAACAGAAGTATTCTGGAAAATCAAAGTAATCTCAATGAAAATACCCTAGAAAGTCAGCTAATTGTTGGTGATAAGGTTCTTGGAGAACATGATTTAGCTGCCTTTGAGCGCAGTCATGAAGCAGAAGAGAAAATTGTCGTGGACTTGCCTGTGGACCTTCCAGTAACCCACACTGCATTTGGAAATGATGAAAAGTCTTCTGTGGAGTTTCTTATATGTGCGGGACAACCGTTAGAACAACCAGTCTTCAGAGACATGTTTTTTGTAGAGTTGTCCAAGGAAGATCTACGACAGTCCAAAGTAGACTACCGCGACAAAACCAACGGCTTTGAACGAGGGCGAGATTGGAAGAGCAAAATAGCAGGCTCGATAAACTATAAATTCACATATAAAACAAAGTAGATATAAATTAACTATCCGAATCATCATCATTCTTGAAGGGGTTGCGGATGGGCTCAATAACCAGGTTGGGCTTAACAAGTACCCTCGGTTTGACCATCTTTTGGTGAGCCATACGCGTCGACCATTCCTGGCCAATAGGCATGCGCAACGACCGTTCATATTGTTCCCGTGTCTCGAACGGGAATGGAATCTTGTCGGCGTGTAAATGACTTTGGTCAGCTGTCAACCGTTCGTTAATAATAACATTTTCAAGCTTTGCATCGCGACGGTTCTGGGCGCGCACAACACCTGCCACCTTACGCACAAACCGCTTTTTGGGTCGTGCGGAAAGGCCTGCACCACCCCAACCTCCCCAACCAGGGAGAGTGACATCCTCAACACGATCGTCATCACGTTTGGTTATCGAGGCCTTTTCTTCTTCAAACTCGGCAACAACATCGTCACCAGAAAAGGCCTGTTTAACAAGATCTGTCTGCTTGAACGAAATGCGCGAAGATCTGTCGTCATCACTATCACTATCGTTATCGTTATCACCAAACGGATCAACCACATTAAGAGTTTCATTCATATCAATCAAACCGTCCCGAGCAGAAGCTTTGGTCTCGCGTTTCCCGGCCGCCTTCTTACGCTGCTTTTTAATTTCAGCTTGTGACTTGTCAGAAGCAGAGCTATCACGTCCCAAAACAGTTACGCTGCTTTTCTTTTTGTGGATATCATTGTTACCTGTGAGCCAAGGATTTTCTTCATCAGAATCATTATCGGAATTGCCATCCTGTTCACGCTCCCGGAAGCTAACCTTCTTTTGTTTTTTGCTGCTAGGTTGTTCTTCATCATTATCATCATCATCGTAAACAACGCGTACACGGCCAATACCATTAGTGGCATCATTGTCCTCGTCTTCCTCTTCCTCTTCCTCTTCACTGCCATTGTTGGTACCACGCGCTTTGCGCTTGTGAGAAGCACGTAAGCGGCTTTCTAGAGAGTCTTCATCAAGCTCCATGTCGTCACGAGCTTCCTTAACAGCTTTCCTGGCCTCAATTCGGGCTTTTTCCGAGCCTGGCGTGTATTTTCGGCGACCTTCATTAATGACCACGTTAGCGCCCTTTGTGCGTCCGCCATCTTCCGAGTCTTCATCTTCACTGCCAAATCCATCAACAGCGTCGCGAGCACGGCGTAATTCCTCCTTGGCTGTCTGGTTGCGTTTCCGCTCGGCCTCTTCGGCATCCAGCATAAATTTCATTGCAAGCACACCTTTACCCAATTTTTGTTTTGTAGAAAGAGTTTGCTCGTCATCACTGTCAGAGCCCTCACCATTTAGAAACTTTTGTTCAGCATCGGAATCATCAGAATCAGAACCCCCAGCACGACCAAGCATCTTTTCGCGAAGAGCTTCACTTTTAAGTAGCATCTCTTCAAGTTCTTTGCGAGTAGCAACATCTTTAGTCATTCCATGTTTAATCATGTCGCGAGCCCACTTGCCACCAGTCTTGTGTCGTTGTCCAATACGTTCACGCGCTCGCTGCATATCATGTTCATCATTGTAGTCCTCTTCATCTTCTTCTTCACTGCCAGCCTCACGCATGAGTTCTTCCTCACGTTCACGCTCCTTTCTGTGAATTTTGCGGTAAGTCTTTGACTTGATTTTTTTAATGCGTCGTGCTTTCTGTTGTTCACGGTATGCCAGTTCCTTCATTTTGCGGATTTGCGCACGGTGTTGTTGTAATTCTTCTAAAGTCATTTGTGCTGGTGCAAGCTCCTCAAATGTGTCTGGCTGACTGCTTTGCTTAGGACCGAGTTGTGATGCTTTGAGCATTTCATTTATGCGACGCTCCATTTCAGTAGCCGGTTCTTGGTCATTGCTAGCACCCGAAATTGTGTGAGGAACAATCTTACGGGGTTCAACCATTGGGAACGATAAATGTTCAGCCTCCTTCATTGTGTTAACCGTTTCTTTCCATTTGCCAACCTCTTCTTTTGTCAAATCGTATGCAGCTCGACGTTCTAATCTTTGTTGAATATGCTTGGCCAGTGGAACAGCAAGTGTCATTGATTTTTCCTTTTTAGATACTCCAGATGAGCCGTTAGATGTATCAATTAATTTTAAATGTGAAGCAACATCTTTATCAGCAACTGTTCCTGCTAAATCAGCAAGAGAAAGCTTTCCTTCGCCAAAGGTATTAAATCCAAAGGTAGATGATCGCACTGAAAACTCGCTCTCGGCAGCAGCACTGGTTTGTTGGAGCTTTTCATAGTCGTCAGCGGTAAGTGCAGAAGATCCGTTCTTTTTTGTGACTTTAGCTGGCTTTTTCAGATCAGAAATCATAGCTTGAAGGTTGCTGAGCTGCTCCTCATCAATTTCGTCCACATCTTCATCATCCGAAAGCGAAAGTTCAGAGTCTTCGTCATCATCAGATTCCTCTTCTTCTTCAGAATCCTCATCGTCTTCTTCTTCCTCCTCTTCGTCCTCTTCCATCAGTTTGAAACTGCTTCCTTCTTTTTTATTCTTAATCTTTAAGCTCTTTTCGTATTCTTCTTTGTCTTTGTCATCTAAATCCCAAGCTTCAGTCAATGTTACAAACTGCGATTTGTCAATGCTAGCGTCGGATTCGTCTTCAGAAGCCAGTTCATCTTCATCATATTCAGGCTTGTAGCTTTCACCCTTGCGAATTTTGCGCTTCTTTTTCCAAACTGAACTATCCAATATTTCCTCTTCGTCTGAAGATCCAAAAGCTTCATCACTATCAATCTCTTCATCTTCATCTTCATCTAAATCCTCCTGTCCGGCAATTAAATTGCGATCGATAGGTTCATCTTCACCAGCCAAAGGATCTGGATCACTATCCTGGTCATCATCTTCATTATTTGACTTGCTGATTTTACCAGCTTTTTTGTTCTTGCGACGTTTGGCTTCCAGATCAGCCTCTGCAATGTCAAGAGCATTATACAAACGCTCACGACTTTTAGCTAAGGACACACTTGGGGGTCGCGATGCCTGAGATTTCTTCTTTTTCCCAGCTGAAGCATCTGGTAACACATTTGAAGATCTTTTGCCTGGATTCGTTCTTCGTCGAATATTTTTTCCCATTGTATTGTAAATTTTTTTTAGCGTATATATAAGGGATTGTGCAAATTCGGATAATCTGTTTAAGACCTAAAAAAAAAAATTTTTTTTTATTAAGAAGCCGCACGTATGGCAAAACTTTTCAAAGTCACATGATCATAAAATATAGGTATCACATTTACGCTTATTTAAGTATTCCTCGTCCCTTGGGAGCATTTTTTTTCTATTAAATTGAGCCTCGGCTAAATCTCTAGAAAGCATCAACCTACCTAAAGAGGAGAAATCTCACATCACGTGCGGTAACCCCACTCTTTATAAGTCTGTTCCAGGCTTATTTAATCATCTGCTCCTCCTCTTTTTTTTTCTCCTCCTCCTCCTCCTCTTCAACCAACAAAAGTTTTTTTTATTTTTTTCCCTCTTACTTATCCACTCCACAAACACCTTCTGACAGACCTATTAGAAACTAACTAGGCGACAAACACCGCTTTGTTTCTTATCTTTCATGTCTTCAGTCCAACGTCCAAAACCTTGGGAAGTCTCGTCTGGAACATCTGCTGCTAGTCTTTCACCATCTGCATCACTACCTATGAGCTCTACTCCGGCGGCGACGGCGGCGGCGGCGTCATCTCCCGCATCAACAATTTCGACAGCAACTTCTTCAACAACCCCAGAACTTCCCGCTAGACCTACATCTCTCACAACAGCAGCTCCTGCTTCAGCAGCATACTCGCCGTACTCAGCTACAGGTGCATCTTCGCTAACTGGGTTGGGAACTTCACCTTATGGCACAACATCGCCTTATGGCACCAGTTTAGGCACTGGTATTGGTGGCTACGGATCATATGGTTCAAGCTACGGCGGTTATGGCTCCTATGGCACTGGTGGCTATGGTGGCTATGGTTCATATGGAGGTTATGGTGGAGGTTATGGAGGAGGTTATGGATCACGATTTGGTATGAATGGTTTTAATGGAGCTGCAGGCGCTGGCGCGCTGGGCCCTAACGGATTTCAAAACAGCACACAGGCAACATTCCAGCTTATTGAGTCGATAGTCGGAGCCGTTGCAGGCTTTGCTCAAATGCTGGAATCTACTTATATGGCTACTCACTCATCATTCTTCGCCATGATGTCAGTGGCCGAACAGTTTAGCCATCTGAAAAACTCGCTGGGCTCGATTCTGGGAATTTTTGCTATCATGCGCTGGGCCAAAAAACTGTTAGCCAAACTTACAGGGAACTCAAAACTTAATCCAGATACAACTATTGCAAAGTCTTTAAACCCTACCGAATTTGCCAAATTTCAAGTTTCTGGACCTAAAAACTCACCCAGCCGACCACGACCATCTTTTAAGCCTCTTCTCTTTTTCTTTGCTGCTGTCTTTGGCTTTCCTTACCTTCTTAATAAATTAATTCACTCTATAGCTAACCAGGCTGAGCAGCAGCAACAGCAAATGTTTGATGAACACGGAAACCCTATTCCACAAATGCTAATGGACCCCATGTCCAATACCCCCATCGATCCTTCTAAACTTGAGTTTTGCCGCGCCATCCACGACTTTGTCCCTGAAAATCCACAAATTGAACTTGAGCTACACAAGGGCGATCTCACTGCAATTATTGCAAAGGAAGATCCATCTGGAAACCCATCTCAATGGTGGCGTGTGAGAACTAGAGATGGCCGCACAGGTTATGTTCCAAGCACTTATGTCGAAGTTATCCCCAGACGGATAGAAGAAGTTTCCACAGCCCTACCCCAAAAGGCTATTGAAGGACAAGTCCCCAAAGCTATTGATGATGAATTAAAAAAGCCTAGTAGAGCTGAAGAATTTCAACGACAAGGACTTTAAGGATAAATAAAAAACAATTGAATTTTTTTTTTTCTACTTCACTATTAGTACCCGTACCAAACACCGTTTATATGTTTAAAATATTTATGTTTATTTTATTTTGAAAAGATTTGTACAATAAAATATAGTAAAGATCTGTGATCTTGCAAAAACGAAACTTTATTTTATACCTTTTCCTCAAAGATTTATCTTTTAAAGTGACAATTATAATTTTAAAAATAAAAAAACTAAACAAACTAAACAAACCATTATTCATTACAGTTCACTATCCCATTTAGATCAAGGAGGCAATGTCGTTAGGCATCTCCTGAATGCTGGTATCGTAAAACTTCTCAATCTCTCTCATCTCACCAATGTCCTGGTTAGTGACAAAGTTGATAGCAACACCCTTACGACCGAAACGACCACCACGACCAATGCGGTGAATGTAGTTCTCTCTGTTGGTAGGAAGGTCATAGTTGATGACAAGAGAAACCTGCTGGACGTCAATACCACGGGCCAAAAGATCGGTGGTGACAAGGACACGAGAAGAACCGGAACGGAACTCAGACATGATAAGATCACGCTGGCTCTGGTCCATCTCACCGTGCATAGCAGAAACAGTGAAGTTGTTTTCTCTAAGGGCAGCGCAAATCTCCTCAACTTTCTTCTTAGTGTTGCAGAAAACAACGCACTGAGTAATAGTGATAGTCTCGTAAAGATCAATCAAAGTGTCAATCTTGTACTGCTCCAAGTCAACATTGACGTAGAACTGCTTGATACCTTCAAGGGTAAGCTCATCCTTCTTGACAAGAATGCGGACAGGGTCCTTCATGAACTTAGTGGTGACCTCCAAAACGTCCTGGGGCATGGTGGCAGAAAGAAGAACGACCTGGATCTCACGGGGGAGAAGCTGGAAAACATCGTAAATCTGAGCCTTGAAACCACGAGACAACATCTCATCGGCCTCATCAAGAACAAACATCTTGATCTTGTTAGTTCTCAGAATGCGACGCTGAATAATGTCGTGAACACGGCCAGGGGTACCAACAATAATCTGGACACCAGATCTAATGGCAGCCTCGTCATCCTGAACACGGGTACCACCAATGCAGAGATGGCAGGCAGCCTTAAGGTTGGCGCCAATGGCAGAAATGACCTTCTCAATCTGGCCAGCCAACTCACGGGTGGGGGCAAGAATGAGGGCCTGGGGCTCCTTCAGAGACATATCAATGTTCTGGAGAACAGAAATCGAGAAAGTGGCAGTCTTACCAGTACCAGATTGAGCCTGAGCAAGAACATCTCTGCCCTTAATAGCAGGAAGAATAGCACGCTGCTGAATGGAAGAAGGTGACTCGAAACCGTGAGCGTAGATACCTTAAAATTTTTGTTAGAATAACCATACTCCTGAAAAGCCAAAAAAAAAAAAGTGAATAGATAATCTTTTCTAATTATAAAAATCAAAGGGAATAAAGCTCAAAAGGACTTCTGAAAGGTTCATTATCATTTAATAAATATAGATATACTAATATTTGATTTCTTTTTCTTTTTTCTGTTTCTTTTTTTTTTTTTGCTCATTCACAATAGAAAGTTCATATCAAGCATACCTCTCAAAAGCTCCTGCTTGAGGCCAAGAGCGTCAAAGGAATCGACAGTCTCATCGTAGTTAGTCTCGATCTTTTCGGGCTCAACGTTTTGAAGCTGCTCAGAAGACATTTTTAATAATTCGGCTTAATGGAACTCTTTGATGTAAGAAACTGTCGGTAGAACAATTACTGTTGGGAAAGAAAAAAAAAATTCAATAAAGAGGAGTTTTTGCCAGGATTTTTAAAGAAAAAAATTTTTTTTTTAGATACCCTAACCTTGTTGACGTTACATGAATTTGCACTTATAAAGCCCAATTTGTAATAGGACCGATTTACCCTGACAACTATCAGTATGAAATGTACAAGGCCTTATGCCTAAATTTACGCAGTACCAGGCCTTTCAAAATTGTCAACTTTTATTTTCAATACTATAGTATAAGTTTAAGCATATCATAAAGTTTTAAACGGCACTGGCATTTGAAAGAGAAAAATGCCATTGGAAGAAAACCATCTATTTAAAGGTAATTTATAACTAGTTCAAAAAATTTATGCAATAATTATAACATTTCACTGGTTTTAATGTACTTAAAAATAAACCACTTTTGCATTATTCAGGTTCGTTGAATGGAGTAATGTTGTCTAAATAGATGACAATTGTATTCTAGTCGAAAACCATATTCAACAACAAAATAGGAAAATATAACTATACTTGTTTATTTTACTACCGTAATATATAATTCTATTTCTATTGACCATCTAATTTTTTTCATTCATCGTTATCAGTTTAAATTACTCTATAATATGATACGTGGCGAGTGATTTTTATAACCTTTTAATTTTTATTTTATTTTAATTTTTTTTTGAAAAAATGTTTTTAAAACTTTTTTTCTAAATTAATCCGTTGTTTCAGATCCCATTTTAAGTTGTTCTGTCTGATAAAAAGGCAGACTAACAAACCTAGTGTTTTGCACACCATTTAAATAAAAAAAATTATCGTATACCTTGACAGAATATAATTTACGGCCCATTTAACAATAATGTCTTATAAAAAAATCAATCTGATTTTGTATTGTAAAACTGGTTAGTTAATGGAAGGGTCGTTCTAAGTTCTGCCTTGAGTTTCTTGGGGAAAACATAATAATAAAAGACAGATGCACAAATTGCAGCAGTAAAGACAAATGTCGCAAAGCTATAAAAAAATATAGCAGAACCAGAAAAGTATGCCTCTGAAGCAGTAGGCAGTTTTGGTCCTTGATACCATCTGACAGCCATTGCCAAAGGTAAAGAATCACCAATAATAAATCGCTGAGCTTTACTTCCTGAAGAAAAGCCAATTGATGAAATGATTGATCCCGCAGAAGTATTAGCAACCATAGCAACATTTAAAAAGGGATCAATGTCTAAATGACTTTCTTGAACTCGACCTCTAATATTGAAAGTAAGAGAAGTGTATAATGTCGCAGCTTTTGCTTCAGGCGAATCAGCTGGAGGTGCTGGATTTTGTGTTTGACTTTTTGTGAAAGGAATACGACACGAAAATGGCACATCCTCGTGAATATATAACTGAAATACATGAAAAAATTCATGACCTAAGTCAATTGTGCAATTAAATATTTCATCGACACCGTACTTTAAAGTCAAAGGTGAATCCGTTTCAAAGCACTTTGGGAATGGCGCGTAAATGATATTTCCTAGATGAAAAAAAAAACAGTCAGATTCAAAGAATAAAGTAAAGTATCAAAAGAAATTTACCTTGCTCATCAAATTTATGTTCACCAGTTTCCATGTTTCGCTGAATGCATTCAAGAGGAATTTCGTCACCATATTTGTAGCCTGCAAGGGCAAGGTTCTTTGGAATCTCAGGAAACGGTTCAATATGCTGAGAGTTTACCACCGATGCCGATAACAAAAGGGCCGAAAAAACCGATTGCAGTTTAAAATGCATGATAAAAAAAATAGTTGATTGGAAAGTTGAAAGACTGATGATGGCTCTTTTCTAAATGAAACACTTGAGAAAAAAAAATATATAAACCTGCCAAAATAAAATTTGTGCACACGTATGTAACAGAGAATAGACTTTGGCGTTTTGCATATTACCAAGGTGCTTTTCACATGGTCTTTATACAGCCGCCGGTGGGGTTCCAAAATCGGCCTGGGGAATAGGTCCATGTCTATGACATTACACATACATATCAAAATTTCAAGTTACCCGGCGGTTATTGTTGTTTGACAATGCTAAACCACCTTCATCTCAGTGGAATTGATCAAAACTGAGTACTTCTGACAGTATTTTGTTAACTTATCATCGACTTAAATAATATCGCTTTTTTGTGTTATATCACTAAAATATTTGTTAAAAAAGTAATATTATAATATTATAATAATAAATCTAATGTCTACAGTAACTGAACAATTTCGAAAATCTAAAAACCTTCCACCAATACCTTTTTCTTTCGACACTAACCAACCAAAAACAATAAGAGTATACCCCGTAACAAACTACAAATTTGATGTTAAAGATCCCCAACCGGAAGAGGATAGCTCTGTAATGGCTCGCTTACAGCGATTACAAGACCAATATAAAGTCCATGGGATGCGGAGGACATGTGAAGCCATTTTAATTTGTCATGAGCACGGGCACCCGTATATATTAATGCTTCAAATTGCAAACTCATTTTATAAACTGTAAGTCACGCTCTAAAAACTTATTTAATTGAAAATTCTCACAAAGGATAAGGCCTGGTGACTATATACAATTCGATGAGGAAGAAACGGAAGGTTTTGCTCGATTGCTTAACGAGCGATTAAGTCCCCCTTCCAACTCAACACATGCTGCTGATCCCATCAATTTTGAGTGGAATATTGGCGACTGTGTTGCTCAATGGTGGCGTCCCAATTTTGAGACTTTTATGTATCCATTTATTCCACCACATATTACACGCCCTAAAGAATGCAAAAAAACATATATCGTCCCTCTGCCTAAGAGAAAGGTTTTGGCTGTTCCTAAAAACATGAAGCTTCTTGCTGTTCCTCTTTTTGAACTATATGATAACCCAGGAAGGTACGGTGTTCAGTTATCATCTATTCCTTTATATCTTGCAAGGTACAATTTTGAATTCGTTGATTCTGATGATAATATTATATCTACTTATGCCACATCGCATTGGGGTAGTTCTGAAAAACGGCACGAACCATTGTCGTTAGCTGATGGGAAAGACAATTAATATCACCATCTCTTTTTCCCCCATAATACACCCTCTACTTATATTAACTTTTTTTAAGTTCTAAAGTAAGTAAATAATTGCATCAACATAATGGTATACTAATTAATATTTAGCAAAATGAGTATAATAGTCTCATGAAAATTTAGAAAAAGTTGCTATTATGTTTGATGGCTTTATAGTTGAAGCTTTTATAGAAGCAAGCAGTGCTGGTCATTGCAAAAAAGGCCGATAGTAAAAATTAGATACTGAAAACAGACTAAACTAAGAGCTGAAAATAATTTTGCTAACAGTGATAAACGATTGACCTCGAAAGAGTAAATATGATGAATATTGCAGTGATACTAATATGAGAGTTAAAAATTGTTAATATCATCATGAATCAATCATTGACTAACTATGCATCGAGTCAAAAAGTTCTAAGTTCAAATGACTTTTTGTTTATTCAAACTTATATATATATTTAGTCAGATACCTTTTCAGATAAGTTCTTGATATCAATTGAGTTGGTAAAAGTAAATAAGTGGAGATGGAAAAAAGGAAACGAAAAAAATAATAGCATATGATTTCCAGTTGAATTGTTAATTATAACTGTTAATTATAATTGTTTGAGAATAGTCATTTCTAAGATTTCGAAATCGATGATGCAAATCTGAAGTTTAGACATTAAATCACGTGATATGATTATCTTTTTTTTTTTTTTTTTTTTTTTTTTAAACATAAAATTTTTTGTGTAGAATAGATTAAAGCTCAACGATAAGTTTAGTTTACCAATTTGCCATAACAGACAGAAAACTATTAGTTTAGATAGTTTGCAAAAGATTTATTCATAATTATGGTTCGTTTAAAATCTCGTTATCTTTTGTTTGAGGTTCTCAATCCTGAAGAGCTTCAATTTTTACAGCAGCAACAGGAGAAAGGTGCACAACTTCATATTCTAGAATTTAAAAGCAACGATTTAATCAATGATTCAAAAAAATATAGTCGAGTATCAAAAGCTAATAGAGAAACACATTTTGAAAATTATGTCACATCTGCTCTTCAACTTAGACAACCAGGAGTAGTTTCAGACTCTCGCCAATTACTAAAGTTAGTAAAGGAGTCTGTCGAAACAAATTTTGGAATAAAAGGTAGCGGAGAAATTAAAAGTACAATAGCAGTAAAATATTTTTCACCTAGAACTTCAACGGGAATAATACGTGTTGCGCGCGATCATGTTAGTACGGTGTGGGCAGCTTTATCATATATCACGAAAATCAACAATAAAAACGTTATAATCCGAGTAGTTCGTGTTTCAGGCACCATTAAAAAATGTGAACAAGCGGCTATTCGGCGTGACAAAAAAGTGATTGAAATGATCGGACGAAGTTATATCGATGGGTTTAAAAATACAGCCACCAATGAAGCAGGGATAGGAGATGGTGATCCAGTTGATAGTGAAGATGATGATTATATAGAAGATGATAATTTATGAAAAAACCTATGGATATTATTAAACGTGAACTATATAGTGAGCTCTTAATATTAACTTTTGTTTGAAAAGTTAATTTTGCCTTTTATTTTTCATTTTTTCCTCCTGCACTTCTCTAATCATTTTGCTTACTCCAAAAGGATCAGAGTCTTTTTCAAACTCAACTGGCCCTTCTTTTGCTTCAGTAGACTCAGACCCAGTAAAGCTATTCTTTACATTTCCATGTGATTCAAATCGGTTCTCACCAGTTATTCTGCGCATTTCATTGTCTTCATCATTATCATTCAAACCACCAAGTCCAGTTGCCCCTTTAGTTCCACGGGGTCGATATATTGATTGAATCGCTTCACTAGAACGAAACAATGAGCTTTCATATGGCTGATCTTCATTGAAATTTCGACTAACTGATACCCGACCCATTAAACGAGAATCAAATTGAGATTCTCCAGTAGATACCTGAGTAGGCCGAGCCACTCCTAAAGCAACTCTTTCAGAAATATCTCTATCCTTGTCGCTTATCATAGATTTAATACGTCGTTCCGTGCCCATACGAGACATACGCATTTTGCGCTTCTCATCTTCAAGTTTTTCTTCTCTAATAATTCTGCGACGACGTTCATCAGGCATTTCAAAATTGCTTTCTCTTCTAGATTTCTTCGACTCAAATTCTCGTTGTCGAAAGTTTGGCTCTTCATCATTGCTTTGATCACTATCTGAGTACCTTCTCTTTGTACGAGATTTATGATAACGGTTAGATTCTGCATCACTTTCAGGAGTTCTAGATCTAGAACGTGAACGGGATTGTGATTCCGAAGATCTTCTTTGGTACGATCTTCCTCTGTAATGTCTATCATCTTCTTCATTACTGTATCCACTCTCTTCATCTGAACTATCACGTTTATCTCTTCGGGTATGCCTTTGTCTTTCAGAACGTTCATATCTTCTATAAGGACTTTGCGATTTCGATCGAGGAGACTCAGAAGGAGAACGTGACCGTTCATTATATGAATTTTTTCTTGTCGTATGCATCTCTTTGCGTAGAGTAGGTGAAGGAGTTCGTCTTCTTTCTTTTTCATTATCACTTTCGTCGCTAGTATCTGAATCATCTCTTTTTCGTTGATTCCTACCCTTATTTGAAATAGTCTGGTCACGTTCAGCCTTGGCTCTATGTGCTAATTGTCTCAACCTCTCGTCTCTTTCAAATTCCTCCTTTTCTTGTAGCTTTTTCTTCATGGCATTGCGTTGACTAACTTCCACTCTCATTTTGTTGTCGGCAACAGCTAAAGCTTCAGAAAGCTTTGCAAAATTATCACTCAGGGTTGACGTTTGTATATTTCTTCCATCAGATGCCATGCGTTTATCAATAGCAATAGTGAAACCTTTAGGGTTTTTCCAATTAGAAACACTTGGGGGAATATACCAATTTTTCTGATCTTCTGCCGTAACTTTTCTTGGGGGTGAGCGTAAAACTGGAGGAGGAGGAGATGGAGGCCTTGCTACAACTTTAGTATGTTTAAATTTTGGTGGAGCCAAGGGATCATTTTGCACATCAACTAGTTTTATAATACGTTGCTTAGATTTGCCGCCCGATTCTCCCATCATACTAGAAGGTGTATATCTAACATAAGTCGCATTAGAATTAGTTGAAGAGCCAGCAACAACCGATGTCTTGGGCTTTTCAGCAGAGATCTTGCTATCTAAAATTTTTTGAAGCGCAAGTTGTGTTTTTTCGGTTGTTTCGCGTACAGTGTCTTGGTCGGGTTGGTCAAGAGACACTTCTCCATTTTGTACTCGTTGGCGTAAAGGAATTAAATCAGAATAAGACGACTGGACAATGCGAGATTTTGAATGCCCGTTTTTTGCAATAGAAGAATAATCAATATTTCCTTCTGAATTAACTGTAAGCGCAAGTGTTTTATTTTGTTTGCTAGTGGCGTTACGGTCCTTGGGTTGACCCATATTACGAGGATATTGGGCAACAGGAATTTCAGGATATGCTCCTCCATCCCCATAATCTTCAACTGATTGAGGTCGCCACTTTTTACCATTAGCTGTACGAAACTCCGTTCGGTGGCCATATGAGGGGATTGAATAGGTTTGTGCAAAGAGTTCGCGTTGTTCGTTATTGAGTTTAGAAACAATCGTTATATTAGAAGATGAATTTAATTGATCGGCATTTTGAGATTTGTTTTTAGGCTTGGGAAGGTATGAATCTATTGAAGCCATTTTATATTAATTAAGAACTTCCAAAATCCTTATTGAACTTGATTAGAATTTTTTTTTAAAATGCGTGTGTGATAAAATACTTTCGAAATTTACTGAAAAAAAAAAGTTCTCCTGTTAATATAATTACACAATAATTTGTAACATAATTTGTAACAAATTTAATATTTTTTTTATTCCTAGCTATTTTATAGCTTAGCTATTACTGTCGACTGGTAAAACTGGTTTTTTTATAAGACTTTTAAAAATGAACATGGCTTTAATTAAAATATTTTTTTTTCTCAAAATTCCAAAACAATATGATTTAATTATTCACTTTATATACTATACTAATAAAAATAGGTAAGTGAACGTTATAATTTTTTTTTAAAAAAAAATATTTTTAAAAAAACAAAAGTAATACATAAACTAACGCCCCAAAAGACCACGTAAAAATCCACCACTTTTTTTCTTCTCTTCAGGAACGCCAGAGCTATCTGAATCTTGAATAGAAGAATCTGAAACAGACTCTGAAGAACCAATACGAGCATAATCAAACTGAGAAATGAAATTGTAAGCAACATCAAAAAATACAGGCTTCGAAAAAACGGGTTCCAGAGAAGTGTCAAAGCTCACTAAATTTTCAGCAACAGCCTTTTCTGAACCAAAATTGGAAATTCCATATTGCTCGAGATTATCAATGACAGCTGCTTTAGCATTGACTTCGGGGCCATCAATTTCCATGAAGTTGGGGTCTTTAACATTTATATTTCCTCTTATTGTTAATTGAGCTCTCAATTGAAGGGTTGTTAAGTTGGTATCAGTAAGAACTTTATGAAACTTAGATTGATCCAAAATTCCAAAAGGAAATTCAACAGAAATTTCTTGGGGAGCTGACAATAAAAGCTCAAGAGATTTTCCATAAAGTGCCAAAGATTCTGGGTAATGGGAAGAAAGTCTGTACGCTTTTGCTAACAAATTAAGACGTTCAGCTTTGTAAAAAATATCAAGAGATTGCAATGAATCAGAAAGTTTTTTATCAGTATGAATACCAGGAAGATCTGTCAATTCTCGGGTACTTTGCAAAATTGTGTCGTAGAGACGAACAATTTCGTTCATCTTTTCAAATCCTTTTGTGCTAATTTTATTTCCTTTTTTAGTATCATTGTTTAAAGAAGCAAATATGCGAGAATCTACTCTCTTTAATAACAGCACATCACGCTGAATACGTCTTAGTAACATATGATATCCAATATATGTAGAGATAACATATTGATCCTGGATCTCTTGGTCATTTGATGAACCACCAGAAGACTCTAGACGGTCGATATTAGTCTTGACCATCTCTCTGGAATCCTGCCAAGATTGCAAGATTTCATCAAATAATTCAAGAGATTTTTCAATAGATTTGTTGTTTTGGGCTCCTTTGAGTTCAACTTCTAAAGAATTGTCCTTAGTAACAGTCTTGTATAAAAAGGCGGCTAATTCTCGATCCTGAATAGAAACATCATACTTTCTCCAGATAATATTTTCTAAACGAGATCCAGCGGAACCTTCCGAAAGAGACGAGTCCAATAATGATGGATTGATTTGTGAAATGATTTTGACAGCTGGGTGATCAGTCATCTTCTGAACAGTTTTGATAGAAACTCCAGAGGCACTGAGGGGTCGAATTTTTGTCAGGCGGTATTGAGCGAAAATAATAGAAGGGTCGATAACAGTAGAAATTATTTCGTCAATATCATCTTTAATAATGGAAGTAGATGAATCAAAACCGGAAATAGCTTCAAGAGAAATACGAGCAAGGGAGTAGTTTTTTATGCATTTCTCATAGTTTTTCGTTTGAAAGAAAAGAGCACCATGAATCAGAGATGCATATGCTTCAAGCTGAAGAATTTGAAATGTTCCAAAACCAGAAAGCTTATCAGTTTTTGTGATTTCTCTAACAAGAGAAACTGCAGCGTCAATATATTTACAAGCTTTAGTGAGTTTGGTTCTGACATGACTTTTTTTAGTAGACGAAAAATTAGTATCTAAAACTGATCTTGTTTCCATAGCATGAGCCCATGATCTCTCCGCTAAGCAAACAAGCACTTTGATAAGCTCAGGATTATTTTGAACATCATCCAAAGCTGGTTCCTTAAATGGAATTCGATGACGTGGCTCGGTTGAAGAATTAGAAGCCCCTCCTTTGGACGACCGCTTTTGAACGCCTAAAATCTTTCGAGTTCGAGCAAGTTTTTTAGTGGATCGTACTCTGTACTGGCGATAATCATTAGCAGATTGTAACGGAAGTTCGTTTCTTTCGGTGAGAACTTCAACAAGAACGTTATAGCTCATGGTGAACGTTCTTATTTTTATACTTCTTAACTTTTGGAAAAAAAAAAAATTAGGCCAACTTTGTGGTGGTGAGCAGAATTGACGAGTAGGCTGCGCAAACCAAAAATTTCAGGCTTACATGAAAAAAAAAGCGAAGGTGTTACCCTACCTTAAATAGACCTAAAAAAAAACAATTAAAATCGCACACTGCCAGTTACTGGACTTAAAGTCTTGGAAATAAAATTATAACATCATGCAAATAAACGCCATGATAGAAAAAAGGTTACAGAATCCTGTTTAAAATGCAATTATTGAAAAACTATTTGGGCACACCTATTGAATCAGAAAGACATAAAGAGTTATTGTTTGCTCTCTCGTTATTAAATGATAGTAAAAAAACTGTTATAGTCTATAAGCCCAGTACTGAGTATCATTGTTACTACGAGGAAGGGATCGCGCTATGCTTCGAAAAATCACAACTTGATTCGATAGATTTTTATAAAATTTCTGGAGATCGACCATCATCATCTAAGTATAAAAGTGTTCTAAGGTCACGCCTTCCAGAAGGAATTGATTATAATGCTACAGGAAAAGAGCTAGTAGAAAAGTTTGGTGAACCTCTAGAGAAAGGGGGAGGAATGTCCAGTAAAATTGATATATGGCTCCGTTGGAAGGGAATTCAATTCGAAATACCTACTCGTAACTGGGATCTCGCAAAAGAAACAGGTTGGTCATCATTTACACTTTTTAAGTGACTGATTTTATCATGCAGATAAATGTATCGGTTTCAAAAGGCCAATTAGCATTATTCTAAAGTAACATTTTTGAGTATATTAATAAATTTATATATAAAAGTACTATCATTTCTTACTATCCAACATTTATTTTTATGGGCTTCAACTACTTCTTTGTTAGATTCGGGCTCTGCATCTGCACCAACAAAAGAGTTTGGATTACCATGATTTTCTTATTCATTACCATCTTCCTCTTGTTCTTCATCGTGTTCTTCATCGTGTTCTTCATCGTGTTCTTCATCGTGTTCTTCATCGTGTTCTTCATCGTGTTCTTCATTGTCATCACCATTTATTGTTATCTCCTCATTTTTATCCTCTTCATTGTTTAAATGTAAATTCGGACTGGAATTTCTTGAAGTTTGGTTAATGGAGTTTATTGGTTTTTCTTGTGTGTTTGAGGTTATCTCATCTGAATTAATTTTTTTGGAATTGCTATTTTGAACATTTTCATCAACATTATTTATTCTTTCAGAGTTGGGATTAAAAATCGTAGCTGGATCAGCAGATAGTTCATGATTTTTAGTAACTTGCTGAGTTGATTTTGTTGAACCATCATCAGAAGAAATTTTCATAGAAATAATTCTAATATATAAAGGCGATAATAAATTTGAATTTAAGAATATCCGATTCACGCATGTTTCATCCAAAATTTTTGCTATGGCGGCTACTCGAACTTTGGCAGCAAACTGGCACAAGTCATAGTCAACCAATAATATCCTTTCTTGTTTCGTCGATGAATTTTTTAACTTTTCTATCAATGTACCGTAATCCATGACTTGAGCCATATGAATCTGTGACGCTGTTGGAGGTTGAGATCCTGCCAGTACATTATCAAGCATTTCTTCATCATCACTATCGATATCACTTAGGTCACTCAGTTCGCTATCACTTTCGGCTTTGTCCTCAGTCTCAAGTTGATCTTGAGACGTTTGACCTATAGACATACTTTTTAAAGCTTTTAAAAATTCAGAATCTTTTTCCCCGGATTTAAGGTCAATATCCATAATTTTAGCATATGCCTTTTCCTTTCTCAAAAAAAGTCCCATTATGACCTCCTGAGAAGAATTTAAAACCTTTGTTGGAACATCAAATATTCTTAGTTTTAAGATATCAACGTCGGAAATTGCTTTGGAAATGGTCGTAGTTTGAGCCACTGCAACATTAACAGTAACAAGCAAGTCAAGTAAAGATTTAGCACAAATAGACCGTACATGAAAAGAGTTGGCACCTATGACAATAGTTTCAAATTCATGAAGAATAGAAACAATCGTATCCTTGGCCTTTGAAGATAAATCGATACCTTTGGCACTACCCCCATTCCCTGCAGTTATTGCTGCTTCTAACACACTAGATAGCTTCCACATTGCGTAACTGCGAAGTAAATTAACAAGTGAAGCCACTAGTTGAAGATTAACTAAACTTTTAGGCTTCACAGCACAAATAGAAAGGTAACCTATAAGTTTATCAACTAATATTGGTGAATTCTCATCCGAATTATTTGATAAGTGAATTTCAAGAGCATTTTGAATATCAACGCTTCTTGACAGAACATCCATTTTAAAAACAGAATCAAAAACAGAGCTATCAACCTCTTTTTCGGAAATATCCTTGTTGCGTTGTTCATTATTCTCGGATATTATTCCTTTTATCTCATATCCGATATCTTCTATTACTTCATTGACTTTTTGTTGAGCTTCTTCAAAAAAAGGTAGTGATGGTTCATTTGAAATAGTTTTGGAAAAAACATTTACACATTCTTCTAAAACCACCTTGTTAACCTGTGATTTAAACTGATTGATAATTGAAGAAAAAAGCTCAGTGTATTTAGACTCCATATGAAGTTGACAGTAAACATTAAGATCAAGAAGTGTATGTAATCGCAAAACTTGAAAAATAGCATTGGGGCTATGAGAATAGCGCTGTAATAATTTAGGGATAGAATCAATAAGTTCGGCATGAATTTGGGTAAACTTGGCTTCTACCTCATCGTTTGAAAGTTTCTTCTTTTTCATGTTACTATAGCTTGATAATGAAGTAACATTATGGTGATTAATTTCGTCAATATTACCTTTAATAAACCCAAAAAGCAACTCCAAAAGAATAAGCTCTTGATCTGGATCTAAAGAAAATGCAGCTATGTAATTTTTAGCTGATTTAGTCGTGGCAATACTATCCAAAGAAGAAAAATCAAACAATAGTTGTTGAATAAGGCTGACCCATTTGAATTTCAAGCCAAACCCAGCATCCCAAAGAGCTTCCCCGGCTAGAGATATACGAGAAGAAGAAGATGGGTATACGTTTTCTAAATCTTCCAAAAGATTTTCTTCGCTGGCGCTAGGTGATTCCTTTTCGATTTTAAGGATATAGCATAATTCTTTAAATGATAACCAAGACTGAGTCAGGTCTGAAAACTTTTCTTTAAACGACTTTGTTTCGTTAGTAGTAAATTCGTTGAGTGCCCGGGTTGACTCTTCTAAAACGGTTGAAAGAATAAATTTGGCAGAAGATTTCCGCACTCGATGATCGATATCAAAAATTAATTTAGTGCACACTTCAACATCACTATCTTCTAAAAACCCGACTTCCCGTAAAACACACAGTAAATCAATAGCAGAAACTCTGACATTAGTATCGGCATCCATTGCAGCCATTTCGACTATTCGGAGACGAAATCTGTCAGTAAAATGCCTGAAACCAGGAATATAATCACGAATTTTATAAAGGGTTGTCAGTGACTTTAGAACTTGTAATCGGGTATGTGCACTAATGTCTGAAAGAAGCCACCCAAAATATCGTATATATTTGGACTCAAAAAAATAACTTGGCAAAATCTCCATCCAAGCACCAAGTTCCTTCATACATTCAATTCGTATTTTAGGATCGACATCTCGATACCTATGCACAAATATAGTTTCAAAAATGTCATTCATGCAGTTTTCAAGAAAAGATATTTTATTGGAGGCAAGTTCGATAGCTGTTTTAGCTTGAGCAATTCGGGCTCCGCTTGGGCGATTTTTAGCTGTCTCAGCCTCTAAAATTTTTTGATTTTGATTAGTGGAATGGGTAGCTGTTACATGAACATCGCAGAGCTTGGACATTATTGTGAGCCAAATGAGAGTTGAAGTATGTCGGAAAGATCTCAGGTTTGAAGATGACATCGAAGCGACCCATATTCTTAAATCCTCAATAAATCTTGAGTTATCATACAGAATTCCTTGTTCTGCAGCCTTGTAAATGACATCTTCAATAAATTCGATTAGATTTTGTCGAAAAAATTTGTACTCTGGTTTTCTAGAAATGAGAGGGTAGTCTGCTAAAGCATCAAATTTAAAGGCCTCTTGAATTTGAGCCAAGCAATCAACCGCACTATCGGGCTCTTGAATATCATGAAGTTCAATTGGGATTCCGCATCCAGATCCCTATATTTAAGTCAGTGAATAATAATTGTAGACTAAATCATAAAAGCTTACTTTAAGGACAAAATTAACAAAATCTCTAAGTGAGGTATCAGGATTTTCACGATATGAATCGAGCCAGTTGGACGCCAATTCATCTATAGAAGTTTCGGAATCAAGAATGGCATCTAGAACGTTAATTTTTTGTTCTATTTATATTACTTAAAACTTACCGTAAATGAAATTTTCAAAACTGGGGCGCTCCTCTTCAGAAGAGGTGGGGTTTCGCTGTCGAGTGGATGTTCTTCTTGGTGTTGCCGAGTTTGCCTCTTTTCTTTTTCGAGATTTTACTTGACGTTTGGGAGTTGTGGAAGTTTTGGCCTTTCGTTTTCGACGTTTAACAGTGTCATCCTCAGATTCTAGTTCTGAAAGAGATGATTCATTAACATCCTCGTCTATTTTAAAAATAATATTAGTTATTGGTGTTGTTTAAAATAAAAACGCGTAACTTATTTCCCTTACCGTTTAAAGACTCTGTATATCGTCCGGTTGGGACATGCTGGCGCGTCGAACGCCTTAAGGTTCTTGTTGTTGCTTCAGTAGTTGAACTCATAAGCAATTTAGATATATAGTAAATTTTATTATCGTTCAAAATAAAATGGACAATGCATATATCGAAAATATAATAAAAATGGTGATCCAAATCCTTGCTTTAAAACAATAGATTTATTAAAAAGTAGAGCTTATTTTGGTTTGTTTGTTTGTTTGTTTACATTTCTCACAACAGTATAAGTTTTAAACCCCCTAACCCAGGTAGGGTAATTTTTAATCACAATTTTTCTAGTATCTACTACCTAATCCAATAAATTATTATATAAGCTTCATTATTATATAAGTACAAAGACAAAGACCAAATTTCTAACTTGCATCATCACCAATATCAAAAATAAGATATAGATAGATCTTTATCAATGTCGAATACTTCCCAGCTTTTCAACAACTCATCGAAAAAAACTGTGCTCATTGAAACTTATATGGGCACACCGTTTCTTTCGAAACTCACTACAAGCGACATAGTTGATATTATTGACGACAAATTAAAAAACTTCAGTATTTTATGGGCGTTTGCAGCATGTATTGTTATTGAAAAAAAAAAAAAAAAAAGCAATCTTGAATTGTTTTTCAATAAAAAAAGTCTTATATCCTCTGAAACCAATCACTCATATTTGTATTTTTTCCCTTCTTTAAGCCATACAAATGATGAGTTTAAGAACTATCTTGAAACTAAGTTTGAGCAATCCTCGTGGCTTAAATCTTTCCGAGTAGGAAACTCTGAACAAGAATTTGGATTGTTTCTTCCTATTAATTACAAGAGTCATTGGTCTCTTGTTTTTTTCTTTTGCCGTCCATCTGATAACTGTTTTCAAGTGTTCGTCCATGATTCGCTTTACAAATCAAAAGATGAATTTTTTGAAAACTCATCACAAAAAAGTGACTTTTTTGATTTAAACATCTTCTTGTCAAATGTCGATATACTTCGAAACAAGATATTTAAGAATAATTTAAATAATACGGAAACTTCTGTTATGTCACAGCGGTTTTCTTTTGAAGATTTGAAGTTTGTACCTCTGCATTTACAGAAGGACGATCAAAGTTCTGGAATTCAAATGGCATTGAATGCAAAATGCATATGTACGGCTTATCTATCACCTTCTGGTGTCTTAAATTGGCTTGAAACTGGACCTTCTGTACAACAGCTTTATGGTGAAGATTTACGTCAGTTTCGTCATAAGATTGTAACTGAGATAAATTTGGACGATTTTCCTGTTAAACCGTCTGGGAAAAAAATAAAAAAGAGCTCTACTGCTGTTGACTATTCGGAAAACTTGATTTTATCCGATGAATTCACCCAAGAATTTTTGAGCACTTATAACGAAGCTACTGCTGCTCTTTTTGTTGAACGAAATGTTCTTTTATTTTATGATCAACTAAACCATCAAAAAATAGGATCAAAAAAAAGAGATGTCTATGACAATATTCAGGTACTGCCTGATGATTTTGAATGCCAATATTGGCCAGATCGATTCAAGTTTCAATCATTGTTAATTAACTTTGATTTCTTCTTGCTCTATCCTAATCTTTTCAAGCTTTATCAACAAGGTAGACACGAAGAAATAGCCATGTGGAAGAAAATCGTGATTAAACATCTTCATATTCCGTCCCATCTACTGACTTTTGACTTTGTTCAAAACCACGATAGAATTTCATATCTCAATATGTATGATCATTGTATGGGTTTAATGTCAGATGAACTTTTCCATTCACAATTTTCAGAAACTGCTGATGATACACAAAACTTTGATCCTATGCTTATTAAACAACTACTGTTCTCGCTTCCCAGAGGATTTTCTGAATGGAGAATTGCTAGTGAAGGAATGCGCTATCGAAGGCAAATCAAAATCACATGCCTATCTCGTTCAATGACTAATAGCATATTGACTGTGACCAATGTGTTGGAAAAAGTTACCAGGGGTAAGCCAGACACTTTAATCATTCCACCAGGAGAAATTTTGTCAGAATTGAAAAAGATTTCTCAACAAGGACTAGTGAAAGATCCCGCTGATGCATGGAATAATCGTATTTCTTCATATCTCAACCAAAAGTTTTATTATGTTCCTAAAGAGATTGTACGCCATGTTTATTTGAACAGGAGTAAAATTTATGAGGATAGCGATACATTATAGCAGCAAATTATTTTCTAGGTAGCCAGAAATTTTTAATGAAAGATTATTTTGAAATGAAAAGTTCAATTTATTGTTGTCAAATAATAAAAATTAGCATTATCAAAATCACAAGTTAGAGCGCGCGTTTTAAAAGAAATGATAAGACTAGTACTGATGAAATGATAGGTAATGTTGAGTTCAATTTATTGATAAAAGAATATTCTTTACTTCTAGAAGTAAACTCACTCTATTTCTTCGAAAACAAAATTAGTCATAAATTAAAAACAAATGAATTATGAATCTGGGCAAGGAAAAAAGGCTCGGGAAAAGGTTTTTAAGAGAAAAAAAAGGCTTATCAGCACATAAATAAGTTAGTATTATACAGTTTTTTTTAAGATTTCTTATTTCAATATACTAACTTATAGAAATAACGTGTTTATTTGGTCAACCGGGGTTTTAGAATAGAACTAATTGGTTATAAGTTCTTTTAATAAAGGCATCTACCACTAAACGTCTATCTCAAATTTGTAAATGCAATTTTTTAAAATACCAACTAAGTATATATGACTTTTGACAACTAATAAATTAGAGACTTCTTTTTAAAAAATACTGGTTAATTTGGCAAAGTGGGAGGAACCTCACCTTTTGCAGAGTTATATAGTAAAATACCATTTTCAGTTGCGTGCTTTCTCTCGTCCTTCTTGTAAAGAGGCAGTATTATTGTTGCAACTATAACCATTGAAACAGCAACTGCACAAGTAAAGACATAACCTTTAAAGAATCTTGGAGCTTCTGAAGTTTTCCATACCAAAACATTAAGTCCTGCTGATGAAGCTGATCCGATAAGACTCATTGTTACAACAGTGATGGCTCTTTCCTGTGGATCGTGTCTCATTGCATCGGCGGCCCATGAGTAAAGAACTGAAGACGCAGCCCACCCAAAGCACTGCAAGCAAAATGCAAACCATTTTAAACTATAAGGAATATCCCAAATAGCAAGTAAAATGTTGCAAAAAAAGTTAAAGAATTGGGAAATAAAAATTGCACCCCAACGACTTCTAAACTGATCAGAGAATGAAGTAACTAAAAATATCCAAACTATACCCAAGGCTGGTGTAACTGATGATAGCTCATTAAGTTTTGAAACGGAATACTTGTTAAGTGATTTCAGCCAGAGAATAAAAGATCCAGAAGACGTGTTAGAGCAATTTGCAACCAAAATATTTAGGAGCACAAACATATACCACTTCCAGTTAGTGAACATTTTTTTCCATAAGCCAACAGAGAAAAATTTTGGACCTTCAGACTCAATGGAAATATTTGCATCCTTCAATCGTTTTCTAGCAATAAATATATCCTCATCCGTAAGAATTATTGAATAACACTTATGAGGTGTACCCGGAATCACAAAAAACCCAATAATTGCAATTGGCATAGTAATAATCGCATCAATAATAAACATCCATCTCCAACCTGCAATTCCATGAACTCCATCAAGTCTCACACATGAACTCATAATCAAGCCAGCAGTGCATAAGCCTAACATTTTACCGAAATAAAAAACGCCTGCACGTCGAGCGTATTCAGAAGGCTTATACCATGAACCAAGAAGATAATGAATAGTTGGATAAAAAGCGGATTCAAAAACACCCACAAAAAATCTGTAACCTTTCAATTGTCCCAGGGTGTTAGAGCGATAAAGAGCAAGAGTAAAAAAACCCCATCCAAGATCCATAATAGGAAGAATAATGTGTGTTGGATATCTGTGAATTAAAAACATCATTGGGATTTGGAATAAAATTGTGCCCACAGTATATAAAGAGGTAGTATTAATCAAATCGTTCCCTTTCATTTTCAAATCCTCTTTCATTCCAGAAACGTAGGCGTTATTGATATTAGATTGATCCAAATATTTAACCCAGTACATTGTAAAAGAAAACAAACAAAGAATCAAATCAAGCTTCATAATAAGGCGACGCTCTTTAACTGAATCACTTTCATTAAACCAGTGATACCATTTGTTGTTGGATCTGCTTTCTTCTTTTGGTTTATATTCGTACTCATTAAACATTGACCACCACTTTCGACTTGCTTCATCTCGAATTTCATATTGAATTTCCTTCTGAGCCTCAGTTTGTTCTTGTTCGTTTATCTTCCAGGTTTCTTTACTGGTTACTACCGTTTCGCTTTGATCTGTTTGGGAAATAGTTTCAATAGTGCTATGTTCTTGGTTAATGAAAAAATCTTCATCAATGTCTCGATAATGTGGGATGAACCCTTTTATAACTGAAATAATTCTCATAATGAATGTAACTCAAAAAAAAAAAAAAAAAAAAAAAATTGAGTCAAATATTAAAAAAAAGGGTATAAAAAAGAGTATTAAAAAAATTGTTTATATTTATAAAAAATAAGAAAAGAAAAAAAGAAGAAAGGAATTTATATAGGATTCGGGGTTGTTTAAATACCTTGAGTCTAATAATTCAATCAGATACCATATTTTTTTAATAATTCCTATTTCTTTTTTTTTAATCTAGAGACTATTGAAACAGTGGTACCATGTTATTTCATACTTTTGTTTAATTGGTGATTTATGATTTATTTCTGCATTAATTGGAATTTCCAGAATTGAAAAAAAAATTTAACTTAAAAATCTTTGGCTTCGACAAACGTTTAATTTTTTAAGACCCTTAACACATAGCATTACATGAACATCCAAAATTAAATACAACGATTTTAATTCATTCATCTTCACTTTGAAAATGAAAGATACTACAATACAGCTCAAACCTTTTTTTATAATTTTTTGCTTTTACCTTTTAAAAGTATGCAAATTTTATTTAGTTCAATGAATTCCGATATAAATATTTTTTAATTTTTATTAATTATATATAGTTACATTGTTGGTTAAATGTAAGTTTAAGATCAGTTTTCAATTTTAAGATTATTTTTTTTGGGTATATCCGTAGTTGAAAAATCAAACTACAAACCATTTTTCAATTTTTTTTTCATTATTACAGATTTATTTCAGTTTCCTATTTATTTAAAGGAAAAAAATTCCTGCTCTCAGATTTTTTTTTGTTAAGAGATAAAAATAAAGTTATTTAATGGCTGGGTTTTAGTGTTATTTGATTAATTCATTCATGCTATACATTTCACCACCAAGGCTACAAAAAAAAATTAAAATATTTACTATCCAAATCATATTGGCTCTTGCGGTAATTTGGTATTTGGAAATATAAATACTATAGTATTTATATTTATATAGCTATATAATTATTTGTTTATTTATTGCTCATAAATTTGTCAATTTATCTTGTATTTGAATATAATTTCAAATATTCAAGTTTCTTATTACAAGTTAATCGCTAACAGTAACGATAAAATGGCTTAAACTTTAGCTAACTCATCTAACTTTTTTTTATTTTGCCCAACACATAAAAATGCGAATATATTTCAATTCCATGTTGTTGTCTTCCGTCGGAAGCTTATTGCATTTTTGTTTCTACTTAACAAAAATACATCTTGACACTGTTAAATGATTCTTCTTTTAACAATGTGGTTAAGGTTAAGGCTTAACAGGACAAAATAGGCAAGCGCCAGACTTAGGTTAAATATTTGCCGAAAACACATATACATGCTCTTGCTGTTTCAATAACTAGGTTAACATATGTATCCGACCAAAAGAAAGATTAAAGTAAGGTTAGCTATTTCCCAAAATCGTTTAAATGTTTAAAGAAACTCCAGCACCAAAAAAAATATTTCCGGTCATTATAATGTCCCTCAACTATTTTTTGTTAAAATTTAAGCTTATGAGTGATTATATTTGAAATCTATTGTTTGAATTTCAACTCAAAATAACTAAAATAACTTTTTCAAACATACAACATTGAGGTTTACAAGCTCCGACGGTAAAAAATGTTGAGTTATATGATTATTTTCAATATATGATAATTAATTAATTATATTAGAGTTATAATAAAAACTATTCCTATTATTTTTATACAACTTTAAATTTTGTTTTCTTTTTAAAAAAATTAGTTGAGATAAGAATTGTTGTTTTAACAATAAAAACTATTTCATTTGTTTCATTATTATTTTATTTATAAAATTACAAAGTACCAAAAAAACTTACATTACCAATTATAAGACTCCAAAAAGAGATCAACTCGACCTTTACAATTCCCCATTTGATCCGTAACATTTTTTCGTACATCATCATTAAATCTAGGTGGGCCACAAGCCAAAAAGGCAATACTCTCCTGTGACTCAGCTATCAATGTTTCAGTAATATCTTTAATATTCGGCTTGCAAATCATGATGGTTTGTTCTCCATACTTTGCGGTAAGCATATCACATGGTGAATAATTTATTGTGGTTATTTCCTGTTGATCCGTACTTGAATATTCTGGTCGAGGTGATTCCATCAAATAATCTACTGGAGAATCTGGAGTATCTAACTTTGTTTTTTCATAAGTTTGTGTTGTTTCAGGAGAGGATTTCATTAATATGTTTCCATTAGTGACATAAATAGTGATATCGATAGAGTTTCTCTGTCTCAGAAATTTTATCTCATTGTCAAAAACATTCAACATCTCGATGTCCTTAACAGCCCATACCATAATGATACGTTTTTTTTGTCCTTGATCTAATAATCGACAGGCGTAAGAATAGACAGCAGTTATTCCAATTCCGCCAGCCAACAAAACAATTGTATGACTATTAGTAAGAGGAAAACTGTGACCGTAAGGACCATCGATCATAATTCGCATCTTTTGATGAGCTTGCAATTGCTGATTTAAATGCTTTGCCAGCTGTTTAGTTTTCCCATTTCTTACTCTTATACACAAAACGAGTACATCATCTTCACCTATTTCAGGCGATGGATAACAACTAAAAGGATGGTTATGAGTGATTGACCAAATAGGCTCAATGAAATGAATGAAAACGTAAGCACCAGGTTTAGGTTCCCAAAGATTAGAATATTTGACCTTTAGTTTAATCAACTGGGATGGCTCATGTAACTGAAGATCAGCAACTGACTTGATGGAAGAAAACACTATGCGTACCAATCTCATGAACCTGTCAAAAGCCCAAAGAGCAACTGAAGCATAAATCCACTCCCTATTATCTAAATCATCAAGATGCCACCACACTCCTGCAAAAAAAATTGATACAAAGATCCAGTGTATCACTAAAAACACGTCATAAATCTGTTCACGAAAATGTCTAAGAGAAAAAAATAAAATGATACCTCCACTTGTGATAGCAACTGCACCCCATCGAAAAAAACCAAGCTGAAATTCGTGCCGGTACTTATGGCCAATATGGTAAAAAACAGTAAATCCAATTGAATGAATAAACCCCAATGTAAACATGACTCGTGCCAGCCAACGGTGATATAAATTAAATGTGTCATAAGACCAACCAGTTAACCAGCCCAAAATATTATTTCTTCCAGCAAATGCCACAATTAGAGGAAGGTGGGCAACAGCCATAATTCCAGAACGGTATGCAACATAAAAAGAGAGTTGTCGGCTTCTCGACTGAAATCTGATATTACCATCAAATATATCATATCTAATGAACATGAATATAATCACCATACAAAAGTATCCGGTGAGCACCCAAAATTGTGCCCGGGTGGGCAAAGACATATTTATGATCCATCCTTTTTTTACAGGTGTATTGTGCTTATAACCAAATAAGGCAGGGTTAGCAATTTTTTGTCTAAACCATAGGGCTGGTTTATTTCTGGTTGATTTCATAAAAAATGCCGGTAAAGACTTTCTTAAAAAGTTGGAAATTATTCCAACGGTTAAAATCCCACCAAAATAGGCATTAAGAAGACCACTTAAAATATTTTGTTAGTTATAATGTCACAAAACTTTTTAAATTTAATTCTTACCCATATAAAAGTCCAGTGTATTTAACATAATAACCTGATGAATAAGATCGTCTAACTTTAACAATGATTTGGTCGCTAAACCTAATCGGGTTGTAGTTTATAATTTTTTTCGCTTGTGCGACTTCCCCTAAAGATTCAATTTTTACAAAATAATTGTTGTCCGTTGCATTATCAAACATTTTGTTAATTGAGTGAATCGTCAAATCGGGGTTGTATTTTTTGCATTTTTTAGGCATAACTTTCATAGCTCTATACAAGTCGTCTTGGTTTAAACTTGCACGAGTTATGCAATCTGCAAAGGAAGCCATAAATTGAGGGCTGTTGCAATTACAAGCAGATACTACTTTTGATATTTTTCCTGATGACATTTTTGAAGTATACCCAGGTCCCATTTGTCGAAACTCATCAGAGCATTGCCATTTGAAATAAGTAAGAAAAAGTTTGCAACCCATATAAGTAGCACTGCCACTTGAAGTGGCTACAACTACTGAAAAAATAGAAACAAAAAAGCTTAAGATAAATTTTATTTTCATTTTTGGGAAAGAAAAATGTTTTGTTTTTGAAATATGAAAACTTGAAGAAAATTTCTAATTTATATATATAATCAAAACGCACACCTTTAAAAATCAATTAGAAATTTTTATAAAAAATTATTCATGTTGAAATTTTTACAAAGCCTTTTGTTTATTCATTTATTGTTTCCATTTTTGTTAATTTTGACTTTTTATCAGATCTTTAAAATATAAGTATGTACGCATGCCTATAAATTAATGCATGAAACGAAAAAAAAGAAAACAATTCACGTTAAAGATTTCTAAAAATTTTCATCGATTAATCAATCATTGTTGATTGATATTATAAATAATTCTGTTTTTGGCTTAATAAAACCTCAATAAAAAACTTTCTGTTAGAACAGCTATGCTTGGATGCTAATCTATCTAATTGAAAAAAATTTAAGTGAATTTACAAGATTGTATTTCTCTATTAGTGCAATTCTCAAACTCAAACAGAAATTACTTTTTTTAAGTTTAAGTTTTAGTGAATTAAAGGCATTTTTGAGGCTAAACCTACAGTAAATGGTTATTGTTCAAATGTCATATCGATAACCTTTTAGTCCTTTGATGTACTAGGAAACTCTAGCTCGAGACAACTATTTTGGCATAATTATGAAGTATTTTTTTTTAAACAATTAAAGTTTAGGGAGGTAGAGGCCCTAAATTGGCCATCAATTTTATATCCGGTTTTTCTGGATCTGGTACAAAGTGTAACATACATCTTAAAAGGCTTAAAATTTGAAATAAATTCTATACTATATAAACAAATAGAAAGATATATTTTTAGGGAAACAAAAAGAAAACAAAAAAATAAACATTGCAAAATGAAGTGGCATTTACCAACTGAAGCCTTCAACAAAGACTTCAACAGCGCCCTTGCCCTTATGCATGTTCTTGCTAACATTGGCACGAACAGCATCGTTGAGACCAGGAGGACCACAAATAAAAAATCCAATACTGCCAGGAGCTTCTGTGACATAATTCTCGACAATGGATGGGATGTTGGGAATTCCATAGTGAACTGTTGAGCTGGAAGTGCTGCTGACAGAGTTCTTTTCAATATCAGAACTGCTGCTTCTCTTTTCACTAATACTTCCTTCCGAACTTTCGGTTTCATCACTAACGTAAAGTTGAACATCAATACCAGACTTGTTCATGAATTCAATTTCATTCTTGAAAAGATCAGCTTGTTCATGAGTTCTAACACACCAAAAGAAAACAATGTGCTTTTTCTCAGCTTGAGCCTTAAGCTTGTTGACATAAGAGTATGCTCCAGTAAAACCAATACCACCAGCCATGAGAACAATTGTTTCAGAACCAGCAATTGGGAAGGTGTGACCATAAGGACCATCAATGAGGACAGGCATTTTAACCTTTCCTCCTTTTTTGGCCAGGTATTCACCGAGTTGTTGGGTCTTGCCCTTCTCAATCTTGGTCATGATAATAAATTTTTTCTCCTCACCAGGTACAGGGGACTGGTAAATGGTAAATGGATGGTTCTCCCAGCATTTCCAGATAGGGAAAATCCAGTTAATGAAAACGTAGTGGCCAGGGCCAGGAGTCCACCAGTGGAGGTATGAGACAGTAGTTTTGATGAAATCGCTATTAACAAGCTCGACTTCAGCAGAAGCATGAAGACCGTTGAAAACGATTCTAATAAGTCTGAAAGCTCTGTCAAAAGCCCAAACTGCAACAGTAGCATAAATCCATTCAGGGTCGGCATGGGTGTGCTTAAGATGGTACCAAGTGCCAATAGTGAAGAATGCCACGAGAACGATATGAATATAGAGGAAAAATTCATAGAACTTTTCACGGAAATGGCGGAGAGAAAAGAAGCAAAGCAAGCAACCACAAATAGTACCCACAATACCCCAAACCATCCAGCCCTTTTTCCAAGTAGAGTGTAAGGAAGCAGCACCACGAATAAGGTAAACATCAGTGTAAGCCACAGAGTGAATCAAGACAGCAATTACAGTAACTCTAGCGATCCATCTGTGGTATGCATTCATAGTGTCATAAGACCAACCTGTGAAAATCATGGCAATGTTATTTCTGGAAGCAAAAAGGTAAAGCAGAGGCATTTGGAAAATGGTGATTTCACCTGATCTATCGGTAACATATCTGGAGAGCTGGGCGCGCTTAGAAGTGTACTTTGTGTTTTCCTCAAAAATATCATACTTGATAAACATGAGAATGATAAACATCACAACGTAACCAATAATGACCCAACTTTGAGTACGAGTAGGGATAGACATGTTAACAATATTAAAGGGACCCCATTTGAAAGCAAGACCATTCTTGAAGCCAAACATAGCCGGGTTGGCAAACTTTTGTCTAACGAGAACAAAAGGTCTAGTATTAGCCATTTTCTTTGAGAAACCAGGAGTGACAGTCTTAAAGAAGTTAAAAACAGTAGCAATTGCCATGATGGCAGCAAAATAAGCAAGCATGAGACCACTAAATGCATGTTAGAATTAAAAAGAAAAATATATATATATTTTTTTAAAGCTTACCCATAAAGTTTACCGGAATAACTGGAATAATTTGAAGCTTTGTTAGATCTAACATTGTTGTCGATAGAAGATTGATTGAAAAAAATAGGGCTGTAGAGAGTACTAGAAGTTTTGACACTATTGACATCGACAAAGTAGTCGGTACCATTTTCATAAATTTCCATGAGCTCATCGTAAGTGAGAGTGGGTCTAATAGTAGAAGCCGTGCAAGTAGTGAGAAGAAGCTGGATAACCTCTTCACCCTTCTTATTGCTTGCTCTTAAAGCGCAACTAACATAAGAGGTGAGATATTCAGGACTCCAGCAATTGCAAGTTGTGTCGGTTGATTTGCCTTTTGACTTTTTGGTTGTCGATTTGGTTGTCGTTGAAACATATTGCGAAGGGCATTCCCATGTGTAACTTGATGTAAGAGTGTTGCAAGCTGATTGAAGGAATGTGACACCATTTGCTGCGAGAGCAGCATTTGCTAGAAATGCGGATACTGCGATATTTTGAAGTTTCATTGGAGAAAATTTAATGATTTGAATAGTACTAATTCTAACCCAGATGAAAAAGAAGAAAAAAAAATTCACGAAAAAGGCCTAATATTTATATAAAGCCATATTTTACTTGTGGTCATCTAGTTTAATGAGAGTTTTTTTTTTTTTTTTAATTGTATTATTCTCGTATATGATAATCGGATTTTTTTTCATCATTTCCTAATTTGTATTAATCAAATCAATCTATTTGGAAAAAAGTGTATTAAAAATTTGTATGAATTTTGTTGTGTATCTTGACCCGAGTTTCAACGTGCATTTTTTCTTTTTTTTTTCTTTTTTCTTTTTTTTTTTTTTTCTTATTCTTTTGCCAAGTCTTTTCCATTGCTTGGCTGCTAACTTTTGGCAGTCTTTGATAGTTTTCAAAAACCCTTGGCAATGTGATATTAAAAATACCGTCGAAAAGACGGGAAATCAACACCAATTGAATTATTTGCAAAAGGAATCATGACAGATTATGAGAAATTGTCATTTTGGTTGGATGATGTTTGTTAATTTTAAATTATTATAGCAATATTAGTTAAATAGAACAGGCACACCTGTCAATATTTACAAATGATAAACCCATTTCAAAATAACTTGCATATTAAAGTTGCCGGTCGGCTCATAAAAAACTTGGTGCGAAACTCGCTGGCCGCATTTTGTCAACTACCATTAAGCCTAATACTAGTTGTCTCCCGAGTTACCAATAAAAATTTTTATTCTTCTGATAATTGTGGTCCTTAATTAGCTTATGAGCTCAATGAAAACAAGAGCTTGCTATTATTATTGATCAATCAATTTTTCAAAAGATAATCTGTTTTTCTATGGTCTTTACATAAATAGTAACTGTTTTTTTTTTCTTTTTTTTTCTCCACACAACTTCTTAGGATTGTTGTCGTTTTCTGGGCATATTTTTACATTAATAATTACCATTTCTTTTTTCTTTTTTCTTTTTTCTTTTTTTCTTTTTTGACAATCTTATTTTTGGCAAAACATTTGGCAACTATTTGCCAATAGGTTCAAGTTCGGAACTTTGCGGTTACCAATATGCCAAGACCAAGGATTATTTTCTTCAGTAATTTTCAAGTTCCTCTAATATTGGCTTTTAAAAACCCCGAGTTGGATAATATTTTTCAATAATATATTGAGCCTTTTAAAGTGGATTACCTAACAATTTTTCTAATTACATGATGGGTTTTAACTATGATTAATAAAAAAAAACTTGAATTTCAGTTTTTGTCCCTCAACTTTTGGATACTATTCAACCTCGGTATACGTATTAGGTCGGGATATTGTTATTTTAAATTTCTTTGATTTTAATCAATTACTATTGAAAAAGCATCTTGTCTTTGTAAATCTCAATTGTTTTTTTCAAGGCTACAAATTAACATTCATACAAAAAAAAAAAACATTTCACAAAACCAAACATTTCATCTTATGAAATTTCAAACATTATCATTTATCACCAACTAATTTTCTATATCGCTCAAAATATCAATATTTATTTAATTAATGATAAACCTGAATTTTAAAAAAAATACTTTGAATACCAGTCTTGGCAAGTTAAATTGTAATTAGTTTTGAATATTGTTCTAAAATTTAAGCAAGGCTTTAAAAATCAATTAAACAAATACCTTGAATATAATTTTGCCATGTTTTGGTAAAAAAAAAATTGTTGTTTCTTGGTCTGTTTATCCAGTAATATTCATGACAATTGAAAGTTAACAATCGTTGGTTTTGGTCATATACTCTACTTAAAAAAAACCAACTACTAACTATTGGGGTTTATTTTTTTTTAACTTAATTTTTTTAATTTGTTTCGTAAACCGAAAAAATATTTCATGTTTGAAAACTTGTTGCTTATGAGTTATTTGAAATGGTTTCATTCATTCAAGAATCAACTTTTCGTTACCGAGTCTCAATTTGTCATACGATTTAGGTATACGTCACATTTTCTTTTTAGTTTTAATTTCTTTAACATTGAATTTTGTTTATCAATTCTTTTTTAAAGTTATTGTTTATAGTTCTGCTCTTGATTTGTAAATATAGAAAATAATATTTCAAGGTCTCATAGTCATCATCTTCTTGAGCCGTGCAACCAGTATCGAATTAAGCATTATGCGGCTCAAATCATACACTACGACTCTAACAGTTTTCTAAAAAAGTTTTTAAGGTGACTTTCAAAAACAGTTAACCGGATCGCGTTTGTCGTGTACATAATTCCGAAAGAAGAAAATCTGAAAAGATCAAACATATTCCTTTTTAGCATTGATTAGGATAAGCAGCACTTGCTATAATTTTGATTGCGATTAAGATATGGTCTCATCAGGCTGGTATATTTATTTTTTTTTCCGGAGGAGTGATAACTATTATCAGGATGAGCATTGCAACATCTATTATTAATCTTGGGATACGATTGTAAATCTTGTCCATTCCTTTTTTTCTTTTTTTTTTCTTTCTTTTTTGTAGGTCTTTTCAAAAATAGTAGCAACAGCTTTTGCACATTCAGGTTTAGTCTTTATATTTGGCATATCTTAGCTTTTGTCTTTGGTTTATTGAAATGCACCCAGCAGGGACAATTCTGGCGCGCAAAACCTAGAAAACAAGTGGCAGTCTTAAGTGCTCTTGGCAGGCCCATAAAAAAACACTATCCACGGATGCTACCTATCGTTCTCAAAGTGTTTTAATGTTAACGAAATCCTTTAAAAGGTAAATCAGCAAATCTGTTATTGCTTTTTCTTGTAAATAATTATTTAATGATAACATGAAAATATAGGATAAGACTTAAGCCTTTAGTCCATCCAAAGATTTGGTTGTGGTTCCCCTCTAATCTTTATATGAGTTTCAAAAACTCAAAAGGCACGACATTTAGTTAATAAACCAGTCATCAGTCTTTTTCATTATTAGTTAAGGAGTTAATCATTATAATTACTAATTAGAAACGTACAATGTGGTAAATTTGTTTTTTTGCTTGTTTTTATTTAATGGTTATAGAACCATATTGTCAACGTCAACATCAACGTCAACATCAATGTCAACGCCATTATCATAATTGTTTGACTTAGGTGACATGCTGTCTTATGGGTATACATTTTCAGTACTTGCATAGTTTCGATCTGTACTCTTTCGGTAGCCCAGAACATATGCCCTAATGCCAGCTTACGAGCAAAGAGAACTAGTTTGTCGGCTCCAAGCCCACCCGACCCATTTTCATTTATCTTCCTAGACACCCGTGTATTTCTTAATATCCTCCTTTAAAGAAACGATCCATAATTACCTGTAAGTTGATCAGATTTAACGGAAGAGTGATCTTTCTTGTTTGCTATTAAAATTCAGGTGAGGTCGTATATTCTCTTCAGGAAATTGAACCTAGTATGTTTGACTATTAAATCAAAAGCACTTTCAATAACTTTCCTTTCACAGTCAGTCCATCAAATATCCTTAAACACATTGCTTTCTTTTTTATGCCAGTTTATGTTTTTATTCGTTGTAGAAATTGATGATGACATGACTTACAAAAAATTATTCTTTAAACCTTTTGGATGAGGATGACTAAGTCGTAAGTTTTCAACGTTAAAATTATATTTTTATTTTTTTTTTTTTTAAGATTGAAATTAAAGTATGAGTTTGGGTTCCTATTGCGGCTTCTACTATATAAAATCAAATAGCTCAGCGGTGCCGATTGATATTTCAGGCACCCCTTCCTTTCTTAATGAAATTTTTGGTTTGAAGACCATTTCTTGGCGCCAGATTTTGTTTTTGTTTTTGTTTTTTGTTTTGGAGGAGGGCACATGCGGTCTAATACCGGTATCATAAACACTATCAGTTCTAGATGTTACCAAAACCAAGGTTTTTGTTTAGTTTGCAAAATTCCAACAGAGATTTTTAAGAATTGTGTAACCTTTGTATTAATTTTTTTTTATTGCGATTGCGATTGCGATTGAAATTGAAATTGAAATTGAAATTGAAATTGAAATTGAAATTGAAATTGAAATTGAAATTGAAATTTTCCAACGTTGCTAAATGTCATCAAGTTGTCACACATGTGGCAGGCTCGTGTCTATCTATTTCCTATTTCTCCAAAAAAGAAAAAAAAAAAAGAAATCGGGCAATGCTTGGGATATACAAACCCCTTACTATGTTCAAAAATCCTGGTATTCTTAAACCCGTAAGATTTTTTATTCGTATAATTCACGGCTAATAACCATGTTATATACATGACTGCTTAACATGATCGGAGAATACATGTTTTCTTTTTTTTTTTTTCTTTTTTTACAGATTTGCCTTTGAAGTGAACCCTAGTTATTTCTTGGCCGCTTAACCACCATTTTAATTAGTGGTTATCTTAAATAAACTACAGATTGTTTTTTTTAAAAAATATCAATGATGTGGTTTTTACAAACTATCTTTCAATTCAATTAACCCCATACTTTCTCTTAGGGAAAAAAAAACTGTCACTAAAATTGACATACTATAGATTTTTTTTGTACAGTATCCTTTAAGTACTTAACTTGGGTAAAAATGGAAATTACATATTGTTACATTTACATTAGTAATTTTCTGTTCTAAGGTTTTGTGATGGAAAGGCTAAACTAGTGGTTTTCAGATAAATAATCTACCGAAAACCTACCTGTACATGTATGCACCAAAAATCAAAAGAGAACATCTGTTGTAAATTTAGAAAATGAAATCAAACTATACCAAATATAGTATTTTTGGAGAGAGAAAAATCAAAGTCTTTAACGTTGTTCTATTGTAACATTTAAATAAAGTAGTACTACTTTATTTACTACTAGTAGTAGTAGTGTATTTATTTTATTCATTTTGGAAAATATAAGCCGGTACATTTATATTAAAAATATAAAAGGATTAAAGAATTTCAGGGTGCCAATTTTTAAATATAAAAAATTTTAATAATAGGTTCGATATTACAATATAACTAATTCATCTTGATAAGATTCATCATTGATGATACAAAAAAAAAAAACTATACGGCATTAATACATAATTTTCTTTTTTTTTTTTAATAGGCCTGTATCAAATTCTTAAATGAATAACCGTCAGCTTATGAGAAATAAGAATATCAAGTTTCTTTCTGTTTTCTAAAAAGTTTATATAACTGTGAGTTTTTTAATAAGTATGAAGAATCAAAGAAACGAGTTTTCTAAATTCGTTTCTAGAAAGCTCAAAAGTGTGATTTTAAAAAAAAAAAAAAAAAAAAAAATTTCTTTTAAAATGAATTTGCAATGAAGAACCATTAAAATATTACTAATGGCTCAAAAAATCATTTATTTCAAGCTTTCAAAGAATTTCGATTTTTTATTCCTACTTTCAGATTCAAAAGTAATATCGAAAATGATTAAAACTAGTTCTTTTTTAATATTACATGTCTTTTTAAGTGGGTATTTCATATTCACATATTTATCAAGGTTTTAATTGAATGGGTTATATAGTTTTTCCAAGATCTTATCTAAACTAGTTTCCATCAATTATGATATCAAATTATTATGTTTTTTTTTATATCCATCTCGTTTTCCCACTCTTTTTCAGCTCTTTAAATTGGACAATACTTGGTAGATTTATGGGGTAAAAAAAAATTTATTTATATTCAATTAATCAAAAGTCAATACTTGGTTTTTCAGAAAACATTACGAAGTTTATTACCAAAAAAAAAAAAATTAAAAATTAAAAAAAACTCGCTTACGTGGATCAAATATTTCGCATATTCATACTTGAAAAATACCCTGTTTATCATATCCAGGACTTTTGCTTGTTTTTTGAAACCATTCTTGTAAGGTTGTACTTTTTTAACAACTTTTTTTTTCCTAAGAAGAGTTTAAAATTCTTGGCTAGTTTTCAGATATTGATATTTTAAACTCTAGTTCATGTAGTTAACGTTAAACTATTATAAAGAATTTAATTCTTTATAACTACATAACTAAGTTATGTTAATTATGTTAAACAACATTATACTAACAAAATAATACCCGGTATCAAATATACTTATGTGATAGAGTCTATGTTTTCAATGACGTCAAGGTGTGATATTTATTAAAGTCTTTTCGTTATTTCTTGTGACCACCAAGTCCTTAACGCCTTCTACCTCATCATTCCTGAATTGTCTAGCAATCATAATTATAAGTTTCATCTTAATGGTACTAATTAGCTTTTTCAAATAAAGCCTGAGTTATGGGTAGTGTAAGGCGATTTCATTTATATTAGTATTTGGCATTAAGCTACAGATGTTATGATTATTTCCTAAACGGTATACATTTAAGTAACAATATCTTAATCAAACGTTTCAACAAAACATATGGCGTTTCTAGCCAAATGAATAAGGTATCATGAACTAGTACATCAAGCAAGAATTCCTTAACGTTTATATTATTAATGCTTATCAGATTCCCAGTTAAAAAAAATTAAACCTTAAGATTGAATTCATTTAATTTCCCTTCATTGAATTCTATCACTGCAAATGACTTTTTTTTTCGACTTTTTGTTTTATCCATGAGATTTTTTGCAACAAATTTTATATTCACAACCACTCCAAAGCTGAAAAAAAAAAAAAAAAAAACTCAGATTAATGATAGTATGAGCGTCTCAAAAATACCAATTTATAAGTTCAGAATTATTCCTTAGTCACACAGCAAGTCATGTTTTTTTTAAGAGAAATTTAACCTCTCAAAATACTATTGGGCCAGTCATAGAATACCTTCTTCTCACCCCATATTTATCCCCGCATTATTATTGGAATGGAAAAAATACCAAGGCTGTTTTTTTAAGCAATGGAAATAAAGAGAGAAAAGCCACAAAAATTTTAAAGTTTGGAAGGATGAATAACTTTGCTCAGAGGTAATTGCGATGACCTTAATTGTGGGGGAGGGTAGAGAACAAAAAAAAAAGTTTATTATTTTTATATAAATGGTGGTGTGTTTGTGTGCGTGGATATTATAGTATTGTGTATTATTCAGTACAGCAAAGTATAGCCACTATTGGATTGGGTAATTTAGGGACAAAAGACACAAGCCACGCACTTGATGGATGTTTGAGCTTGGTCAGATTCATTAATTAATAAAAAATGGCATAAATTTTCATAGAGTACATGGGCATTCAAACAATATAATCAATGCTGCATAAATTTTTAAATAAATAAATGAAAGAATAAACGAGATTTTATTTCCTCAAGTTAGTGGCTAGTGAATCAACCAAAATGTTTAATACCAAGATAATGAATAGTCTTTTTTTTTTATCGATAAAGTTCTAGATATTGATAATGTAAAAAGGACAAAAAAAAAAAATTATGGAAAAGAAGAAGAATTATTACTATTAGAATATCAGTTGAAGAAGTTTGAAGGATGCTCACGTCAGAGATTGTAAACCATTTTGATTTGTAAGAACAACAATATGTGTTAAGCTTGTCTCTCCCCTCCCCTTAATAATGGTCTGTGTTCCGAATAGTCTGAAAGCCGACCAGCGGCATAAAAAAAAACGCATAACATTGGATACAAGCTTAAAGAATTAAATAAAACAAAAAGAAAACAAAAAAAAAATTTTTTCTTTAATTTTTTTTTTGTAGGAGATGTCCTCTTTTTGGAAATAATTTTTTTTATTATGGACGAGAATTGAGGGATGTGAAGCTTATTAAGGTTTGATTATTACAATAATGCACTAGCCACACACGCCACCGCACCACCACAACCAAGAAAAAATGCAGCACCTGCAGAAGTTGTTATTAGGCGTCTCTGTCTTTTGAATTTTCTCAGTCTTTCAGCATACCCCCTTAGTATTCCCCCAATTGCACAAATAACCATATCAGTTACTGGTATACGGATCAATTGAATTATTATTATTATTAGAAAATGGGTTGCAAAAGAGAAAAAAAAAAAAAAAAGAAGAAGAAGAATAGAATAGATGAGGGGCATGTTACTTTGATATTCAAATAGCCACCACCAAAGAATCAACGGCATGATGACGGCGTGCGCCACGTCCGAAATACCGTTGAGAGATAAAAAAAAAAAAAAAAAAAATTATTAAAAAAAAACCCGCGCCGCAGAACAATAAAAAGAGTCACGTGAAATGTCGTGATAATTGAATGAAATTTCACCAAATCATTTAGCAAAGTTTTTTCTCTTTAATTTTTTTTTTTTTTTTATTTTGGGCATGAAGTTTCTTAGAAATCAAACAAAAGTTTGCTCGTGGCTTGAGAGAATGTTTATATAAATTGAATGAAATTTCCTGGTTCTTTTTTTTTTTCTTCTCTTTTTTTTTTTTTTTTTTTTTTTTTTATTTTACTAGGCTTATATCCTCATATTCAAGTTTTTTTAATTTTTTTATTTTAATATTTTTTCCTTTCCCTCAACTATTCTTCAACAATATTCAACTATTCAAAAACAATGACCAAGGACACAATAGAACTTTCTCCTTCTCACCTGGAGTACATTAACACTAATTTGTCGACAAAGACTGCTGAAGAAATTCTTCAATGGTCACTGACAACTTTCCCCGGTCTTTTCCAGACCACAGCATTTGGTCTTACTGGCCTTGTTATTCTCGATATGATTTCAAAGATTTCGCCAGGCGCGCACCCAATCGACTTAATATTCATGGACACACTTCATCACTTTAAGGAGACTCTAGAGCTCGTTGACCGGGTAAAGGCCAAGTATCCCCAAATTCAAATTCACATTTACAAGCCTGAGGGTGTCAACACTGAGGAGGAGTTTGCTAGAGAGTACGGCGAGAAGCTGTGGGACACCAATGACACTTTCTACGACTACCTTGTCAAGGTTGAGCCTGCTTCACGGGCGTATGAAGACCTTGGGGTCAAGGCAGCTATTACTGGTCGTCGCCGAAGCCAAGGCGGTGCCCGTGCCAAGCTTCAAGCAGTTGAGTATGAAGCTGACACAAAACTCATTAAGATTAACCCATTGTTCAATTGGACTTTCCAACAAGTTCAACAATATATTAAAGAAAACGACATTCCATACAATGCTCTGCTGGACCAGGGCTACCGGTCTGTTGGTGACTACCACTCGACGGTTCCTGTGAAGGAGGGTGAGGATGAGCGTGCAGGTAGATGGAAAGGCAAGCAAAAGACAGAGTGCGGAATTCATGAGACTTCTCGGTTTGCTGAATTTCTGGCGGCTCGCAATCAGCAGCCTCAAGCTCAAAGCTAGCTAGCTAGCAGCATTTGGTGATAATTTACGAGGTTATATATTTATTTTGGGGTTTTTTTTTTGTTTTTTTTTGTTTTTAAAAAATAAAAAAAAATTAAAAAAAAAAATTTTTGCATTTTTGGTATTAATAGAAATAAAAAATAAAAATTAATAAAAAGGTTACAAAAAAAGAAATGAAAAGCTTTTGAGGGAAAATTAATAACAACAAAGAGTGGCTGTAATTAGAGAAGAAAACGTGTGAAGGTGAAATTTTTCAAAGTTTAAAAAAATAAAAAATTCCACTAGACCAAATGTACTTCTTACTGTTCTGAAATTTCCTTCTGTGGCTTTTCGTTACATTGGCAAGCCACCTTTTTTTTTTTTTCAGCCTTTGGAAGGCAAATGCAAGAGTGGTGTGAAGTGGCGCAATTGCCAAAGCATATTGGGGAATATATTTCTACAAGTTTCGGAGCCCGTGAAATTGTATAATAATTCTACAATTGGCCCATAGTATATATATATATATATATATATATGTCCATGATTAAGTCTTGGTATTTATTTATTAATCTAAATTTTATTTTATTTTTTTTTTCTTCTTCTTTTGATGTGGGAAATATATTGGCCCTTTATCTTGATAGCGATAACATGATATCACTAGCCTCTTAATGAGCGCCACAGATGGTGGTGGAGGTGGAGGAGGTTAATGAGCCTTGGTGAATTTCTTTAGATGGATGATACTGTTGTGGCACAAATTTTTATTTTAATTTTTTTTAATTTTTTTAATTTTTTTAATTTTTTTAATTTTTTTAATGCAGTAAAAATTTTATTTATTTATAATTTTATGACTAATATAATGTCATTGATGATTCATCTTTTGTAATATGCTATATATTATTGAAATAAAAAAAATTTTTTTCCTAACCCTCCACTCCAATATTATTCACAATTTCAGAAATCACAATTTTTTTTTTTTTTTTTCAGTCATAGCCGTTATTATATATACACCTAAAACTTTCTTTTCTTCTTGACGATAAAAAAAAAAAAAAAAACTTCCCACACATTAATAAAAAAAAAAAATTTTTTTATTTTTTTTTTTTTAATCATCCCTCTTTCCGCTCCTTACCGTTCTTACCCTTGATGAGCAAAAGCATTGTCACATCAATTGTAAAGAGTCATCGTCTAACTACCCTTGGTCTATTTAAATACCATATCCGCTGCTTTCCTCTCTGCCACTTAGCATCTTTATCAAAGAAAAACGCATCATCGTTAGCACCGTCTGAGTTTACATATATTGATTACCGACGATATCCCCAGCATAAACTGACCATGGCTGATATTACCTCACTTACACAAAAGCTGAATGCTTTTGGCATTTCTGAGCCCGTGAAGCCATATCCGGGCTCCAACCCTGAGCTCAACCCCATTGATCTCTTCCGTTCCTACATTACCCAGGAGCTTTCTCGGGTGTCTGGTATTGAGCCCGCTAAAATTTTCCCCGCTCTCGAATGGACAAACACTTCTGACCGTGGAGATTTGATTATTCCTATCCCCCGTATTACTCGGGAAAAGAACCACGAGGAACTTGCTGCCGAGTGGACATCCAAATTTGAAAATGGACCCTACTTGTCTGAAGTTATTGCCAAGGGCAAGTTCATTCAGTTTTTCTTTAACCCTAGACTTCTGGGTGACATTTCCATTAAGGACATCTTGCAAAAGGGTAAGGACTTTGGCAAGGCCGAGATTGGCAAGGGCCAGCGTATTGTTGTTGAATTCAGTTCGCCCAACATTGCCAAACCATTCCATGCAGGCCATTTGCGTAGTACCATTATTGGTGGATTTATCAGCAACCTGCATGAGGCACTTGGGTTTGATGTTGTTCGATTAAACTACCTTGGTGACTGGGGCAAGCAGTTTGGTGTTCTTGGTGTTGGATTCCGCAAGTATGGATCTGAGGAGGCTCTTGAGAAGGACCCGATCCAACATTTGTTTGATGTTTATGTCAAGATTAACCAAGATATTACAAGTGAAAAGGAGGCCCAGATTGCTGCTGGTTCTACTGATCCTCAGAGTGAGATTGACAATGAAGCTCGTGCATTTTTCAAGAAGATGGCAGATGGTGATGAGGAGAGCTTAAACTTGTGGAAGAAGTTCCGTGCTCTTAGTATTGAGCGTTACAAGGCGACATATGAACGTCTCAACATTTTCTACGACAGTTACTCTGGAGAGTCTCAAGTCAGCGAGGAGCGATTGAAGGAGGTTACTAAGGAGCTTCAGGAAGCGAATTTGATTACTGAGGATAAGGGAGCACTGCTTGTTGATTTGACCAAGTACAATAAGAAGCTTGGCAAGGCTATTGTGCAGAAGAAGGATGGTACTTCATTGTACTTGACCCGAGACTTGGGTGCAGCTATTGATCGTCACCAAAAGTACAAGTTTGACAAGATGTTTTACATTATTGCTTCACAGCAGGACCTGCACACTGCACAATTTTTTAAGATTTTGGAGTTAATGGGGTACGAGTGGGCCAAGAATTTGAAGCACATTAACTTTGGTATGGTTCAAGGAATGAGTACACGAAAGGGTACAGTTGTGTTTTTGGACACGATTCTTGAGGAGACTAAGAATGCCATGCACGAGGTGATGAAGAAGAATGAGGAGAAGTATGCACAGGTGGAGAACCCTGAAGAGATTGCTGATCTTGTTGGTATGTCTGCTGTTTTGATTCAAGACATGTCTGCTAAGCGAATCAATAACTATGCGTTTAACTGGTCACGAATGTTGTCCTTTGAGGGTGATACTGGGCCATACCTGCAATATGCTCACTCTCGTCTGCGATCTGTGGAGCGTAAGGCTGGAGAGCTTAACAACAAGCAAGAACTTGAGGCTGCTGATTATTCGCTTTTGACAGAGCCATGTGCTATTGAGCTGATTCGTTTGATTGCGCAGTATCCTGATGTGTTGCTGAATGCTTTGCGCACTTTGGAGCCATCGACAGTTGTTACATATCTGTTTAAGCTGACGCATACTGTGTCATCTTGCTACGATGTGTTGTGGGTTGCTGGACAAGAGAAGCCTCTTGCCCAGGCTCGTCTTGCATTGTACTCTTCTGCTCGCCAGGTATTGTACAATGGTATGAAGTTGCTCAATTTGACACCTGTTGATCGTATGTAAAGAAGAGAAGTAATTTTTTTTTTTTTGTGTGTAAGTGTTATAAGATATTTTTTTTTTTTTTTTTTTTGTATTAATAAAGTGTGGCAGACATGCTTTGAGATGAGACCGTTTTTTTTTTTTTTTTTCCAAGTATCAGGGGTAATTTTTTTTTTTTTTTTTTTTGTATTTTATTTATTTTGTAAAAAGAACCGGAACTTGAATTTAAATTTAAATTTTTTTTTTTTTTTTTTTCAAGACGATATGAGGGTTTGAAATTGAAAAGATGAAAGGGATATGAAAAGACCGGGCCGAGAGAATATAGCGCGAGATTAAAGGGGGTGGGGGGAATTTTTTTTATGGTAGTTATTTCATAAAGTATTTATTTATTTCATATTATTACAATCAGTATCAATATCAATATCAATCAAATTTGAATTGAATTGAATTGAATTGAATTGAATTGAATTGAATTGAATTGAATTGAATTGAATTGAATTGAATTGAATTGAATAAATAAATAAATAAATAAATGATGAGACAAATAAAGTTATTGCGACTTTTCCCCGGATTACACGGAAACCCTTTTTAAGAAGAATGTATGAAATTTGTATGATGATGAAGGTACATATGAAAAAAAAAAAAAAAAAAATTTAAATAAATAAATAAATAAAAAAAAAGTTTAAATTTATATAATATACAGTGAAAACCAATTGATAACATATTTGGACATTTGAAAGTAATTCTTAATTTTTTTTAATTTTTTTTAGTTGAGTATTTATTTATTTATATATTAGAATTAGAGCCTTTAAATTCCGGAGTTTATGAAAAAAAAAAAAATTGTTTTAATAAAACGGTTAAATTTTAATGTTTTAATATATAAATATAAATATATATTTTTCATAGATGGTAATTTTGAGACTTTAGTATATTTGGGAACGTTATATAATAATAATTGTGATCTACCTTTTTTTTTTTAAAAAAAATTAAAAAAAAATTAAAAAAAAAATAAGCCAGTACAGTTGGTCCGCCCTCCAATTAATTAATTAATTAATTAATTAAATGAGTGAGTGAGTTATAACTAATTAGATAAGACAAAGTTCGGATCGGAAGAAATTGAAGATATATATTTATATAATAAGAGAGAGAAAGAGAGAGAGATTTTAATAGACGAAAGAAAAAAAAAAAAATTCAAAATTAAATTACTAATTGTAGTAGTAGTTATTATTATATATATTAAAGATGAACGGATTAATATTTAAAAGAAATTTAATTGAAACAAAAAAAAAAAAAAAAAAAGTGGTATCATCATAAACAATATCATCATTATTAACATTATATATTATTAAGACACACCATTAATAAATAAACAAAGTATAGCCGTTTGATTTAGCAGCCATAAGTAATAATAATAATAATAATAATAATAATAAAAGGTTACCCGGTGTTGTTATTAAAGCTTTTTTCCGAAAACAAAAATGGCTAGGGGGGGGGGGTGAGGCAAGTTTATCTTTTAAAAACAGAAGCAGCAGTAGCAGCAGCAGCATATATATTTTTTATATATATAAAAAATAAAAAATAAAATAAAAATTTATTGGTTCCCACGGCAAAACGGAGAAATTCAATTTATTTATTTATTTAAATTTTTTTTTTTATTTTTTTTTTTGAATAAAATAAAAATAAAAATAAAAGAAATTCACTAAATGCCCCTAAAATAACCATTGATAATCGCCTATCTACTTATAATGCCCATTTGGGTTTATTTGGTTGCTTATTTTTTATTTTTTTATTTTTTTATTTTTTTATTTTATTTTTTTCTCTCTTTCTATAGTTGATAAAGATATCTGGAGAAGAAGATATCAAATTAAAAAAAAATAAAAATGAAGGCCTATTTAAATTAAATTTAAAATAAATTAAAAATAAATTTAAAATAACTGAGAAAAAAAAACTTCCTTGGCTTTGAGTAGATTTACTTCTTCCTTTTTTTTTTTTTTTTTTTTTTGGCTTTTGTGCGAGTCCTTATTTCAAAGCTTTTCGTTATAATAATAATGAATGAATAAATAAATAAATGAAGTTTCATAAAGTGGTTGTATGCTTCTGATGCTGCTGCTGCTGCATACTCAAGTTCCGGTCGGATTAACTTTGGTTTTACATCATTAAGTCATAAAACGGTGTGTGTATATATATATATACCAGAGAAAGTATCAGTAGCGGTAAAAAAAATAATATATATATATATGAGAGATGTGTGTGGGGTTTAATGTAAGGAGAAGAAATGATATTTACATTTTGATTAATCATTTAAGGGTTTTTTTTTTATTTCAAGTTTTTCCGAGGAATTTCTTTGATGGGCATTTTATGATTATCTTTTATTTATTTATTTATTATTTTAAAAGCAGGGCCAAAAAAAAAAAAAAAAACTTGTTTGTTTGTTTGATTGAATTTGCGTTTTTGTGGTTAGGCGGTTTATATTTTTTTTTTTTAAATATTAAAAAATTTTCTTTGTATATTTAAAAGAATTTCTTTTTTTTTTTTTTTTTTTTTTTTGCCGTTGGTCAGGCCTCCCCGCAATGTGATTACATAAGTAATTTTCCGGACGACAGGAGGGCCAAAAAAAAAAAAAAAAATAAAATAAAAAATAAAAAAAAATAAAAAAAATAAAAAGGAAAATTTTTTATTTTTTATTTTTTTTTTATTTTTCAAAATTAAAAATATATATATATATATATTTATAAAAAATACAAAATAAATTTCTTAATATTTTAATTGAGCTCTTTTTTTCTTTTTCTTTTTCTTCTTCTTCTTCTTCTTCAAAGCCAACCTCTTAAGAATTGGGAATTTTTTTTTTTTTTTTTTTTTTTTTTAACATGTGCTGATATTTTTGGTCCAAGTGTTTATTGGTGGATGACAACAACAACATTAAGAAAAAAAAATAGCCTTTTTGGTGATATCACATAGAAAATATTACATAAAAGCTTAGTCATGAAACTTTGTTAGTGTTAAACATTTATTTTTTTATTTTTTATTTACTTGCAACAAACAAACAAACAAACAAACAAGTTTAAAGCTTATAACTTACAGCTTAAAACTTATAAAATGGCAATAGTAGTTGTTGTTAAGGGAAAAAAAAAATGCATAGAAATATAAGCGGCACAAACCATCCCGGAGATATTAATTGTCTTTTTAATTTTTTATTTATCTATCTATTTAGAATTATTTAAAGATACTCTTCAACTGGTTGATATTTCATTTGTTAAATATTAGATTAAATGATATTTTTTTTAAAAAAAAAAAACAAATTGATTTCTCTTTCTTATTCTTATTCTTATTCTTATTCTTATTCTTATTCTAATAAATAACTTTTTGAAAAATAAAAATAAAAATAAAAAATAAAAATTTAAGTTTTTTTTTTTTTTTGCTTTTAAAGTTTTTTTTTTTTTTCAAACTGGAGAAAAAAAAAAAAAAAAAAAGAAGAAGAAGCAATCTGGGGAAAAACTTTTTAACCTTTAAAGGACTAAAAAAAAAAATAAAAATTTAATCATTTGTAAGATTGAACCATTAAATCTTCATCTTTATTTATTAATTATTATAATTATTATAATTATTATAATTATTATAATTATTATAATTATTATTTAAGTAGTAGTAAATAATAATAATCACAAGAAACTTACGTGGAAAACCTTTTCTAGTCACAATGCCCAGTTATGGACAGAAAGGAAAGAAGAAAAAAAAAATAAAAAAATAAAAGTCCCATTTCTCCGCGAATTTTCTAGTGTAGACATAATTATTAATATATATTATATATATTAATTTATTTATATATATATATATAAAACAAAATCCTTTTTTTTTTTTTTTTTTTTTCTTTTCTTCCCTAAATCCTTTTTTTTTATTTTTTTATTTTTTTATTTATTTATTTATTTATTTACTATTCACTTTTCTTGCTTAACTATTCTCCCATTAATATTTCTCTTAAAAATACTATAAACTATATAAACTATGGCTGAAGTAAAAGCCCTTGTCAGCGAGCTTCTCTTGCTCCTCATCTCAGACACAGATCTCTCCAAAATTTGTAAACCATCTTCTTCTTCTTCTTCTTCTTCTTCTTCTTCTTCTTCCTCATCATCATCATCATCATCATCATCACCAGCCTCTGCAACACAAATCACCCCTCCACCAGATAATCCATACGCCCATCTCAATAAACATGACCTTTGGTCTCATCTCGATGACCTTCTCTTCCCATACATGAGCTATAATATGAAGGTCCTCATGGCTCCTCCTCCAACCTCCCGAGGCCTTGTCATTAAAAAAACAACTTCAAACCAACCATCCCTCCTAGACGCCTTTGTCAAAGCAAACATCACCTCAGAAGCTGCCTCCCTATATTCCCTCGACCATCTACTTCCAGTCGCTGTTTACGAAGCTTGTACAAAAGAACTCTTAGAAATTGCTGCCCTTGAAGGTGCCCTACTCTCCCAAGATGCCGCTGCTATCCTCGACCTCTCAAGAGCTGCTGGAAACGGCCTAGGCACCGCCCGTTCTGCCGCCATTGCTTCTGCTTCTGCAGCAGCTGTTATCTCTTCTCCTGCTTTTGGTTCCGGTACTGCTACTCCAAATGTTCCAGGATCTGTCGCTCTCTCCACTTCTACTTTTACTTCCTCTCCCTCTCCATCTCCCTCTTCTTTGCTCATACAAAAAAAGTCTACCACCCCAGGTGACCACTCACCAGCCCTCCCGGAAAAACGGAGACGCCTGGCTGCATATTCCTTACCCGGCCTGGGCATCATCAACAATAATGTCGACTTGGATGACGTTGTCTCCTCCCACATTCACCACGTGATCCACCATCACATGACTGCAGTCACGGTTAACTTCCGTCGCATCACCCGCTCTCGCCTCCAGGCCCGGTGCACTGTCCCGGCCCTTCCTCCCCTTGTGCTCTCTCGTAACCGCACCGCCGCAGGTCGTGCTCCACCCCCAGCAAACGCAACTGATGTTGAAAAACCCCTTGACCCAGGCACCTCATTCGACTTTATCTGGGAGTCCTCCGCCATTGACGGTCTTCATAATTGGAAACTCCGCCGTTTTGGTTTTGCCGACTCTGATGACGAAGAACATTACTGGCGGCCTTGGGAACTCACTCTCCAAGATGCTGAGGCCGATTACGATATCTTCCAGCAACAAGACTACAAGGCAGATCTCGCACCTCTTGACGTGTCCGATATTGATTGGGACTCGCTCACTTCTGCAACAACTCCAACAGACGACACCATGGACACACTCTCTTCCTCTACACACTCTCTAACCCTTCACGAGCCACTCTCGTCTCTACCAGCAATCAACAACTGCAATGTGCCCTCCAAAAACTTGACAAATGGTGTTTACTACAATATCCCAGATTCCCACTCCTCCACTGCGTCCTCTAAGCATGGCAAGTATCTAGGGAAAACATTGGGTCAATCTAATTCAAATACTGGCTATTCTTCCACTTTTAACTTTCATTCAAACAAACCTGCTGCTGCCGCTCAGTCTGGCCGGCCCGTCGTGCTCGGCAGTACCACCCACCATTACTATAACCCTCTTAACCCAGGACAACATCCAGGGTACCACCATGCATGGGGTCATGATGACCATCATAACCATTACGAATCGCTTGAAATCGACTATGAAGACGACTATTCCTACAAGCAGTCTCATCCTGTTTTCCAGCATCCCATTGCGTCCTATGACGTTTACGATGACGATGATGATATCTTTGGTGTATGCCACAGCATGCCTGCAGAGGCCCCCAAACCTAAAATTGTTGCTCCAGCTCCTGTTGCTGCTTTGACTGCTGTTGCTGCTACTGCCCCTGGAATTTCTGCTGGTGGTTCAAGTACCACACTTTCTGCAGCCACAGGTATAAGTGCACAAGCAAACAAACCTAGTCTTACTGTGCAAACCTCGGGACTCTTTGGATCTTCAGCAACTCCCGTTGTCGCTACTTCTGCTTACCAGCAACCTGCAAATGCGACTGCTACAAAAACACAACCCACACCGCAGCCTTTGCTGCAACGTGTGTGTGATGGCGATGATGATGACGAGGCTGCCTACTGGGACCGTTATGACGATTTTGTCTAAGGTTGAGGGGCGGGGGTTATTTTTTCTTATTTGCATTTAACAATCAGCCTTTCTGATTATTATTTTTTTTTTTACTATTCCTCTTTTTTTTTTTCCATTATTAGCATTTCATGGCTTTTGGGCTATAATATGAACCACCTCTCTACTATCCTTTTGTTACGAATTTAATGACTTGTGTATAAAAATTTATATATATATAAAAAATTAAAAAAAAAAAATTAAAAAGAATTATAAAAGAATTTTTGAAACTTTTTCCAAAAAAAAAAACGGTTAAAATCTGGGGGGAGAGAAAGAAAGAAAAGTTCCAGAAAATGAATAAAATAAATCTCTAATTGTGAATGAAATTACAAGAAACCTTCAAAAAAAAAAGAAAAAAAAGGATTAAATTTACCAATTTGTGATTAGAAGGAATTTTTTTTTTTAAAAAAAAAAAAAAACTACTTTCTTTATTATTGACTAAAAGAAAAGTTGATAAAGAAAAAAAAAAAGCAATTAAACCCAAAAAAAAAACATAGAGCTCAAGGGTTATTAGAGGGGGAGGAACAAAAAATTAATAAATAAATAAAGGCATCATATTAATAGATAGAATAAAGAAACTAAAATTATTAAATTTATATATATATATATATATATATATATATATTATTTTTTGGTATATATAACGAGGTTTTTTTATTCTCTATTTTTACTTTGCTGAAGGAGCCATTTTTTTTATTGTTTTATTTTTATTTTCTTTATTAATTCATGCCTAATTAGGAAACTAATTAATATTCACAATTGAATGACTTGAAAAGCTCTACACTCTCATTCAACCAACTGTTTTTTTAAAAAAAAAAAACACAACACTGTGACAGTTCATTTTTGAATCAATTTTAATTTTAAAAAAAAAAAAAAATAAATAAATAAATAAAAAACAATCAATTAAAAAAAGGAAATTATCCCAAATATATTTAAACTCTCACACTCTCCTCCATCTTTTCTTCCTCTTGTTTAACCGAGAAACAAAACATCTTACTTCCAATCAATCACTCTTTTTATTTTTTTTCTTTTTACTCACAATGTATCAACCTCGTCGTCCCATAAAAGAAAAGTTCTACTTTGAGATTTACACAGGGTCTTCATACCGTGGCACTTTAATCTTTAAACTTTTCCCTGAAGTCTCTACTGCAGACCGCTTCCGTCACTTATGTTGCGGTCAGGACCCTTATGCTGCCATGGACAGTGCCAACAATAATCATAATAATGACGATGAAGATTCATATCTTTTTGCTCCAATTACTAGGGTCTATAAAGGTCTGGCAATTAAAGGTGGTCTTACTACAAGACCTATTGTCGATGAATTGGCCTGGATCACGGCCGCAAATTCTGCAAGAATAAATGCAGCTGGTCTTGATCATAATATTTGCAAAGATGAAGAAAAAGAAGAGAAAAACGAAGAGAAAAACGAAGAGAAAAAAGAAGAAGAAGAAGAAGAAGAAGAAGAAGAAGAAGAAGAAGAAGAAGAAAAAGAAGAAAAAGAAGAAAAAGAAGAAAAAAAAAATAAGAATAATAAAATGAAAAATAAACAACAGAATGATGAAGATGAAGATGAAGATGAAGATGAAGATGAAGACGATGACGCTGCAAATGTCCAAGACGAATGGCTGGCGGCCCACCGAGCAGCCGCGCGTGCTAACCAGACCCAGCAACATGTAACAGCAATGGCAGGTCGGGCAAGCCTCGAATCACTAGGATCCACTATAGCATCTGCATCCTCGTCATCTACAGTTCTTAACGTTGCTTCTTCAAGCGACTTTTCACGCCGTGCCCATGGTTTTTCTGATGACTCGCACCATCAGTTGTTGTCTTCTTCTTCTTCTTCTTCTTCTTCTTCTTCTTCTTCTTCTTCTTCTTCTTCTTCTCCTCCTGCTCCTGCTCCTGCTCCTCTTGCATCACAGGCACTAAATTTCTCATTTGATTCTGCAATTGACGCGCTAAACCTGGGAAGCAGCAGCATCAGCAGCGGCAACAGCGGCGGCAGTGGCGGCAGTGGCGGTGGCGACGAAGACCATGCGTTGGGCGGGTCCCGGTCCGCAAGATCATCCACAGGAACAACCGGCGCATTGGCTGGAACTGGTAATAACGGAGGAAATGGAAGCAGTGGAAGCAGCGGTAGCAGTGGAAGCAGCGGTAGCAGTGGAAGCAGCGGTAGCAGCGGCAGTGGTGGCAGCGGTGGCAGCGGTGGCAGTAATGGAAGCAGAGGCAGTAGCGGCAGTAACAAGTCGCGTGATAGCGGCAACTCGCCCAAATACTTTTCTCCGCTCACTCAGTCGCCGGGTCCTACAGCTGCGTTTGCACTTGCCCAGCAGATTCAACAGCCCCATGTAGTGTCGTCGTTGTCGTTGTCGTTGTCGCTAGGCGGTAGCGGTGGTAGCGGTGGTAGCGGTGGTAGCGGTGGCAACGGTGGCAACGGTGGTAACGGTGGTGGTCAAGAACACTGCTCAACTACAAGCACAGCGATTCCTGCCCCGCAGCCCTCACGTTCCAACCGCTCGTCATCGTCATCGGGCTCTTCCATTCTTAAGGAATGTTTGTCGGCACGCTCGTCTCCACCCACATCATCCACACCGCCGTCTGCAGCTTCCATCACGTTCCCTGTTTCCGCGCTCAGTTCACCAGTAATAGCAGCAGCAGTAGCAACCGGTGCAGGTTCTGCCGGGATTGGGTTGTCTGCGAGTACCACGGGCACTCTGGCAGCAGCATCGGCAGTACTGGACAGCACGCTGGGTCGTCAAGATGTAGAAGGACAACAGTGGAGGCGTGCAAAGGATTGGAAGGCTCAGGATTGGCACATTCACGACCGGCGAGGACTTTTGTCGTGGACACATAATGGAGATGAGTTTCTAATTACATTGCGACCGATTGAGGCACTGGACGGGCGGTACACGGTGATTGGAGAGGTGCTGGATGGTATGAGTGTACTGGATGCACTAGAAAAGGAGGCACTGACAGTGGAGGGCCAGCCTTTGGCAGACATTAATGTTGGCGAATGTGGGTTGTGGTTATCAGGTTGAAAGAAATGGTTCTATCAATTCAATAGACTATATTCAAGTATGTACGTACATGTACGTATGATTTTAAGAAAAGGAGTAACTAATAATAATTAATTATAATTGAACTTGTGAATTCCCAATATTGAAATGTATTAAAACTTAAGATATAAAAAATAAAACCAACAAAAACTATATATAACAAAAATTTCTAAACTTTTTTTTATTTTAATTTTTAAAAAAATCCCCTTAAACTCCCCTTACATCTTGCAGCTTCTGCAGTCCATAACCTCAACAGATCTGTTGAACTTCTGAGTAGAAGGAGGAATGTCAAGCAGAGGATTTCTGTCAAAGAAGTCATTAGGAGTAAGCATCATAGACATCATCTCAACAGGCATGACAGGGAAGTCCTCGACACGAGGGTGATGTGTCAGACCAAAAGAGTGCCACAAGACAACATCGGTATTGCGGACATCATCTTTGCGGCGAACAGCATCCATGACACCTCCAACCTCATCAGCAGACTGGTTGGTGAAAGGTCCACCAGGGTAGAACTCCTGGTCCTTGTACTTGGTGACCCAAAAGGCGTGTGTAGCAAACTGGGCACGGTCATTGACCACAGAGCCAGGGCGAGCCATGAGCAGGGCAGTGGGGACGGCATGCAGCTTGTAAGCAACAGGGTTGCCTGAGATTGTGTTCTTCTTGTTTTCGTTGCAAATCTTGACATAACGATTCTTGGGAATATCAACATCCAAAAAGGTAGACTTCTCGACATAGTTGACCTGGTTGTAGGCAGCCTGGCCATCAGGGTTCTTAGGACCCCAGGGGCTCTGGATGGTGTCGCAGTAAGCAACTGTATTTTCGTGGCCGTCAACGGCAGGATCAATGCGGACATTGAAAATGTGCTGGTGGGAAGCAGCAAAGACCGAGGGAGAAACAACGGTACCGTACTTGTTAAACTTGCCAGGATCAAGGTAGGTAGTGGAGACAATACCAGTGGCACGAATCTCAAGCTTGATGCCAGCAGCCTGATCAAGGTGCCAAGCGAAAATGTACTCGTAGTTACCGACAGTCAAAATAGTCTGGATAACAAGGATACGACGACGCTGGACAATGGGGACGTTGGTGCGGTAGTTGGTGTGCTTCATAGCAATACCATCATCCTGCTCGTGAACGCAAATGGTGTTCTTCTTGGTGTAGACATTACCCTTGGGGTCGACAAGCGAGCCACCAAAGTACTTGATAGTGCCCAAGCAGTCGCAGCCAAGCTCGAGCTCGTTGGCAGTCTTACCACCACCGCAGTCACCAAAGTCAAAAGCGCATCTGCGGGAAGCAGGAGGACGAGGGTCAAAGTAGGGGACAGCCATTTCCTCGACAGCAAGACGGTAAAAGGTCTGGCGGCCATCAAAAGTCAGATTGTGGAGAACAAGACCTTCACGAGGAGTAAAGGTGATTCTCAGCTTCCACTTTTGCCAGGAAATCTCATTGCCATTCAAAGTAAAAGAGGGGCCCTCGGGCTGAATCACATTCAGAGGCTTGAGGTCAGTACGAAGGCTCTCCTGGAGCGATGGGTCGTACTCGCAAGCAACGTTGGTATCGGTGGTGCACTTGATATCCTTGCGGGTGTTGTAGTCAAAGCCATTGATGTCATCCTCGTCACCGCCAGTGGCGCACCAGTCAATGCGCACAAGCTTGTCTTCCAAAATATCGTAAATGGGGACAAAGGGGAGAGGGAACGAGTACATGTTACTGTCAGGGTGGTTGGTCTTGGGGTCACGGCAGTACATGAGCATCATCATGAAACGGTCAGTGATACCGAGACGGCCTTCACCACGCTCGTTGGAGCCATACATCCAACCGTCAAAGGTAACACACTCGATCTTATCGGTAAGACCACACTTGGCAATGGCCTCAGCAAACTCAGGAGAGGGCAAAACAACTTCAGCGGCACGCTCAGCCTCCCAAGGGTCAATAGGAGGGTGAACACCACGGGGGTGCTGGACGTAGCTGTCAATGGCACCAGTGTCGAGGTTGACTTTAAGTTCGGAGACCTTCTTTTCCTCAAGAATATAGTACATGAAGTGGGCAACTCTGGGGGGAGGGGCAATGGGAGTGCCAGCACTCTCAGCAGCCAAAAACTTCTTCATGTACTCTTTGGGCTAAATGAAAGTAGGAAAAAGTTTGTTAGAGTTGGTAATGAAAGATATAACGGATTAGTACTTACAGGTTCCAAACGTTCACCAGTCTTGATGTGGAGAAGCTTGCCAGGGTGGTTAGCCTTGAGGATAGCCACACCCTTGGTAAGTTCAGCAGGAGTGAGGGGGTCAAATGGGTGAAGAGCCATGATATTCTGTATATTGATAGTTGTTGGGATTTAATATATATGGAGATATAGATTTAAAGGTTGATAAGGATGGATGTTGGTTGATATAGAAGAAAGAAAGAAAGAAAAAAAAATTTATACAAACTGAGGGAAATCTACTGATTTATATAGAAAAAAAAAAAAAATAAAGGTCCGCCCAATAAATAAAATAATAAATAAATCAACCGTTTTCGTTTATTTAGAGATTTCAATAGAACAAAAAAAAAAAAAAAAAAAAAAAAGACCCGCAGGATTTAATGACAGGACTTTTGTCTGCCAGCCACTCGGCCAGTCAGCCAGTCAGCCCTGCCAGATTTTGGGCTTATCGGATAGACCTGCTGGGGTTGAAATGGACTAATAAAGTATTTTGGTCACGTGTATTGGATCACGTGTACATTTAACAAGCATTATTTTGGGTGAGTCTCGCATCCAGTAACCTCCCTCGAAAGTTCTTACCAAAAGCTTTCATTTTCTCCCCTCCCCTCCCCCTCCCCTCTTTTTGGTGACAACCAGATCAAAGCACAAAAAAAAAAATAAAAATAAAAAAAAACCGTTGGTTGGCTGAAAGACTAGAATCAACGAGATTAAAATCAGGCTATTGACAGTTTGCGGGATACTCTTTTTAGTCATTCAGCAAAGCCCATTTAAAATTAATACGTCGAGTGGGATTTTTACCATCATCTGAGATTCTCAAACTAAAGCCGCGCTACTATATGTAAGCACTTACGTCATGGCGGTTATTACAAAAAGACGCTGTTCAATTCAAGAAGGTCCATCCGAAAACCCTTTAAATCTAATAAACTTAATAAACTTAATAAGTTTTACAACTTAAATATTAAGTCTCAAATCTTAAGTCTTTTAACAATTTATTTTTTTTTCTTTCTCTCCCTCCAACTACTACCCACCGGGACCCCCCCAAAAACAACAAGGCTCAACAAAAATGAGCAAAAAAACCCACCCTTTCAAGACCGACAAGTTCTGAAATAAAGCCTTATACCGCTGACTGGCGCGTGGCTATTTAACAATGAAGAGGGTCCTTTTCCCCCGCCTTTTGCATATAATTGTTGCCCAGAACTAAAAAAAAAAACTACCTAGTTTTAACCTTAAGTCTAATGTTGAAATGAAAATGAAAAAAAAAATGACAATATATTCTAAATATGAGATTTTCCATTCCAAATCTATTATACATGATAAACCTATATGACTCCCCTTTATATCTATCAAGATAACAAAAAAAAATGACGGATTCAGTTACCTGAAATCAACCTGTTATTTTTTTTTTTGTTTATTAATAAACTCGCAAACATTCCCTCGTCGAGCCACTGATAACAAAACCGGGGAGAGAGAAAAGGGTGCGCCACTACTAAGAAAGGTAAAACAGCCTTGTTTTTGGCTACTCAAAATACTGGCTAATCAAAGATACCGATTATAACTTTTGTTTTTTTTTTTCTTTCAGGCAAGGCTACCAATCTCTTACCCTAAACGGGTATAAGCTTAACATCTTGTAGTCATATACCATTTGCACATAGTGGCGTGTAAGATTCTTCTGGATAGTCTACAAAAAAAACTTTGCGGGTTCCGGTGGTTGCCGCTTGTAACTTACTATTTGACGGGGAATGGTCTATTGTTAGAATAATCAATCATCAACACAGACATTTTTGTATATGTAAAAACAAAAAAATACCAGTAAATAGAATTATTTGGTGATCCCGCTTGTACTCGGATTCGCTTGGGCCCACCTCCATTTGGGTATCTAAACAGGCCTTTGCAAAACATCTAACTCAGATTTTTATTTAAAAAAACAAAACAAAAAATAAAATAAAATAAAAAAAATAAAAAAAAAAGAAATTAAAACATTTGAATCGGTGTTTTCAAGCACAAAATATCTTTTTGACCAAAATTCCCATTAAAAAGTACAGGAAAGAGCTGCCTTTTTGGGGTTTTGAAAAAAAAAAAAAAAAAAAAACCTGATCAAAAATTTAAATTACATACTTGTGACAAATATGTTGCATTTTCTTTTGTAATTTTAATTTTTAAATGATTGTAATTAAATTATGTAAAGTTTTTTTTTTAATTTTATAAAGTAATGTCATAAATTACAATAGTCTAGCTAGTTATAATGTAACATTTATTGTGCAAGCTATTAAGCAATCATATATTATATTACGTGAGTATATTTTCTTTACTCTTTTGGGGATTTTTTTTTTTTTTATTTTTTATTTTTCAGCCAAACCTCTTGAATTCATACTAAACAGACATGCAACAACTACAGCAGCAACAGCAGCAGCAGCAGCAGCAGCAGCAACAACAACAACCACAATACCAGCCATATCAACAGTATCAACCACAGACAGCAGGCGGTGCAGGTGGTGAAGAAGATGGCCTAAGGAAACCCACTCATCGACGCACAATTGACCATGGAAACTCAATCTCTCGGTGGATGCTTGAACGCAAACTTGGTCTCAACAAGTCAGGGTCTTCGTCTGCCTCCAGAGCAAGTGTCTACCGTGTCCAGGCAGAGCCAAGTTACATTGTAGACCTATTACCACCTCAAGCTTATGGAGGACACGCAGTGTCATCATTTGCTTCCAAGTTTGTGCATACAAGCATCAACAAGCTTCGGGTCCCGATTCTCGTGGTTAGGTGGACACCCGAGGGCCGCCGGATCGTGACAGGGTCGCGATCAGGAGAGTTTACTTTATGGAATGGTATGACGTTTAACTTTGAGTCTATCATGCAGGCCCACGATAATGCTATTTGTGCCATGACCCACTCCCATTCTGATGACTGGCTGCTATCGGGCGATCGTGAAGGTACCGTCAAGTTCTGGCAGCCCAATTTCAACAACTTGAACATTTTACAAGCACATAATGAGGTTGTGCGAGATATTGCATTTTCTCCAAATGACGCAAAGTTTGTAACAGCATCTGACGACTCAACACTCAAGATTTGGAATTTTAACGACTCTTCAGAAGAGCGCACTTTGACTGGACATGGATGGGACGTCAACTGCGCGGACTGGCACCCAACTCTGGGACTGATTGCTAGTGGGTCCAAAGATAACCTGGTCAAGCTATGGGACCCACGAGTGAGTGGTGCTCGAGCCGTGGTGGCGACGTACCACGGGTTTAAAAACACAGTAACAAGAACACGATTCCAGCGGACCGGCGGACAATCACTTCTTGCTAGTGGATCAAAGGACCAAACTGTGCGAGTACTTGATTTACGAACACTCAAGGACGTTGTTGTTCTTCGTGGTCACAACTCGGACGTGTGCTCCTTGACGTGGCACCCGGAACACGCGAACCTCATTACCACTGGCACGCAGCTGGGATCGATTTGCCATTTCCTGATTGATGATCCCGTGGAAAAGGAGAGCGGACTGATGCCTGCAGGTCAGATTGTGCGCGCACACGAAATGGCGGTGTGGAGTTTGGACTATCACCCACTGGGCCACATGCTTGTGTCTGGTGCAAACGACAAGACCACGCGAATCTGGGCGCGTGCCAGACCTGGAGACAAGATTGGATATGTAGACTGGTACCATACGACACCAGAGGCAGCAGCAGCAGCAGCAGCAGCCGGCAACCCGGTTCCTGGCGCAGTTGGAATGCCCGGCGTTATTGGGTTGCCGCCAGGTACAATTGGTGCAGGTGCAGGAGGTATTATGGGTGGAGGGGTTCCCGAGGACTTGAGTGCGAGTAGCATCAAGGATGGGCTGCAGATTGATGATGGAGAGATTTACGCAAAGAAGAAGAAGAAGAGTGGGTCTGTGATTCCAGGTTTTGGAAATGCACGATAGACGATATAGAATGGAGTAAAAATAAAAAACAAAAAAGCATGGTTGCATGTAAGGTTTATAATGGAAATTAAAGCCTTGATCATATTTAAGGCTGTGCCATAAAATATTTTAACAACTTGGGTCACGAATACCCAAGGTTTCGTAATACAAAATACTCGGACCCGGGTACTTCCTGCATGGCTTCTGGTGTGAGATGACCGGTTGAGCTTTGGGTAGAGACGTCTTAGGTATCCTGGAATGGATACGGTATATGGTACGACGGGTCTACGAGATGTCTCGGCACGCAGATCAGTTGCAAGGAACGAGAGAATATGTAGTAATATTAATTGAATTTGTGATTGATGACAAGAATCCGACCAGTAGATGTAGAAAATTTTCTTTTATATGGGCAATCATTGGGATGTTGTTGTTTTTAAAGGATCTTTATTCTGAAGCGCACGATTGATTTTCTAATGATTTTATACTTTTAGTATTATTATTATTTGGTGAGAGTTTGAAAAAAAAATTTCATCAAAAGACATATTTTAAGAAATTAATGCATTTGTATTGAATGATTGGAAGAAAAAAAAAAAAAAAAAAGCCGTTGAAATCGCAAGCTTTAGTATAGTTTCTAGCCCACATTCTATTTCAGCATCGTCACACTTTCCCCACAGAACTAATTCTAAATCTTTAAAAGGGGGTTCAAAGAAAAAAAAAATTTCTTCTATGAACCCCACAAATTTTTTTTTTTTTAAATCATTTTAGCTAAGAGATGGGATTAACAAAAGAAAAGAAATTGTGTTATTGTTATTCAAGAGTTACAGAAATTTAATATCAGCTTAAACAATATCCGTTTATTCTCCTACTATTTAAAGAGCCATTTTTCTCAATAAACTTTTCATTCGGCTTTAACGTTTAATTCTCCAACATCCGGAAAATAAGTCCTGATGCCAGCTGACTAGGAACAGGAGGAGGTCAATGACCAAAACCTACGCAAATTGTTTTCACTTATCTTCATTAACACATTGATTTTTCATTACTTAAACCATACAAACAGATATATGAGCCTACTACACCCTGGAAACCAATTAGACTTTTTAAAAGCATTGAAATTTCTATCTTTGGATATACATCTGTTTCAATCCTTTTTTTTCTATTCTATTCTATCAAAGGATCCCCAACTAAAATGTGCCTAAGTGTTTCCGGCTTTCCACATTTACAGCAGTGGCTATCCTTTTCAATGACGAATTTCTGAAAACATATTCCAAATCAGCAATAACCGGTGAAAAACTGAGTAATAGTGTACTATATCCTCTGAACATCATTCTATAAAATATAATCACTCTGGTGATCATTTTAAAAAAAGGTTTTCTAAACATCCGGACTCCATTATGATATTATCCTTCTTTCCGAGTCAATAAATTTATTGTAATAAAAAAACAAAGAAGTCATTTCAAATTCTAATCACCAACCATGGTTTTAACTTGTATAATATTAAAAGGAAATAAAATATTATCCCCATTGGCCAGTATATAAAATTAGGTTTCCAAGTAGTCTCTATCTTGTGACGTTTTAAGACAAACATCTTTTACGGGATGTGTATTCTAGATGCTTTAATTTACCATTTATATGAAAATAAAAACAGAAAACTTTTTTTTTTTTTTTCAAAAACCACTTTCGTTCTTATATAAAAACATGTAACCAAGTCTTAAAAACTCACCGAGTTTCTAAAACTTCATACTGATACATATACACAACTAGTATGAATTAAGAGCGTCCATTATCTATTTCCTAAGCTTTTGAAGTTATGAAAAACCTCCCCAAAAAAAGAATTAAGTAAAGATTTCAAAATCATATAATTGTTTCTGAAACGTTGGTCCATATTTCTTAAATTCTCCTATTCTTATAAGGGGCTAAAAAAAATAGTTAATGTATCCAGAGTCTAAACAGTTCCAAGTTTCAGAAAAAACTTTAGGCCCACCTTGGTTAGTTTTTAATAATAACACTACTATAATTTGTTTACTAGTGTTCACCATATTGGAAATAAATTTTGTTGATGACTGTGAAATAACCAAACCATCTCTCTCTCACACTTTCTTGTTTTTTTTACATATTTTTGAAATATCGTAAAAAAAAGAGTATTGAAAAGGAGCCCAGGTCTCGTTTAAATTTCTTTCATTTTTCTATTTTCTATTGGTCACACTGATACGTTTAAGCAGGAGCCTATATTTTTTTTTGTTTTAAGAAAAAAAAACATAGTACATGAGAAGCCCAAAGGTAACAAGTCCTAATAGACCAATAGTGACAAAGTCATTCCTTGAAAAAAAAAGGTTTTCCTCTTACTTTTCTTGGTTATTTTATTCTTCATATCATCCTTTTTTTTATTATTATTTTATTTCGAAAAAAAATTTATATATTATTCTGAGGAACAGCTCAAAGGTCCTTGCCAACGCCAAAAAATTAATCTTTTTTTTAGTTGTTATTTCCGTTCCCCCTATTTTTGGCTACCGCCCTTTTTTTTTTTTTTCTTTTTTCCTTCCTTCCTTCTTTCTTATTGAATTTTCATTTTCGTATTAATTTTCATTTTCTAAATCTCTATAAACTTCGGAATGAGTTCAAGGATTAGTTTTTATCCAAGCCTGGATTTTTTTTCTTGTGAAAGAGGTCTTTCCAAACAGCCTGCCAAGCACAAAATAACATTTAGCCGGGTTTTCAGGGCATCCTTTTTGTAGTTTTTTTTTTCTCTCCAAATAACCCCAAGCTGGCACGATCATATTGATATCTGGAAGGATTTCTTCACCAAAGTTTTTCACAGATTAGATGAATGTTGTAAACCTAGTTGTTGGAAATGATGGCCAGGACTTTTGAGCTCTTTCCTTTTTTATAAATCTTCCCTTTCGCTCTTCTTCTTCTTTTTACATTCTGGACCCTGTCTCACTCTATCCTTCAAAGTTTAATTGATAAAAAAGGTTTGAATCTGGTTTTTTTTTTCTTCTTCTCATTGAAAAGAAAGTCAGGAAAAAAAGAAAAAAGAAAAAACGAATCCATCTCGCCAGGCTGAGACTCCAAACTTTGACCGGTAAAACTTTCCCCAAACCTTGGGTAAACTTTCAAAGCCGAAAATTTGTCAAGCAGTAAGAAAATTTATACCGAGATTTGGAAAAGAAAGAAAAAAAAAGGGGGGAAAAAAAATAAACTGTTCCACAATTTGAGTTGAATCTTCATATATTCATCATTGTCATCATTAATTCATGTTCAGTTTTCCTTGAAAATTAAATAAAGAATGATAAACTTGTCATGATTGAAAATCAAATAAAAAAATACCTAAAAAAACATCTACTCTATAAATATTTAAAAGGCATTATAATATCACCATAACATTCCTATTCAAACCAGAGTATGATCTGATGGATCGTCGGTACAGTTCCCTATACTACCCTCATGTGAATACATTGCAAAGTTTCTTGTGTCTGACTCATTCATTTCAGTATCAAACATTTCTGCTGTTCCAGATTGATCATAATATTGTTGCCGCTGTTGTTGCCGCTGCTGACTGCTGCGTCTCTGTGAGCTGTGAACTCTGCTCCTAGAATCGCCATGCCGCTTGCTTTTGCTACTGCTTTTGCTACTGCTACTGCTTTTGCTACTGCTACTGCTTTTACTACTACCACTTCCACTTCCACTGCCCCTACTCTCATTCCTTCTTCTGGTATCATCTCGATACTCTTCTCCTGATTGTTCGTAGCTTTCTTCTTCCGTTTGGGCCTCACATGTAGCCGGTGATACCAGAATCTTGACTATCCGGTCTCTGTGTCGTATCAGTGCATTAAATCCATACTCAATAGCGTTATCTAGGGTAACTGTAGAAGAAATTAGCTGTTGCACGCGCTCCATGGGTATTATACCTCTATTCAAGGCCTCAATTACCTGATCCATATCTTCACCGCAAAACCCCATCGATCCCATAAACTTGCGTTCACGCGAAGTCAAGTCAATGGGCGAGATTTGAGCCTTGGGATTTTGCCAAATGGCTAGATTAACAGCAGTGCCGCCAAGCCGCAGAGTTTTGAGCACGGCGTCCATAGTATCTTGTTCGCCACCACAGTCAAACGACACATCAACGCCCTCGTAAAATGGTGGTGTCAAATGACTAATTGCAGCAACCAAATCTATTGTCGAGCTAAATTTTGTGGGGTCAAGAACATGGGTGGCTCCGAGGTTACGTGCATGTTGCCGCCGAATAGGTCCGGGCTCACTTACTATAATTTGGCCGGCTGCATGCGCTTGAAGAGCTAAAATGAGGGCAAGCCCAATAGGTCCTGCGCCCACAATAAGCGCTGTTTGACCTTTTAGAAATCCAGAGACACGCACCGCGTGCCATGCAATGGAAAGGGGCTCGACCAGCGCGCCCACGTCTAGCGGAATAGAGTCGGGGAGAATGTGTAGGCAGCGGCTGGGTAGAACAACATACTGGCAAAACCCTCCACCAGGGGCGCCAAGTCCGCGCAGCGCGATCCGGGCACATGCATTGTTATAGTTGAGAGTGCACGCGTGACAGAGTGGTTCGGCACCTTGTTCATTACAGCCATATGCCACGTCGACACACACATGGTCGCCTAGCTTCACGTTGATCACATTGGCGCCCATGCGAACAACGGTACCAGAATACTCGTGACCCAAGCATGAAGGTAACCGGACCCCAGTCAAAGGGTGCTGTTCGCCTGGCTGGCTGCAAAAAATGGGTCCCGATGTGTATTCCAGCACGTCACTGCTGCAAATGCCGCAGAAGGCTACTTTTAATAGAACCTCGTCATCATATTGGATTTGGGGGATTGATTGATCCACTAGGGCGATTCGTTTTCGACCTACTAGACATAATGACTTCATTGTACTAGTGAAGACAACGACGCAGGGTAAAATAGGGGGAGAAAAAAGAGACAAAGTAAAAAAAAAAAAACCTCAACTAGGACAATGATTGTATATTTATTTATATATATATATTTTTTTAAAAAGAATAAGGAAAAAAAAGAAAAAAAAAATTTGTATCCAAAGAAAATAATTAATCCTTATTCTTTTATATTTTAGTTTTTTTTAGGGGGTGGTTAAATAAAACTTGGTAGAATATTTAGTTTTTCTTTTTTAGGTGGTGTATGCTGAGCAACGAAAGTAAAGTCGACCGAGTATCAAATGTTGTCTGAGAAAAATAAAAAAAAATTGGGCCTGAAAAAAGAAAAATAAAAGTTTGGGGTCATAAGATCTTCTTAATAAAAGAAATTTCAGAAATTTCAGAAATTTCAGAATTTATCGGATATTATCATATGGTATATAAGTGCCGGATCTCATTCAGAAAAAAAAAGAAAAATTGGACAAATAGGAATCTAAAAAGGGACAAATATTAAACTAGAGAATAAGAATGAAAACAAAAGAATATGGGATAAAAAAAATTAAATAAAAATAATATTCTAAAGATTCTGAACAAGGATGAATTAAAAGTCCGGAATAAAATTACTCAAACTAATTTCTGATCACTTAACAAAAAAAAGATCAATTATTTACTCATCTCTTCATTATTTTTCTTAAACCCTTCTCAATGTCGTTTCATTTTTTTCATTTTATTTTTTGTATCTTCTATTTTCCTGCTCTAGTTATGGACTTTTTTTTTGGGCCTATTTTTTTTTTTTTTTTTGGTCTTTTGGTATCATTGGATGAAAGAGAAAGTAATAAGAATGTGTTGGTAAATTCGGAGGCTAACGAAACAAAATAAATACACCGGAGCTATAGATATAAATAAAGATTATAGTGAAAGCGGATCTCGGCTAGAATGGAAGTGACTGTATGAGCTGAACGAATACGTTGAAGGAAGGATAAGAATTTCAACGAGACCTAATGGCATCGTTATGCCAATGAATCTGTGTCTTCTGCGTTGTCACTCATCATATATGATATGAGATGCAAGATGTCAAGTAGATTGTAATCGAACACGTAGGAGAAAGAAATAAAGATTGGTTCTTCAAAGGTAAATTTCATTGATGCCTAAACCTATTCCTAAAACCCTTACCACTTTATTCCGAGAGGTTAGGGTTCAGGTAGTGATGAGAAGACCTCAGGATATTAGGAAAGATGCTGATGGTCTGTGTTGTTCAACAGAGTGACAAGTCGCATCTATAATATCAACTTATAGCGATGTACGATAGTCAAGGTGCGCTACTCCTCGGCAGGAAGAAGGGAAACAAAACTTCCAAAAAAACTGGAATTCCACTAGTCTACATAATATTTTAAGCTTCCTTTATACGGCTTTAAAAAAAATGTCCATGGTCACTTTCTTTTTTTGGAACTACTGTTTGTACTGTTGAGCCTCAGAAACAGAAATTATATTTATCGTGTATGCCTCATCCTTTTTGTTTCAGATTTCCAGAAATTTCCTAATTTGTACATTTTTTGCGAAAATCAAAAAAATCAAAAAATAAAAATAAAAAACCAAACATGTGAACAAAAACTTGTGGTTGTTCTTTTAGTTTTTCATAACTTAAGTTTTTTCTATTAGACTATTTTAATCATAGAAATTTTTTTTTTTTTGCAAGTTCTTTTGGTATTTGAAAATTGTCGGAGGTGATCTCAATTATTTATTGTTTTTTTGTGAATAGGATTCTGTACTTGGACGCATTCAACCATTTAGATAATTTTAATTTGAATGCATCAAACTTGAAAGAATATAAGCTTATGTCATCTTTAATTCAAAGCTGAAAAGAAGAAGAAGAAGAAGCAGGAGAAGTTCAAAAAAAAAAAAAAAGAAGGATTACATTCCCAGTATCGGAAAGTTGCATTTTGCTGGTGTATTTGTTGTATCCTTCGTTCTTATTTGATATATATATATATAAATAAAGGTTATTATACCTGAGATTATAAGAGTGTTATGCCTGGTAGATCAAAAAAAAAGAAAGAAAAAAAAAAAAAAAAAAAACTGGCTCAAAACATTATTTAGGACGTGTCTTGCGAAAAATTATCTGGCTGATTTGCAAAAAAGAAAACACGGATAAAAGCAAATGTCGGAAGAATGTAAGAGAAATCTCATCGCTTAAGCTTTGACTAGTCTGTTTCTACATTTTTAAGCTGTTCTACATTTTTAAAATTCTTTTAAATTTTGGCTGACAAATAATGAAAATTTTTATGAAAATTTTCAAAAAAGTGATCATATCATTACGAAAAAAAAAAATTATATTTTTAAATGGGATCAAGCAAGTCTTGATAAAAACCTGGCCCCTTAAAAAATGTCTATATGCGTTTAAAACCGGTATTACGAATTACATCTCGTAAATGTTCTCATTCATAGAAACTTATCAAACGTATAGTAATAACTCTAAAACGATTCAAGAATTAGAAGGGATAGGGGGTAGTCCTGGCTTATTTTAGACGACGCATATTCTTTTTTTTTTTAATAAAAGACCCCAAGTTTACAATTATTATATTTTTCATTGATTTCATTGGAAAATATTGTAAAAGTGAAGGGAAAAGTATGCTACTTGTTGTCATCACTACAAGTAGCAATTGCTGCAAGTAGCATAACAAATCACCATAGTAAAAAGGGGTATATGAATTTTGAAAGTACCGACATGTCGGGGGCCCGGATCCGAAATTTGTTACAAAAGGTTTTTTTTAAAACAAAAAGGCAAATTCGAAAAAAAAATCAGGTTAATAGGGTTTAGCCCTAATTCTATGATGTACATTTCAGGATATAATATTCACGCAAACAAACTTTTGAGTTGAGTCTGTCTAATTGATTTATAAGCAAGAAAATAAGTACAAAAAAATTTTACTTGTTACAACTATGTTACAAGCATTAATGGAGGAAAAAAGTGTATCTGTAGGAGGAATGAGAGGACTCGCAGGAGCGCATATGGATAGGCACATAAAGAAAGCTACGTTACATTACATTAATGTGATTACATAATCTCACTGTAGTGGCACGCACATACACACACCGCTTGGAGAGGGGGGAGTGCGGATTTTCTGCCAAAAAAATTTTTTAGGAAAAAAAGATTCCTCTTTTTTGAAAAGGCCCCTTCTAACCTGTGCGCCCCATCGACTTCTAATCTCAGGACACGAGCCGTCATAGTAGTACACACAACCTATTGTCAACATGTTGATTCCCACTGAAGACCGCAGAAAGATCCACACTCACTTGTTCAAGGGTAAATATTAATCATTGCCGTCGCTACTGCCGCCAACTCTTGGAATATATACGCCGATGTTTGTGATGTTGTCATGATATAGTCAATAGAAATGTCAATGAAAAAAGATGAGAAAAAAGACAATTTTGTGTTTAAGGATTTGTTGTTTGCAAATATTCAATGGATTGGACATTTGTTTTTATGTTAAACCATACTAAGCAAATACCTGACTATGTTATTTACTAAATTTGATGTGATAAAGATTAGAATAATACCATTTTAAATGTGGAGAGTTTTCTTTGGTTGAAATGTTGATGAAATTTTCAACTTAAATATACCCGATTGTTGATTAACAAGAGCTTGGACATTATATTCATACACAAACACAAACACGTATACTTCTTTGATTGGTATTTTTTTATAAAACTATTTCTAACATTACAATTTTATAGCTGGTGTTGTTGTTGCTAAGAAGGACTTCAACCAGGCCAAGCACGAAGAGATTGACACCAAGAACCTTTTCGTTATCAAGGCTCTTCAGTCCCTCACCTCCAAGGGCTACGCCAAGACCCGATTCTCATGGCAATACTACTACTACACTCTCACTGACGAGGGTGTCGTGTACCTCAGAAACTGGCTCAACATCCCCGAGGAGGTTGTTCCTGACACGCACAAGAAGCCTTCCCGCTCTGCTGCTGGTGGCCGCCCTACCCGTGAGGACAGACGCTCCAGACAGAACGAGGACTACAAGCGACGAGAGCCCAAGGAGGTTCCCGGTGCTGAGGTCACTCCCCAGTTCAACTAAGGAATTTCCCTAATCTTTAGCTTTTTCTTCATGTTGTTTTGACAAAAAATATAAATAAAATTGAAACAAAAAAAATCAAAAAAATTTAAAGTGATTGACTTTTTTTTTTGGGAATTAAGAGAAGATATTAATGTTGGTTTTAATTATAGATTGGACTAAAAAAGAACCAAATTGCAAATTTTGAAAAAAAAATTTTTTTAAAAAAGTCTGATTTGTGGAGGAGGTTTGAAGAGTTTGTTAATTTTATGAAAGTTATTGAGGATATGTATATGTATCATACGGCTTTAGTCCATCGTAATCTTTAATTGTAAGCAAAAAAAATAAAGAAAATAGAAACAATTTGGCACAACTTTTTTCTAATCTAAACCTTGAATAAAAACAAACCAAACTTTTTTATCTAATTTGATTAAAAAATAAAAAAAAAATTGATCATGTTTTCTGACCTAGAAATACAGAGTATATCAATGTATATTGACGATGATATTTTGTTGTTATTCATGAAATCCTTCTAGGGAATTATTTTTTTCCCCTTGTACTTTCAACCACATTAACATTTAAAAAGGTAGTGATCTGTTTCAATATATGAACAATTTTTATACTTAAAATATTTTTTGTCAATTTTATTAATTAAAGTATCAAAGAAAATACTTTGTTACTATTTATGTGAACCATCTAATGAATTATTATTAGTTTTTTTTTTTTTTTTTTTCAAAATTATTTTTGCCGAGTTTTTTTTTTTTTTATGTTTTCAAGAACATCAAAAATCTTTTTACCAACTACTAATCGCAATAGTCAATTTTTTTTTTTACTTCCAATTTTCGAAAACTACAATAAATGTTCTAGTATCCCCATAGTTATTGCTTTATGAGACAATATTCTAATATTCTTCTAGACAAAGACTTAGCTTTGCATCGATGGCTTTGAAGCTACCTAGTAATGCCCATGTATTTTTTTTCTTTTTTTCTCTTTATTGTTTTATTTTGTGATACATTTCACGCGCGTATTTTGGTAACACGAAGCTTTTTTTGAAACCTTGTATTTCTTTCTTTGCCATTTTTCTTGCGCTATTGTAATATTTGTTTTGGGAAAAAAAAAGAAGGAAATATTCTATGGGAAGAAACTTTTCCTTTAGTAAAAAAAAAAAGTCTGGAGTGCCATGATACGTAGTTTTTAGTATTATCATATTTGCAACCAGTTTATCTACTCAATTATGAATACTTAAAGAGACATCAAGTACAATAGAGCATTTGTGCGTCTAGACGACCAAGCATAAGTTTATCTTTACATTCATCACAGTGCCAAAATACCCAAAGGTCATTTCTTCTGGATATCGAGTACCGGTTACCTGCTGTACATTTGCACTGTTTGATTCAATTCTTTTGTTTCTTCAGTTTTTAAGCTTTCCTGGCATCATGCAGAATTTATGTTAGCGTGCGATAAAGACGCACAAGATGCACCAACTGATACTTGTACTATGGCATTGTTATAATACTACCTAAACCATATAATGAACTTTTTTTTTTCATTAACAGTGAGAAAAGAAATACTTCTCGATGTAGATTTTCCATGCCTATAATCTAGCTTTGCTTATGGTTATAGTATATTAGTAATTATAAAATAGAGTTCATATATGATCAGATGTAAATTGTAATTATCTAGCTCATTTTTTGGGGAATTGTTTGTGATAGTTAATCGCTCGCTAGATAAGCATAACTAACTACCATTTGGATACAATAGATTGGGGTTTCTCGAGTTTCCTAGATTTATTCAATTTGACAAGATAATTCGAATAGTATTCAATGGTAATAGTTCAAATTTATTAATTATTAGATTTCTCTGTCTTAATTCTAGTATTCTTGGTTTGGAAGAATCTTAAATATAAGCAGGAACGCATTTATTGCATTTGTTGACTGTATTATTCTTTTCCTCTTAATTTATCACAGATGACTGGCTCTGGTGTCAATTATGGATCATGAGATCATGAAATCTAAGAGTTCCAGGCAACAATTTTTAATTTTTTTTTTTTTTTTTTTTGGCAAATCTCAATGTGTGAATGTGTAACAAATGTTGCCTGTTGCTTTTATTGCGACTGTTTCTTGCAAGTGCACCTGCTTTCAACTATATTGCTTTACAGTTAGTTTGTTCCCTGCTACATACTTCTTCTTCTGATTCCTCGCACCGCCAGGGGCCATGATCACGTTTGGAAAGGCTTGAGTGGGTGGGGGCAAAGAATGTGATTGGCCCCTATGGGGTTTTTTCATACGTATTATACTATTTGGCATTTTTTTCTTAAAATAAAAAAAGAAAAAAGGAAATAGAAATCTTTAGCAACGACGACTTTAATATGAAATAAATGGTAAATTATTTAGCAATAGCTCAAACTCGAGTTCAATGAGATGTAATAAGTTATTATTATTTTCTTTTTTTCTTTAAAGTAGCATATAATAAAATTTTATGATAATTTGTCAAAGATGAGTTTGTGGTGGGTTTTATTTTTATCAAATTTTTTTTTTTAAAATAAAGACGGGATTCCAACGATTTGGAGGATCCACTGTGGGCAGGTCTGCATGTGGACACTTGAAGACTTTTCATAGCAACATTTTTGATTTATTATTATTATTATTATTATTATTATTATATTTTTCTTCTTGTGTGATGCTGCTGCGTATATGAAAAGATCTAAAAGCTCAAAGACTACTCGACGGTGGGCCGCACGAGCCACGAGACGACCTAAAGACTTGATTATATATATGTATATTCAAGTCTTTAGTCATCTGGAATAATTAACAAGTGGACCTTAATCTTTAAAGAATTTGGTAGTTGATGAAGTTTTTATTTAATTTTATTTAAATTTTTTTTTCAGTCGTCATTTTATCAGGAATTCTTTAAGATAGATATGATTTTTAATAAAAAAAACCCAACTATATTCAGTTCTGAAAAATTCTTTCTTTTAAGCATGTTAACTGTATATATATAAAGTATGCGAGAGAAGGAGGAGGAGGTGAGAAAAATCCCACAGTGTACATGGAAGAGTTTAGAGGCCCCTGTTAATTTGTTAATTTAGTTGTCCATATTGAGAGAAATTTGTTAATTATCAAATAATAAAAAAAATATTTTTATTTTTATTCTGATTTTTATTTTAATTTTTAAAATATTTTTTTCTTTTCCAATAACTTTTTCTTAGATAAAAATTTCCTTTTTTTTTTTTTTTTTTTTTTTTTTTCTTCTTCTTAATTTATATTCTCGCTTAGATTTAACAGAATTTATATATAAATAACAAAAAGGAGGTTCTAATAGACACAAGGAAAATAATAATAATAAGGGTTAAGCGAAAAAAAAAAAAATTCCCCAGCTAGTTTTCATTTCTTTTTTTTTTTTTTTTTTTTTTTTTTTTTTCTTATTCGTCATCGTCATCCAACTGTTCAAATAGATAACTCGAATCTCTGGATTTTGTACTTGTTTGGCCATTACGTTTTAAGAATTGCACTGTGACTAAACCATTTGGTGCAGCTTTTCACCAGCAGAAGCAAACAGAAGTAAACAGAAACATCAAAGAAACAGTACACGCTATTCATTTCAAACTAATTCAAGAATCAATCTATTAAATATAAACAGTTATTTTCAAAAATTTCTTTTTCTTTTTCTTTTTTATTTTTATTTTTATTTTTTTAAAGATTACATTTTTTCATATTGAACGGCTATTTTTTTCCCAGATTGGCTACTGTTAGTCTAATACACTTTCTGGTTGCACAAAAAAAAGAACCAAAACGATCTTAAATACCTTCTACAACCATCTCCAACCATGGACTATGATGAGGTTACCCCGGAATCTGCAACAGAGATGCTAATAGCATCAATAAATAGTTGCATTCATCAAAACTACTTCTCGTTCTATTGCACACTCGCCTCTCTCAACGGATATACCAGCGTTTTGCGAATTCTTCCTACCCCTCAGCAAATAAGTACAGCTGACCCATACCAACAAATCAAAGTCATTGAAGACGTTCTCGAACGCAGACGCGAACATGCACCCGGATTTCTCATTCCTCGCTACCTAAGACTTCGCCTGAAGCGCACAAAACATTTTCTTGAATCTAAATGCTACTTTCTAGAAGACCTCGACGAAATCAGACAAGAATACCAGCAAGAGCAACTTGAGGCCAGACTCGCAGACCTTGAAGAGGCTCAAGAAGAAGAAGAAGAAGAGCAAAATGAGACTGACCAGGAGACAGAACGACTGGCGCGTGCACATACACCAGCTTCCGTGCCGCTTGATATTCAAGATTTTTACGAAATGAACCGGCTCAAACCTTCTCCCTCGTCACGCACATCGTCACCCATCCTCGCTCTCAAAAACTTTATCCAAAGCGACTCTCTACCTGTTTCTCCTATTTCTTCCCCTCCACCAATGTGGACTACTTCTTCCATAAACAACGACTGGTCAAAAAGCAGCTTAATCGAAGAAGATCAAGACTATGCCAGCAAAACAAATAACAATACCCCGCTAATAGCACAAGAACAAGAACAAAAACATTCTTCAGACTCACTCAAAATGCCCATCGAAAGTACACCCACCTCTTCGCCGGATCCAAGCGAACAGCAGCAATCAGTCCCATCAACATCAAATACAAGCAACACTCTGGCAGAACCTGTTCAAGACTTACCCAAAGCTTTCAACTCCAAAGACAGACAATCCTTCCGTCTTGCTCATGTCCCCATGCCTCCCACTTACTTCCAACCCATCTTTGTTTACGAATCTATTGTTCTAGAATCCGTCATTCATGCCATTCGATTCTTTAAGTCAGCCTCTTTTAGCAACCTTGGTGAAATAACTGACCGCGTATGGACTGAGGCTTTCAAGACTTGGGAACGCATCCGAGTCATTACAAACAATGAAGTTGGTGACATGCAAACCCTTAAAGATTGGTACCATCATAAACTACATGTCTTTCGCATCATTCACTACGGACAAACTGTTCCCGGCTGGACCTGGGTCCCTGAAGATTACTGTTTAAAAGCCACAGAGGAACAAATTAACAAGTTTGCGAAAAAGAAGATATATCGACGTCAAGCGTTTCAAGCGTTCCCCCTTGGCCCGCGCTTCGAAGAACTTGCTGCCCTTTTCCCAAGCAACTCAAAATATAACCCTCTGGCTTACACCCGCAAATACTACTCTACCGAAGGAGGTTCCCTAGAAAACAACACAAAAACCTCAACCACCGTCACCATGCTTTCCAAGCCCTACTTTAGTCTTAGAAACAGAAACAAACTCGCCACTATATCTGAACCATCCACAGAACCTCCGTCGGAACCAAGTGCGGCTGACCTTGCCTTGGTCAAGTCAGTATCACAAATTAGCTCTGAACTTCCAGATACTATTACTGCTCAGGCCAAAAATTCAGACTCCGAAACTGACCATCACGAACTAAAATCCAAATGTTCACTTGACTACTACGGCATAGAAATCAGTGACGGAGAACAACAAGCGATTCAGTCTGACGTCGAGGATGAGGATGGGGACGAGGCTGACGATGAAGACGAAGGCGACGATTTTAACGACGAAGAAGATGTATACTCTGAACCAGAGTCCATCAAACCTGCACCATATTCCAACTTGCCCCAACCGGAAAGCAAGCCCACAGGCCCCATTCTCAATACTAATCTGATAGGCACTCGTAACTCATCGGTATCTTCCCCCACAGCTACTACAGGTTCGGCAACTGCCCACTCGCAATCAGGCATAAACTATACGATGTCTAAACCTAGAACCAACAGCACCAACTCTACAATTTCCTCTGTCTCGTGCCACAACTCCAACTCAACAAGAAACTCAGTTACTACTGCAGAATCTGCACAAACGTGTGTGAGCGATGTGTCGATTCCAGAAGACCCACTTGCAGAGCATGAGGCTGAGCAGTCACATCAACAACAACAGCGACAGTTGCAGCGACAACAACAGCAACAACAACAGCAACAACAGCAGCGACTACAACAGCAGCAACAGCAGCAGCAACTTAGTGTGCCCATGGCTAAAGGACCAGCTGAGCGTGACGACACCATCATTCCAGTGGTTAATCAGCCAGATGAGCTCTCGGATGAGGCTGAAAACGAACCACATTCTACGCGTCGCCCGTCACTGGCAGCCCTCAACGTCATGGGCCGGTCCTTCCCTAACAAAAAGACAGGCAAACACAGCAGCGGGCTTGGTGCGAGCAATAGCAACTATCTCAAGTATCCTTACATGTCTGCGCTGAGCTTTTTTGACGATGTGGTGCGTGATCACGGAAATGCGACTGAGTTTGAGCTCGATGCCATTCATCAATACATTATCAAGTCACCGCACATTATGCTTATAATATTTGATTCATACCGTGACATTAACGCGCTACTACTAGTCGCACAGACCATTCTGCGACTTGAGCAAACACAAATGCGGCCGGCCTCTCGGGCAAAGTCGCGGCAAAGTAGTATCTTTAGCGAGGAGACAAATCATACCAATCATACCAACCATACCAACCATACCAATCACACCAACCATTCGACCAACGGTGGCAGCGGCACTAACTTGGCGGGCGGAAACAATAGCCAGTATGATTCTTTTCCAAGAGAAGGAGGAGGAGGAGGAGGAGGAGGAGACTATAGCGGGGACCGCAGTGAAGGACACGGGAATCAGGGCTCTAGTTCGCGAGTACCTCGCAGAGGCTCTGGACCGGCGTCTAATACAGGAATTCCATTAAATGGTGCAATCACGGCGGTTGTTGCAAATGGCGGCGCTTCTACAACTACAGCTACTACGGCGGCAATCACCAATCTTGGCGGCAAACCCAAGAGAAATGGGCTATTTATTGTAACTGGAGAGAACAAGGATGTCCAGGACGACGAGATTCGGTTGCTTAATGGAAGCAGTTTGAACTCTGGGCTGGATATGGACGACCCGCTTTTTAGTGATGAGGGTGGTGCAGAGGTCTTCAACAAAAATAGAAGCACCAGCAATAACCATTTTCTCACCAGTAAAGACTTGAGCGGGGGTCGAATTTCACCCGCATCCTTTACCCACTCTTCAGTCCCATTTACAAGCCCCATATTGTCGATTGATCTGCCGGCGCACCATACGCCTCTGTTGCCACACCAATTTTATGATGGAATGAGCTACAGTGCATCGTCTCTTCCACGCAGCGTTTCGCCGATCGACGGGTTACCTGATGCTCCGGGCGCGAGGTTAGTGGGGTCCTTTTACAGCACGACTTCTGCGGCAAACCCTGGATCATATGGACCAGGAGCAAGTAGCAGTGTAAGTTTGGGGAGCACTGGTGGTGGAGCTGATGAAACTCAGTGGTATCCTTTAACCCCGGACTTGTCATGATGATGAGCATTTTACGGAATAAATAAATGACATTCCACCGTTTTTTTTTTCATAATTAAAGAAACCAAACAATAATTTAATAAAAGGTGGGGGTGAATCAATAAAATTCAATTTTTTTTTGTTTAGTTAATAAAAACAATTGAAAGCTTTTTTTTTTATTAAATGGTTTAATTAATATTAATTCCATTAAACAATATAAGACATTTAAACGCAAAATTAATGAAGTGTATTTTTAATTTATTATAATGCTATTAAAGATATCTTTTTAGATACCTATCTTTTTTTTTTTCTTTTTTGTTTTATTATTTCTTGTATAACCGTTGATTTCCCAAGATCCGCAGGGAAATCAATAAATGCCTTTTTCTAAAATCCACAATTCAATTGACCTTTCAAACTGTTTCGTAAATTCCATTGTGGCTCGCGACCGGGCTCATTTGTCCAGGATACTCGCTATCGCACGATCTCTCTGAAATCGGAGTAAGGGCCACACGCATTCGTGTTCCACTGTCCCCACTTGACGAGGATGCCGATTGCTGGGGCATGGGCAAGTCTTTGAGATACGAAGCACCATACCGAAGTTCCGCTGTACCATAGTCATCTTCATCTTCATCTTCATACTCGTCCTCGTCCTCTTGACAAAACGTACTATCTGCATCTGAAGATGGAGATCCAGTCATGACATGCCCACCGGTGGCTGTGGGGACCGGTCCAACTGCAGAGACGCCTGTAGTTGAGGGCAGTGAAAACGCAGCACAAACGAAAGGCGCAAGTTTGTTTTTAGTTCCGGTGATGGCATGAGTCTTTGCATCTGAATCACTGGTTTCTTCGTTGTCATCATCGTCATTTGCAGTAACGTAGGTAGCCGAAGACACTGTAGATGCAGACGACGGTGAAGGCTTGAGGCATACACGAGTCGTGGGTTCAGGAGACGTAAGTCCTGATGATGCCCCGGAGGATGCATTAGAAGATAGCGAGGACTCTGCCGAGGATGCAGAAGCGGCAGAAGTTCTCGAGTCCGTAGACGATGCAGACCCTGTCGACGACTTTTTCGAGAGTGGGAATGCTTCAGAGGATTCTGTATCGGTCTTTGTTGATGCTACTGCAGGCTCGTCGTTAGTGTCAACTGCAACTGCTGCCACTGCACGGTAATAGCGTTCCACCTCTGCTCTCGGCATTGGCGAAAACAGCGTTGTTGTAGTTGTTTTGTTCTTAATCACACTAGTTTGACGGCTCAGCGATGTAGGCCGAGAATTGGAGTCTGAACCATGGTCGCCAGAGTTACTGCCGTCACGATCAAACGAGAGTGACTTTGTTTTGCGCAACCCGCGATATGAGGATTGCCGGGTAAGCGATGTGGGCGCATGACTAGACGAAATAGTATTGGTGCGGGCTCTACGCGATGTTGTTGTTGCAGCTGAAGAAGTTCCGTCGTATCTTTCTGTGTGAGGGTACGAGTGATGGTGATGGAAAGGTGATTGGTAGTGTGCATGGTAATGCGATTGTTGATGGTGGTAATAATGACGCTTTGATGGCGAAGAGCGCAAAGACTTATTAGGGGACGAATGCGCATAAACTGGTGCGGCCTCGCAAAGCGACTGCGCAAGTGGTGAAGACTCAGATGGTGGAGAAGCCGGCACTGCGTCAAGAGTAGGTCCAGCAAAGCGCGAAGTTAGAATAGACATGGGCTTGTTGAAAATTTCATTTTCGTCGTCGCTATCACCGTAATCCTCGGGAACCGCATTGACTTCATCCAGCAGACTATCATAGTCCATGTCGTCTGCCGGTGCATCATCAGCATCTTTGTCACTACTGTTGTAGATGCTGCTTGAGCGACTACCACCAAAGCTGCTAGATGCATAATAAATATCGTCATCTTCGCCCTCGCTAGCCGAGTAGTACTTGGACGAGGCTGTACTGTCAAAACTGACGGTAGACGAGCTATGTACATGGTTTGAATAAATGTTATGAGAGCCATTAAAGTATTGAGTTTGATGGTGGTTGTGGTGCAATGGGTTGTAGTGGTATGGCGTTGATGGAGATGACAAGCCTGGAGAGGTGGCAGACTTGAAGCTAGAGGAGCGTGACGGTGACAAGTAGAGACTACTTGAAGAGGACGAGAAGTATGGGTTTGATGAAGACCCTGGTGATAAGGCCAAGTTGCGCTCAGGCGACGTGAGCATAGTGTTCATGTAAGGAGAGAGAGGGCTGTGGTTAAGGTATCGCATAGCACCAAGTCCCTTTGCCGAGATGGGGGAAGCAAGCTGAGATCCAGAAGATTGAGAGCTTACGTTTGTGTCAATTGGACGTAGAAGCTGTTGCTGTTGCTGCTGCTGCTGATCCTGATTGTATTGCTGGTTATGTGTTTGATGAAGCATGTGGGCATGATATTGCTGCTGCTGCAACAGTTGCTGCGACATGGGCATTGGTGGTGAACCAGGGCGCGGGAAAGAAGAAGAGGGTGATGATGAGGATAGCGGAGTTTGAAGCTTAGGAAGAAGCTTAGGAAGAAGCTGGGGGAGCAGTTTTCCTGAATCGGGGTTCCGAGGCTTTTCTGGGGTACTGGGAAGAAGGTGTATAACAGGCCCACCAGTATGTGCTCTGCTGTCTGCAATAGACTCATTGAGTTGAGCAGTCAGGTCGTCATCATTGCCTCCCTCGGTGCCAAAGTCTTCTTCTTCATCGTAATCATCGTTACCGTCATTATCATCATCATTATCAGCAAACTCTTCTTCGTATTCGTTATCTTTTGGGGTCATTTGCAATTGAAGATTTACATAACCAGGCTGGTTAATAACGGAATATTCGTAGTTGTCAAGATCAGAGTGGCCAAAAAGATGGGCGTCGTCTTCCACAATACCTTCGCCTTCATCATTATACTCGTCATCAAGATACTCATCAATGTCAATTCCGTCATCTTCATCCAAATCAAGATACGCCACACCCAATCCTTGCTGCTGAAGGGTCGGAGTGTCTGTTGCACTGTCAAGACATCTTCCTGTGCCAATGGAAGAGGATAATGTGGGTGTATCTGGGATGGAAGTTGAAGTGTTAAGATGCAGTGTTATAGGGCTATCTGCAGAGTGTCTTTCAAGAACATTGACTGGTTTGTGATAGTTAATAGATGAGTTGCGGCCCATTTGGAAATCTTCTTCAAAGGAAAAGATAGAACGCTGGTCGGAGCCATCGTCAGAACCATTAACGGAAGGTGCAACGGAACCACTACTGGCTGAGCCATTGAGAGATCCGCTGATTGATGCAGCAAAGGATTCATTAACAGTACTTCCAGGAACACTTCCTGCGATGCTTGTCGCTGGAGAAGCAGTTTTGGAGATGCAGAGAGCCGGGGTGGAAATGATATCGCTTGTATCATGTCCAAGGACTGGCGTGGCCACTGAAGTTAGCGAGGAAGGCTCAACCGAGTCTAAGTGGATCATATCACATGACTGAAGCTCATTTGGCAGTGCAGAATCGGCAGCAGCAGTGGATGCAGCGGGACAATATGCAGCAACGTTGTTGTCTACACTAGAGCCCGGAATGGCCATCGGCAGAGGTGAGACTGTTTCCTGGGCCACTTTTTGTTCGTAAATCTTGGACTTGCGGATAATTGTGGACAGCTCCTTTTTGAGTGTTGTAAGGTCCAAAGATGATCCGTTTTTAATGTCGTAGTCTGGTAGAGTGGTGGATGAGCCTCCCGCAGAAGAAAGCTCATGTAATGGCAGAGAAAGATGTTGCTGATTTGAAGATGCAGGAAAATGTTCTAGGGACACCTGAGAGCTACTAACTAGAGATACAGGTTCGGAGGTCTCGATATTATCCACAGGGCTTTCTTGGGTGCTGATATCGTCAACTTCTTGTACCTTTTCTATTTTATTTTCCTTTTTACTCTCCTCTTCCTCTTCTTCTTCGTCGACTTCTTGAACCAGAGCCAAATCAGAGGTGACACCTACTAGCGAGGATTGTTGGGGCGATAATGTATTAGAAGATGTGGGTGAGCTAACTGGAGATAAAGGAGAGAAGGGAGTGTTTGAAAAGTCCGAGGAAGCAGTCGATGAGGCCGTTGAGGCCGATGAGTAGACTGACAGGGAAAAAGACATTTTGATTGCATCAGTGGTAGTAGGAAAGGTGTACTGAGTAGCAGGGGTTGCAGGTATGACATTGTTTGAATTAAGGCTTTGGGATGTACCACTATTTGTGGCTGTCATACCTGTGGCGGCAGTACCATTGGAGGTAACAACAGCAGTATTAGCAAGAGCTAAGGAAGATTGAGAAGGGGAAGAATTAATAGAAGTAGCAGTATTGGAAGAAGAGGGGAAGGAACCTTCCTTAGGAGATATGGGACCATTGGGTCCTCCAGCAGTCCAAGTGCCAGCACTTGGGGATGGTGCCGAGAAGACGAGAGTGGGATGAAATACCGGTGTTTGTGAAGGAGCATCGGAGCCCCAATCGTGGATACGGGTTCCAAAGATAGAACCAGCACCACGATAAGCTTCAGGAGAAGGAGCCTGAGCATAGAGTTGGTCTAGCGAGTCATCTGTGGAGGCTCTTCTACGACGAATGTAAGAGATTGGGTTTAGTTTTTTCAGAGAGCCTGAAGTAGAAGATACTGCTGGGGGGTTTAAAGTTGATGAGGAGTAAAAGTTTAAGGAAGATCTATGAGAAGATGCGGTGGACTGGCGAAGGACAGTTGGAGCAGCGATTGTTGCGGTAGGTTTTAGATGAGAGCTGGAGGAAGAATGTCTAATTCCTGAGGAAGATGAAGATGATGTTGGAGAGGACTGCGTGAGATCTTGAGTGAGAGACCGCAACGAGATTGCAGAAAAGGAACGTTTTTGATTGTCTTTTGATGAACGACTGGTATGTGAATGGTTGTTAATGGTAGCATTATGATGGTGATGATTATGCTGGTTATTTGGTGGAGGAGATGGGGTATGTGGAGATGGGCCGGAGTTCAATGAGTTTGGGCTTGTTAAAAAGGGTTTCTGCTGACCTGTGACAGTAGTAGACGAAGATAAAGATGAAGCTGATGAGGCAGGGACGTCCTCTGGGACATCTGAGCTTCCTGTTGACAAGGATTTTCTATGGGATTTCATGAAGGAGCGCATGGAATAAGAGTATGCTGGATATATATATATATATATATATTTATGAGGACTAGGATTCTATACTATGATGGTATGATGATATTTGAAAAGATTCGTATAAAATATTTGGAATTATGTTGATTATATATTTTTGCAGATGCAAAGGGAGTATTTAAGAAAGAAGAAGAAGAAGCAAGAAAAAAAAATTGAAGAAGGCTTTAAATAAAAAATAAAAAATAAAAAAATAAAAAATAGCTTAAGACTTTAAAAATAGAACACACAAAACAAAAGACTTTTCTATCACGGAACAGACTTTTAAAAAAATACTATAGATTTTATTTTTTATTTTTTAAATCCAAGACGAATCCGCCTGATACCAACTTAGGTTTTTTTTTTATTATTATTTAAAGCCGATTTATATATATATATTTATATAATTTTTTAAAAAAACAAAAATAGGTTCTTGTCTTGTTTGATCCGAGAAAGAAAGAAAGAAAGAAAAGCAAAAAGCCTTATATAGGACACATGTGTCTTACACCGAGTCATGTCAAGAAAATGACTGGTTTAAACATTAGAAAATCTTTTAAAGGGCTGACACGTATCCGTATGCCAATCTGATTACTTGCAGCACAATTCACCATTAAAATCATGGAGAAAAAACTTGCACAAATATGACTTTGGGAGGTTATACATAAGGTTAAGACATAAAAAGCTGCCTTTGGTCCTTTGGTCCTTTTTATCCTTTTGAAGGAACAAAAAAAAAAATTTTTTTAATAGTTTGAATCTAAACTTAAAGAGTTAAGTTAACGAGCTGTAAGCAATTGAGCTAGTTTACACATCAGTTTGGAGGATTTTAATGATTTGAAGATTCTATTCTATATATAAAAAGATACTGTGTATCTAATCTAATATATTTATTATTTTTCTATTAATACTCCTTTTCACATGTTTCTTTTTTTTTTTTTTTTTTGCTACATTACTTTGAGACTTGAACGGTGAATGCAATAAATATATAAAGAAGATTATCAAACAATATATATTAATATTAATAAAATCCGACGTTTTTTTTAAAAAAAAAAATACAAATTAAAAAAAAAAAAAACAGGCAATATATATATTTTTTGAGTCATTAATTTTCTAATTCATTTTGCATTTTTCTTTCTGATATTCAGAATTCTGGTTAATGCTCTAATTATCAGCCCAGCCATTTTGGCAAAAGTTTTAAAAATAGAAAAATAAAAAAAATTTCTTTTTTTTATTTTTTTATTTTTATTTTAGGATGGCATGCGGCTATATTATATATATATATATATTTACTTTTTGTTTTTGACAGGTGTGAAAAAGAAATCTGTAACAAAAATGTAATACATAATGTATTCCATATGAGTCATCTAAAAAAATGTAACACATATTTATTTATGTCACACATCATATTCCCTAAAAAATTAGTCAACACAAGCCCATCCTATTTTTTTTTTTTTTCTAAAAGAAATCAAACATCTCCAAACTTCCTAGTTTCCATCTCCCTTATCACTGACAACTTAACCAACTAACTAACTAACCAACTAACCAACCAACCAACCATCCATCAATCTATCCATCTATACCAATGTCTACTCCTACAGAAGACCCAGTTATCCATCATAAAACTGCCGAACAAAAGGTCACACCCTGGGAGGTTGAGGGCGCTGTGATTGACGGCCAAGCTGTTGTGATTGACTATGACAAGTTAATTGATCAGTTTGGTACCAACAAAATCACTGAGGCCACTCTGGAACGGTTTGAAAAAGTCACTGGTCATCGCCCTCATCATCTTATGCGCCGTGGAATGTTTTTCTCCGAACGAGATCTTGATACCATTCTTACCCGTTACGAATACGGTCTACCCTTTTTCCTTTACACGGGTCGCGGACCTTCTTCAGACTCAATGCACTTGGGCCACATGATTCCCTTCATGTTCACCAAGTGGCTGCAAGATGTTTTTGATGTGCCTCTTGTTATTGAACTTACAGATGATGAGAAGTTTTTGTTTAAACAGCAGTTGACGATTGACGATGTGAAGCGCTTTTCACGCGAAAATGCAAAGGATATCATTGCGGCCGGCTTTGATGTCAATAAAACACTCATTTTCTCTGACCTGCAATTTGTGGGAGGTGCATTTTACGAGAATGTGGTGCGCACTTCTCGCCAAATCACTATCTCTACCGCTAAGTCTGTGTTTGGATTCCAAGATTCGGACAATATCGGCAAGATCCACTTTGCTTCGATTCAAATCTCCACATCTTTTTCCACCTCTTTCCCCACCATCTTTGGCAAAGAACATAAGCCAATCCCCTGCTTGATTCCATGTGCCATTGATCAGGACCCATACTTCCGTGTGTCGCGTGACGTTGCTGTTAAGCTCAAGTACCCGAAACCCACTCTTATTCACTCCAAGTTTTTCCCCGCGTTGCAGGGTGCCACGTCCAAAATGTCAGCGTCCAATGCTACTTCGACCATTTACTTGAGCGATACACCAGCTCAGATCAAGAACAAAATTAACAAGCACGCATTTAGCGGTGGTCGGGCCACTCGCGAGGAGCAGGAAAAATATGGAGGAAACCCAGACATTGATGTTGCATACATGTATCTTTCGTTTTTCGAGGAAGATGACGGGAAAATGGCCCAGGTGGCTGCAGATTACAGAGCAGGCAAGCTGCTGACAGGTGAACTGAAGAAGCTATGCATTGACAAGTTGCAGGAGTTTAGCCGGGACTTCCAGGCACGCCGTGGAGCCATTACAGATGAGGTTCTGGATAAGTTTATGAACCCGAACCGAGAATTTTCCTGGGGATCGACGGAGCGTCTTGTTGCACCTAAGGCTTTGACACCGGAGATGCAGAAGGAAGAAGCAAAGGAAGAGGGGAAGACAGAAGAAGAAGGATCTAAAAAGCTGAGCAAGAAGGAGCGCAAGAAGTTGGCGCCTAAGGGCGGGTCGAATTACCCGGGAAATAAGGCTGTTGAGGAGACTGCAGCAGCTCTTGAAAATACAAGTGTTTAGAGAGTGAAGAAAGAAAAAAAAAGAAAAGAAAAGTGCGTGTGGAGTATGATGATGAAAGATAGTTTTTAGATATATATAAAGAAAGAGTAATAATAATGAAAAGTTTTGCTTATAAGCTATAATTATGAAAAGCTTATATACACATTTTTACCCCAGGTTTTTTTTTTTTTTTTTTTTTTTTTTTTTTCTTTCTGTTTGAATGTCTCGGACCGAATTTTTCAATTACCAGAGACTGTTGCAAAAAAAAATAAAATAAAATAAAATCGGAGGGGACAGACATTAAAGGGAGGCATTTTATTTTATTTTGTTTTAATTTTTTTGTGAGTGGCATGCTCGGTATGCCTTGTCGGATAGGTATTCCCAAATAAGTATGAGGACCTAAATAAGGGTTTTCACACACAAACATACACATTCACACTCACTCACACACATTTAAAGAGACCAATGATGACCATCTCCGAAACTTGAAAAAAAAAAAGAAAAAACATGATGGTACACCAATTGGTATATGACTTTATTAATTATAATTTACTAATATTAGTAATTACTTGCAATGGATGATTTCTTCTTCTTCTTCTTCTTCTTCTTTTTTTTTTTCTCTCGGAAAAATAGTGAAAAGTTGGTTATGATCATGTAGACCTATATATACATTCTAATGTAAGATTTTTTATTAAAATTCTTTAAAGTCCTTATACAATAAGACCTCTATTTATGATCAAGAAAAGTTAATTTATTAATAAAAATATTATTGTATTATTATTATTATTATTATTATTATTATTATTATTATTATTATTATTATTATTATTATTATTATTATTATTATTATTATTATTATTATTATTATTATTATTATTATTATTATTATTATTATTATTATTATTATTATTATTATTATTATTATTATTATTATTATTATTATTATTATTATTATTATTATTATTATTATTATTATTATTATTATTATTATTATTATTATTATTATTATTATTATTATTATTATTATTATTATTATTATTATTATTATTATTATTATTATTATTATTATTATTATTATTATTATTATTATTATTATTATTATTATTATTATTATTATTATTATTATTATTATTATTATTATTATTATTATTATTATTATTATTATTATTATTATTATTATTATTATTATTATTATTATTATTATTATTATTATTATTATTATTATTATTATTATTATTATTATTATTATTATTATTATTATTATTATTATTATTATTATTATTATTATTATTATTATTATTATTATTATTATTATTATTATTATTATTATTATTATTATTATTATTATTATTATTATTATTATTATTATTATTGTTATTGTTATTATTATTATTATAAAAGTAAATAATAAATAGAAAAGCTTTCTTATTGATTTTCTTCATTATTTTTTCCGAATGGGAAAGGCAGCCGTTAGTAACCGTTAGTCAGAATATCACAAATACACAAAACGTCATTTGACAAAAAAAAAATGTTATACATTGTCATCAAGTCTAATTGAAATAACTTGAAAATAAATGCTTTTAGTCATTTCATTATCATCATCATATGTTAATCATTATAAATATTTATATATATATATATATATATAGTATCGTAATATTGTAAAAAAAAGAAAGAAAGAAAGAAAGAAAGAAAGAACGAATTTATATACATCTCCCAAAATAAATGTCAACGTAAAGAATCCCAAGGTTTAGTGTAAACTCTTATGCACTAGTAGCCTGAATAAAACGCACAAGATCATCAATCGTGATAGCCTTAATATTGTGTTCCTTTGCAAATTTGAGACAGTCATCACGACGCGCCATAAGCCCATCCTCCTCACGCACAAGTTCACAAATGACAGACACTGGTTGAAGCCCAGAAAGCTTGCAAAGATCAACACCAGCCTCAGTATGGCCACGGCGCTCAAGAACACCACCATCACGTGCACGCAGCGGCAGCAAGTGACCGGGCTTGAGGAACTGGCGTGCAGTGGTACATGGGTCTGCAAGTTTAGAAGCTGTAAGGGCCCGGTCTGCGGCCGAGATTCCAGTTGTAGTTCCCTCGCCAAAGTCGCACGTGATTGTGTATGCAGTGCCGTGGCGGTCCGAGGGTGTGCCGTCGTCATCTGTAGCGCCGGGAGTATCTGCAGTAGCAGCAGTGCTGGCTTCTTTAGAGGGAGTTGGAGTTTTCAAAGCATGAGCCATGAGAGGCAGATGAAGACGATCGGCAATGGTATTAGTGAGAGGAGCACAGACATAACCTGAAGAGTGTCGAATCAAAAAGGCCATTTTTTCTGTGGTAATTTTTTCGGCGGCTATAATAAGATCACCTTCATTTTCGCGGGACTCATCGTCCAAAACGACTAGAAACTGGCCTTGTTCTGTAGAGAATAAGAAATCATAATAGAGGGAAGGACGAGGTGAGGTAGGTAGGTTGGTGATGGTTAGTTAAAGAAGATCTAGTAATAATATAAGAATGATGATTGTCAAGTCAAAAAAAAAAGTCCCTGGGTATTAACTTCCTGGAGTGGGGAAGTTATAATAATAATAATAAAAAAAAAAGAGTGCTTTGGTGGGGTATAAATTTCTGGGTAATAAAAGAAAAACTTTGATCTGGGCTATTGAAAGTGACTGAAAAAAAAAAAAAAACTCTTCAAGAAGAGTTTTTTTTTTTATTTTTTTTTTATTTTCAATAAGAATCCATCTTGATAATCAACATACTAAAGGCTTCGAGGGCATCTGGAATAGAATCGAACATTGCAGAGACAGTCATGATCTGGGGTTCTGTGTTTAAAAGAAAAAAAAAAGGGCTTAGAAGGACCTTTATGGAGGGAGGGAGGGGGGATGTTGGTTGGTTGGTTGGTTAAAGGAAGAGAGAAAAGAAAAAAAAAAAAAAAAGGGAAAAGAAAAAAAAAAAAATTAAAAAAATTAAAAAAAATGGAAAATCTGTGGAGGAAGTTTTTTTCTTTTTTTTTTTTTTCAATGAAATTAAAGATTTTAATATTAAAAATTATAATAATAAAAATATTAAAAATAAAAAGAAGAAGAAAAAAAAAAGAACTTTTTATGAGGATTTCAAGATCTTTTTATAATTTTTTTTATAATTATATATATATATATATATGTTGACGATTTTACATAATTTTATTAATGATTATAAAATGGCCTTATAAATCTAATTAATTATGTCCACCACAATTTCATATAAAATTATAAAATTTCTATAAGCATATTACTATTATTACTATTAATTTTTTTTTAATTTAATTTGATTTTAATTCAATTCAATTTCATTTAAATCTACAAAAGAATATATGGCCGTTTATCCCAAAAATCTTCCCGAATCAAATCCTCATGTAATTCAACTATCGCAGCCTTCCGTCGCCGTTTCTGTTCTCGTTGCTTTTGCCGTTGACTCAGCTCGGCCCGTTTCTCACCTCCATTACCACCACCAACTGTTGATACTACCGATGACAACTCCGTTCTTTCATGTTGATCCCCTTCACGACCCGACAAAATTGATAAATCTCGAACTAAAATTGTGCCCTTTTTATAAATTTCCGGCTCGTTATTGTAGTTGATACCAAACTCACTAAAAAGAATCTCATTCTTGTCACTGGCCAAAGTTCCCTAGAAATCCTCATTAGTATATAAGAATATCATTAATTAATTAATATCAAACAGCAACAATCTATCCATTCAAGCCAATTTAAATCCAATTCCCTTTAGTTATTTGTCTTTTCCTCATTAAAACTGCCAATTTAATAACCAAATCATGCTTTAAACTCAATCATTCAATCATTCAATCATTCAATCATTCAATCATTCAATCATTCAATCATTCATTCTTAAATCAATAATAATAAAACTTTTTTTTTTTTTTTTTTTTGACTACTCACCCTTAATCGTTCTTCTGCTTGAGCCCCACTAAGCCCGCCTTGTTGCACAAGAGCCCAAAACGTCGTGTTGTATAAATTGTTAATATGACAGTCCACCTGCCTCCAACTCAAGTAGTCCCTTACCGTTCGTGCCGTAGGATACACTACCGCACGCCCATCAAACGTCGGCAACATCTCTTCATCTAACGGAGTCTTTGTGAAATACTTCCCCCACAACATGTTATACATAGCCGTAAATGTACTAACTACCGTCGATACCAACTTGCTCTCTCGTCGTTCAAACAACTCTGTATCTCGAGCAAATACAAAAGAGTACTCATCACTGTCTCCATATGCTAACCGAATGTCTGGCAACATTGACATCACCCGTCTTGCAGCCTCATTCATTACTCCTAGTGCCCGCGCATCATTAGGCTTTGCAAACTTGTACCGATCTGAAAACCGATGAAACCCACGTCCATCTACTCGCACTACTATCCATGTTTCTGCTAGCAAGTAGTTTTCTCGTTCAAATTGCTTAACGTACTCATATCTATATACCCCATATATTAAGAGAAGAATCAAAGTTGTGTGTTAGTCAAAATCATGTGCATTTATATACAAATCTACCCAAACTATCTCAAACCCCTTCCCATTCAATCTTTTCTTTTAAATTTCCTCCATACTTTGAATTAGCCATCTTTATCTAGGCTGTTTTTTTTTCTTTAAAACTAAGTTTATTGCAATTACTGAATAAATTTAAATGAACTAAGTCGAGTCAAATTGAAATTTGTATATGTGCGATGATTGTTATTAAGTTTCTCCATTTGTAAAGACCAAAAATAAATAAAAAAAAATAAGAAAAATACACAACCCTAACCTTTCTAAAAAATTTTTGAGCCTCACGTAATAAAATTTTTTTTTTTTTTTTTCAAAACCTCCAAATCCAAATTTTTTTTTTTTTTTTTCCTTTTCAAATAAACAAAAAAAAATTTCAAAAAATAAAAAAAAAAAAATTTTAAAAGATCTTTTTTTGACACTCAAAAAGACTCTTTTTGAAATTAACCCCTCTTCCAGCCTATTTTCTTTTTTAAATACTCCCTATTAAGCTGGAATAAAAATGGGCGCGTCATTTTATACTCTCGAGCGTGAAAAATACTTCCGCAATCCTCCAACGGATAAGGCCTTCTACCCGCTTCTTAACTCGGCCGTAGATCCCCATGTTGAATCATTCAATGCCCTCACTGAAGGACCTGGAGGTGGTCTTCTCAACCTTGGTGTCAAGGAAATCGGTACAAAAGTTGTCTTTGACAATACCTCTAAAGAGGTTCTTGGAAACAAACTTTCTTGTAAGTTGTTTCTTCTTCTTTTTCTTCTTTTAATTCCTTTCTAACTCTCTAGACCGCATCGACAATGTTCAAATCACAAAACCGGCCCCTCGCGATATGGACAAAAGTACTATCAACAGAAAAACAATGCCTTCAGAGTGCCGCGAACGTCTTACTTCTTATCGTGGTCGTCTAATCCTTCGTCTTGGATACCGAGTTAATGATGGCCAAGAACAGTTTGAGACTATCGACGCTGGTATGCTTCCAGTCATGGTCAAGTCTAATCGCTGCAATCTCCAGGGTCTGTCTCCTGCCCAACTTGTCGCAGCTAAGGAAGAATCAGAGGAACTTGGTGGTTATTTCGTCATTAACGGTATCGAGAAACTCGTTCGTCTTCTTATTGTTCAACGCAGAAACCACCCCCTTGCAATCATCAGACCCTCCTTTGCAAATAGAGGTCGCTCATACTCAAAGTACGGTATTCAAACCCGTTGCGTCCGTCCAGACCAAACTTCCCAGTCAATTGTCCTGCATTACCTCATTGACGGAAATGTTACCCTCCGTTTCTCCTGGCGCAAAAACGAGTACCTCGTCCCCGTCGTCATGATCCTCAAGGCTCTTGTCGAAACAAATGACAGAGCAATCTTCGACGGTATTGTTGGAAATGAAACCTCAAACTCTTTCTTGACTGATCGTCTCGAACTTCTTCTCAGATCTTTCAAGTCTTACAACCTTTATTCTCAACAGGAAACTCTCGCTTATCTTGGTGACAAGTTCCGCGTCGTTTTTGGCTCCCCTCCTGACATGTCTGATGTTGATGTCGGTCGTGAGGTCCTCCGAAAAATTGTCCTTGTCCACCTCGGCGATGACAATGCTGCTAAATTCCGTATGCTGCTCTTTATGATCCGCAAACTCTACGCTCTTGTCTCTGGCGAGTGCTGCGCTGACAACCCAGATGCTGCCCAGCATCAAGAAATCCTTGTCGGTGGTTTCCTCTACGGTATGATCATTAAGGAAAAAATTGAAGAGTACCTCCAAAACATTCGCTTGCAGGTCATGTCTGATCTGAACGGCAGAACAGGTGTTAAGTTCAACGATCCCAAATATATTCGTCGGGTCCTCATGCGTGTGAATGACAATATCGGCCAGAAACTCCACTATTTCCTATCCACAGGTAACCTTGTGTCCTCCTCAGGTCTTGACTTGCAGCAAGTCTCTGGTTACACCGTTGTTGCGGAAAAACTCAACTACCACCGTTTCATTTCCCATTTCCGCATGGTCCATCGTGGTGCCTTCTTTGCTCAGCTCAAAACCACAACCGTCCGAAAACTGCTCCCAGAGTCATGGGGGTTTTTGTGTCCTGTCCACACCCCGGATGGTTCCCCATGTGGTTTACTTAACCATTTGGCCCACAAGTGCAAGATTGTGACCCAACCAAGTGACGTTTCCGCCGTGCCTCAAATTCTTGCTGATTTGGGCATCTCTCCACCAAACTCACTTACCTCGGGCCCCCACTCGTGTGTCGTGCAGCTCGACGGTAAAGTCATGGGCTGGACCACTCATGAGCGTGGTGCTCAAATTGCAAACGTCCTTAGATACTGGAAAATTGCGTCCTCCGAGTCTAAAAAACTCCCAGTCGATCTTGAGGTCGGCTACGTTCCTCCCTCGCGAGGCGGTCAATACCCAGGCCTGTTTTTGTTTTCACAGCAGGCTCGCATGAAGAGACCAGTCAAGTATTTGCCAACAGGCCAAGAAGATTGGGTTGGTCCTTTTGAGCAAGTTTACATGGACATTGCCATCACCCCAAGCGAAATTGAGCGCGATGTTCACTCTCACGTCGAGTTCTCCCCTACAAACATTCTCTCTATTCTGGCAAATATGACTCCCTTCTCGGACTTTAACCAGTCCCCAAGAAACATGTACCAGTGCCAGATGGGTAAGCAGACCATGGGTACTCCTGGTACTGCTCTGATCCATAGATCTGACAATAAGCTTTACCAGCTGCAAACAGGCCAGTCACCTATTGTGCGTGCCAATCTTTTTGACGATTACGGTCTTGACAACTACCCCAACGGTACAAACGCTGTTGTCGCTGTCATTTCTTACACTGGCTACGATATGGATGACGCCATGATTATTAACAAGTCTGTTCACGAGCGCGGCTTTGGTCATGGTAGTATTTTCAAGGTCGACCACATTAACCTCGACGAAAAGCGTCGTCGCGGTGACCCCGTTACCATGCACTTTGGGTTTGGTCAGGATAACTGGCCCCAAGAATGGCGCAACATCCTTGACGAGGATGGTCTCCCAATGATTGGCTCTATGGTCACTGAAGGCGATCCCCTTTGTGCTTATTTCGATGAGACCCTTGGTAAGACCAAGGCCATGTGCTACAAGTCATCTGAGGTGGCATTCATTGAGGAAGTCAAGCTCATTGGTGATGAAGGTGACACCGAGTTCCAGCGTTTCACTGTCAAGCTGCGTATTCCTCGTTCGCCAGCCATTGGTGACAAGTTTTCATCACGTCACGGTCAAAAGGGTGTTTGCTCGCAAAAATGGCCTGCCATCGACATGCCTTTCAGCGAATCTGGAATGCAGCCCGATGTCATCATTAACCCACACGCTTTCCCCTCGCGTATGACCATTGGTATGTTTGTCGAGAGTTTGGCAGGCAAGGCTGGTGCGTTACACGGTAAAGCCCAAGACAGTACACCTTGGATGTTCAGTGAAGAAAACACTGCTGCTGATTACTTTGGCGAGCAACTTATCAAGGCTGGCTACAACTATCACGGAAATGAGCCAATGTACTCTGGTGTTACTGGCGAGGAGCTTCGTGTTGATATTTATATTGGTCTCGTTTTTTACCAGCGTCTTAGACATATGGTCAACGACAAGTTTCAGGTGCGTTCCACAGGTCCTGTTAACTCTCTCACTATGCAGCCTGTTAAAGGTCGTAAGCGCCATGGTGGTATCCGTGTTGGTGAAATGGAGCGTGATGCTCTTATTGGCCATGGTACCGCTTACCTGCTGCAAGATCGTCTACTCAACTGCAGTGACTATACCCAAACTTTTATGTGTACTGAGTGCGGCTCGCTGCTGACACCGCAGCGTTCTGTTCCACGGGTTGGTGGCAGTCCTGTTGTGCGATGCCGCCGGTGTGCGCGCTCGCACGGGTTTGAAGATAGCAGTTCCAGTGACACAAACGCTGTGGGCGATGTCTGGGAGGACGGCTCTGGAAAACGCTTTAAGGGCGGCGAAAAGATTGCAACGGTGGCTGTGCCTTACGTTCTTAAATACCTGGACTCGGAGCTGGCTGCTATGGGTATCAAGATGCGGTTTTCGGTGACTCCCAAGCCTGGCCATTAGAGTGTTGTTGAGTTGGAAGTTGGATTGGGATTTTGAATGTATAATTTTTTGTTGGATGCAGAGTATTCAAGTTGGGGAGGAACATAAACATTGAGGTAGTATACAGATCGTTACATTTATTATATATATACTCTAGAATTTAGAATAAGCTGTTTACAGATTTTAAAATCAAAAGATTGATTTCTTTTTTTTCTTTTAACTTTTAGAATATTGAGACAATTTGGTTTCAGAAAGTAGGCTGAGTTAATCAAATTCTGATATTTTCTGATATTCAACAACAACAGATTGCTATTCAATTTGTTTTCACGTGATTTGATTTTTCAAAAAAAAAAGCTGTTATTTTTATGTGACATTACAAAGTTTACGTAGTAACAATAAACGTGGTCATTAAGCCGGTGCCTTTTTTTTATTTTTTTTATTTATTTTTATTATTTTTATTTACTAATTTCATCCTTAATTATAGAAGCTTCGCCCTCTTCCCAATCCCTTTTTTCCAAGTGAAAAATTTCTTATCATCAACATCATCACAAGCAATTTACTATCCTTTATTACCGTTCGAAAGAGGATTGTGATTTGAAATTTGGCTTAGATTTCTTTCTATATATATATTTCCTTACTAGGAACATTGATTATATCTAATAGCCATTATTTTCATATACCTCAATCTTTTTACTTCGCTTATTAGAATTTTTTTTTTTTTTTTTGCTCAATTTTTTCTCCCGATAACAAAGTTTTAACTCGGCATCTCCCCCCTTCACTCCTTACTTTTCCCAGTAAAATGGACCTTCTTGCTGATAGAAGAGCCAGCTTAGATGTTGAGCTCCAAGAAGCTCATGTCCATCGGGCTTCCAGCATCACAACAACTCCTTCTGCTTTGTTTGCTTCTTTGACTGCCCAGGAGACTGCCGCACGCTTGCACACATCCATCGAGTATGGCCTTGATTCCCCACAGGACCTCAATTACCGCAAATCCGTCCATGGCCCTAATGAGCTCACCAAAGATGACGATGAGTCGCTATTTAAAAAGTTTATTGGCCAGCTCTCGGATCCTCTCATCATGCTTTTGCTCGGTTCCGCCGCCGTCTCGCTTGTCATGGGCAATGCCGACGATGCTATCTCCATTGCTCTTGCAATCATTATTGTCGTTACCGTCGGATTCGTCCAAGAATACAAATCGGAAAAATCCCTCGAAGCTCTTAATAAACTCGTCCCGAACTATGCCCACCTCACCCGCGGACCAAACAATACCCACACTGTACTGGCCACCAACCTGGTTCCAGGTGACTTGGTCCATTTTGATGTAGGCGACCGAATCCCCGCTGACATTCGCTTGACCGAATCTGTAAACCTTGAAATTGATGAGTCCAACCTTACCGGTGAAACAGAACCTGTCTTTAAGCATTCGGATGCCATTACTCCGGAAAGTGTCAATGCCGCCGCCGGTGCTGCCGCCGGATCGTCATCCTCTTACGCAGCTGCTTCATCCTTTGCTATCCCCGTGGGAAAACGCTACAATATTGCCTATATGGGTACTCTTGTGTGTGGTGGTAAAGGTTCTGGTATTGTTGTCGGAACAGCCAAGGAAACTGAGTTTGGTGCTGTGTTTGAAATGATGAAAGATGTTGAGGTCCCTAAAACCCCACTCCAAACTTCCATGGATCAATTGGGCAAGGAGCTTTCTATGATTTCCTTTGGTGTCATTGGTTTGATTTGTTTGGTTGGAATTATCCAAGGCCGCTCCTGGCTTGAAATGTTTACCATTTCTGTTTCTCTTGCTGTGGCTGCTATTCCTGAAGGTCTCCCTATTATTGTTACTGTCACTCTTGCACTTGGTGTGTTGCGCATGGCTAAGGAAAAGGCCATTGTGCGTCGATTACCTAGTGTTGAGACATTGGGCTCTGTTAATGTGATTTGTTCCGACAAGACTGGAACCCTTACCAAGAACCAGCTTACTCTTACCAAGGTTTGGACTCTTGGCATGGGTCCAGTTGCTAATTCTAGCGATAATAAAACTTCGACCCAGTCCAATGTCAAACCTTGGGTCTCGATTTCTGAAAACACGGATAATACAATCACCCCTACTGCAGATATTGCAGCCACTTTACAGGTTGCAAGTTTGTGTTCTCATGCAAGGTTATCTTCTGAAACTGGCAAGTATTTTGGCAACGCCACAGACGCTGCTATCATGGAATCTTTAAAACGGTTTGATCTTGAAGACATTCGCAATACTCGTACTATTTTTGCCCAGGTGCCTTTCTCCTCATCTCGTAAGTGGATGTGGGTGGCTTCAAGCGGCGGTAATAACAGCCGCAATGTCTATAGCAAGGGTGCCTTAGACCGCATTCTGCCCCTGTGCACTTCTTATTTGGGATCTGACGGTGTGACTTCGATTGAACTTGACGACCAGCTGCGTCAAAGGGCCTTTGAAGTTGAGAAGGCCATGGCCCACGAGGGTGTTCGTGTGCTTGCTATTGCTTATGGGCCTGGCAATGATGCGCCTGAGAGCAAGAAGAAATATTCAGAGAGCACCACCAGCCTGGACTCAAGATCTGCTACTCCTGATGTTGACTATGAACCCAAGAATTTGACATTTTGCGGTATCATTGGTATGTACGACCCCCCAAGAGCGGGAGTCACTAATAGCATTCACCGGCTGTTGCAGGGCGGCGTGCGGGTGATTATGATTACCGGAGACAATGAGACGACTGCAGAGACAATTGCACGCAAGATTGGAATTCCTCTTGTTGGTGGTTCCCAGCGCTCTGTGCTGACGGGTGACCAGCTGTCGCACATGTCGACGGATGAGCTTGCGACCGCCATGAATTACGTGTCTGTGTTTGCACGTACATCGCCGGAACACAAGCTGATGATTGTGAAGGCGCTTAAGGCTCGTGGAGACATTGTTGCCATGACTGGTGATGGTGTGAATGATGCACCTGCGCTGAAGCTTGCAGATATTGGTATTAGTATGGGTAAGAGTGGTACAGATGTTGCGAAGGAAGCTTCAGATATGATTTTGGTTGACGATGACTTTTCGACTATTTTGTCTTCGATTCGTGAGGGTAAGTCGATTTTCACCAATATTCAATCATTTTTGAAATTCCAGCTGTCTACCTCTGCAGCGGCCCTGTCACTGATTGCAATTGCAACATTGTTTGGTGTTCCAAACCCGTTGAATGCAATGCAGATTCTGTGGATCAATATTATTATGGATGGGCCTCCTGCCCAGTCTTTGGGTGTTGAACCTGTGGACCCCAGTGTTATGCACAAGCCGCCTCGCTCACGTAATGACCGCGTGTTGACAATGGCTATTGTCAAGCGAGTTATACAGTCTGCGACAATTATCATTATTGGGACGTTGCTTGTGTTTTTGCGGGAAATGAATGACAATGTTGTAACTGCACGCGACACAACCATGACATTTACGTGTTTTGTGTTTTTCGACATGTTCAATGCCCTTGCATGTCGGTCTGCGACGCGATCTGTGTTTGAGATTGGGTTTTTCTCAAACAAGATGTTTAACATGGCAGTGGGTGGATCCATTTTGGGTCAACTTGCGGTGATTTATTTGCCCGTTTTGCAGCGGGTGTTTCAAACAGAGGCCCTGTCATTGGGTGACTTGGTGTTTTTGACGGGACTGGCATCTACTGTTTGGATTGTTGAGGAGATCCGCAAGGTGGTTAGACGGCGGCAAAGTGCGTACCGATACGGTGGCTCTGCGGGGTACTCTACGGTTGTTTAATGGAAGAAAAAAAAATTAAAGTAAATAAAAAAAAGATACATGTATAAATAGTATTATATTATAATGGATATAGATAGATATTCATAGGGAAGAACATGATTTTCTAAAAAAAAAAAAAATAAATAAAAAAAATAAAAAAAAATAAATAAATAAATAAAAACAATAGTCTACTTTTCTATAATATATTGGGATCCCACTTTGCGAAAAATGTGGGAGGCAGCTTTTGTTAAACGATTCATAATGGCCAGGCCCTCGTTGGCGAGAGGAACACCTTCAACAATGATTGCGGCAGCACCTGAAGTTTTTTCAAGATGGCGAAGTTCCGAAAAAAGGTTACGAGAAATATCAGCACCGGTAACACCTAAGGATCTTGATACGGTTTCTGTGGGAGCCAAAGTTTGTTCAATAGCTTTGGGATCAAAGTGGTATGTTGTGAGAATTGCGATTTTTCCCTGGGGGAGTTTGATTTGATTTTGATTTTTATTTTGATCTTGATCTTGATTTTGATTTTGATTATTTTGAGTAAGAAGAGTTTCACGGACAGCTTGAGCACCATCAGGACAGTCAATGAAAAGGTATACGGGACACGATGGAGAATAATGCTTGTACTTCATTCCAGGAGTGCGTGGGACTTGTTCTGGGCTTGTATCTGGGGATCCAACAACAATGGACTGCCAAAGAGGACCACCTTGTTGACGGATTTGTTCGACGGAAATGCCTCCAGGACGAAGAAGTTTTGGCGGAGAAACAGTACCGTCAACAACAGTACTTTCGACACCAACATCACAGGGGCCTCCATCAAGAATGAGAGGAATGCGATCGTGAAGGTCTGCATAAACATGGCTTGCAGAAGTGGGTGAGGGTCTAGTAGAAAGGTTTGCCGATGGAGCGGCCAACGGGGTATCGGATAGAGCAATGAGGGCCCGTGCTACTGGATGGTTTGGCATACGAACTGCAAAAGTTTTTTGGCCATGAGTGCACAATGGCGATACTGAATTTTGAGAAGTTGTTGGAACTGGGAGAACAATTGTAAGGGGGCCTGGCCAAAAGGCCTTTACTATGGGGACATAGATTTCAGGGAGAGGGCCACCGGAGATGCGTTCAAGTTGAGCAAGACTCGAGACATGAACAATGAGAGGGTTATCAGCGGGTCTATTTTTGGCAGCATAGATTGCTCGCACTGCATTGTCGTTTCGTGCATCTGCGCCGAGTCCGTAGACAGTTTCTGTGGGGAACGCGACCAAGGGTTGGGTATTTGTAGTATTAGAAGAAGAAGAAGAAGAAGAAGATTTGATGACAGCAACAGCTTCTTGAAGGTTTGCATAGGTATCTGAGTTGGGGTCGATTATTGGAGTTTGTGTGGTAGGATCATGGGGGGGGTATTTGATTGCGGCTGGAGAAACAGCCAACACGCGGGTGTGCATTTTTGCCAAAAAAGCAAAAGAAGAAGCAGAAGCAGAAGCAGAAGCAGAAGCAGAAGAAGAGGATAAGCCCAAGAAGAAAGCCAGAGACGTCGTGAAAGTACGGCGAAAAAAGGCTGGGCTAAAAGGGGTACGAAAGAATAGAAGTGGCAGCGTTGTAGAAGGATAGAGAAAAAGGGAGGGGTTCACACAGTTTTAATAGTTTTTTTTTTTTTTTTTTTTTAAGCCTGGTATTTTTTATTTTTTTATTTTTTATAGGTATATATATATATATATTTTTGTGTGTGTGTAGCAATCAAAAGTGGTGATCCATAAAAATGAGGTTTAGAAATTTTTTTTTTTTACTAAAAAAAATAGTATTTGTGGTTTAGGGTTTTTACAAAAAAAAAAAGTTAAATAAAACATGAGACTTAATACCATAAGATTAAAGCATATTTCCCTCAAGTTGAATATAAATAAATGAATAAATGAATAAATGAATATACCATTATTTTGTTTAATAATAATAATAATAATAATAATAATAAGTGTAATAATATTATATTACTAAGTAATTATGTAACATTAACAACAAAATATGAATTTCTTTTTTAATTTATTTTCTAAGTGCCCCACTTTAAATCTTTACCAGACATTAGCAATAATTAAATTTTGTCTATTAAAATTAAAAAAAAAAAAAATTAAAAAAAAAAATTAAATTTAAAAAAAAAAAAAAAAAAAAAAAAACTCGGCTCGTATTGTCGTCCTCCTTTTAGAGCGCCCCGCAACAGGTATAAGAAGTTTGCAGCAACAACAGCAATAACAGTTGAAACTTTTATTTTTATTTTATTTATGTTTTCATTTTAGAATTCAATCTTCCTGTTGGCAGGCGTCCAAATCTTTTTATTTTTATTTTTATTCTATAAAATTTCATAATAATACATATTTTTTTTAAAAAAAAAACTTATGGCATATATTTATATATATATATAGCTGATGTTGTTTTTTTTAAGCTGAACATTCCAAATGCGGAATTTGCAGCAGTAGCAGCAACCATTTAGCTAGCCATATAAGCCATAATCCATATGAATACATAACAAGAGATGTTTGTCAACGTGATTAGTGATCGGGACATTTGCAAGTACTTTAACAAACTACTTATAACAAGTAAGTATAGATTTGAAAAAAAAAAAAAAAAAAAAAAAGATATTGCAGGAAAGATTTAATTTTGAATATAAAAATATATATATTTTTTTATTTAATATTTATTTATTTATTTATTTATTTATTTATTTATTTATTTATTTTGTAAAATATTGACACGTTCGCATTAAAGGATTAAATAAATTTATAAAAATTATCATTTTTATAAAAAAAAAAAAAAAATCTTGATTTTGATAATTATATTGATAATAATTCAAATATATTAGACCAACATTCCCCAATTGTTTCAGCTTAGATCTTTATTTGAAATATTTGAAAATTTTAAAAAAAAAAAAAAGGACCCGCCGGAACGTACCCGAAGATTGGAGGGGGGAAGGGGGGGAGGGGGGGGAATAGGGAGCGGAAGTAAATAAGTAAATAAGTAAATAAATAAAGATTGATATTAGCGGATTTCGGAAAAAGACAAAAGAAGATTTAGAAGAAAAAGAAGAAAAAGAAGAAGAAAAAGAAGAAGAAGAATTAGAAGAAGAAGAAGAAGAATTAGAATTAGAATTAGAAAATAAAGAAGAAATGGAAGACTGAAAGATATCAGTTGTATATATTTGATATTATTAATATTAATATTAATAATATCAATGCCAATATCAATATCGATATCTACAAATAAGCATTTATATATAAAATTTTATAAATATTTATATAATAAAAATTAATGTTTAAGAAAACTCCCGAGAGAAAGATGGCAGTATCCTATAAATTAGAAATAATAGATTAAACAAAAACATGGAGAGAAATAAAAAAAAAATAAAAGAAAAAGAATATTTATTATTGGCTTGTATAATAGTATAATAGTATAATATAGTATATATATATATATATATATAATAATAATAATAAATATATAATAATAATAAATATATTATAATTATAAATTTCTATTATCATTATTATTATTTTATTTAGATTTTTTAGATTTTGTAGATTTTGTAGATTTTGTAGATTTTTTTTTATATATTTTTTAAAATAAAGAAAGTCTTTTTATTTTATTTATTTATTTATTATATCTTAATAATGGACTGTTATATATATATATATATTTATTTATAAAATAATAAATTTATTCAATGGCAATGATGTGTGGTGGTTAAAATCAAAAAGATTTTTTAAAAAATATAAATATATATTCGTTTTATTATTATTATTATTATTATTATTATTATTATTATTATTATTATTATTATTATTATTATTATTATTATTATTATTATTATTATTATTATTATTATTATTATTATTATTATTATTATTATTATTATTATTATTATTATTATTATTATTATTATTATTATATCTATAATTTATAAATCTTCCCTTATATATATTTATATATCCATACACTTTTATTTAACTCCGTAGACTTATATATAAATACATACTTACTTACTTACTTACTTACTTACATATATACATATATATATATATATATATATAAACTCCAGACTTCCCACCTTCCTTCCTCTTTTTTCTTCCCCCCCCCTTTGTATTTATTATTATAAAACCGATCTCTTTTGATAATCACCTTTTTTTTTATACAGATTTTTGTTAAAGATCTACAATATTTATATATATATACACACATTTCATTATATATAAATTATCAAAAATCTAATCTTTTTTTTCTTTACCCATCTACTCCTTCTTCTTCCTCTTTTTCTTAAAAAAAGTTCCTCTTTGCCTATTATATTATTATTATATTAATATATCATCATCATCATCATTGTTCATATACACTGGTCTGCAATTGTCATATAAACACAACAAAACAAACCCCTCTTTCATACTTTTCTTCTTTCCCATTCTTTTACATTCACATACATTTCTCACAAATGCCACCACCACCTTCTTCTTCCTCTTCCTCCTCTTCCTCTTCAACATCCTTACCACCATCATCTTCCTCGCAAATCTTTCGAAAGTTAGAGTCTTTCCGACAACCACCAGATGTGCCACTGGAAACTCATGAGCGCCGCTTCAACCGTATAGCTGCTCCACTACTCCAAAACCCTCGCCACCAACCAACCCTCATGGCCATCTACATGCGCACTCTGGCCTCACGCGATCTGCGGCATTCCCTAGCAGCCCGTGCAGCAGCATGCGAGATTGCTCCTCCAACTCTTACAGCCCTTCAAGCAGAAGCTCGTGCTCTTGCTCGCAAACACACTTCTATCGATGCCTTTTCAGAGCTATACACTATGCGCCAGGGACCTACCATATCTGCTGCGGCCCATGCTGCTGAAATTGAAAAAAAACTCGCCCTATTAGAAATGCCTTTGGATGATGACCTGCTTCAGGATTTATACCGACGCTCTCTTCGTCCAGAAGTCGCTGCAAGACTTCACAGCTTTCAATATCGGTCCTACGCTGATCTTAAGTCTGATGCCGTACGGATATGCCCGTAACTTTCTTTTTTTTTTCTTTTAAATAAAAAAAAAAAGGTAGACGGGGTCCCGGTGTTTGTTGCTGGCGATGACGCCGCCGTCGACTGGGCTATATATAATAATAGAACTGAGAAGAGGGGAAGAAAAAAAAATAAAAGAAAAGAATGCTCCTTTTTTTTTAGACATTAAGGATTTATATATATTATACATAATATATTTACTATAGACAAGCCTAAATCGTCATTATATACATTTAATTTCCATTAAAGTCATTTTTAAAAGATGTTGATGCCATAAAAGCTTTCTTTAATAACCAAAAAAAAAAAAAATGGGGAGGTTTTCTTTTTTTTTCATCAATATATATATTTTTTTATTGCTCAATAGTAACATGAAAAGCAGATTTTTGGCGCCGTCGAGGTTTTCGCGCCTGTCGCAAAGCCTCCAACTCATCTTGTTCTTCATGACCTTCGCCACCTCCGCCATGTGCACGACCCAACAATTTACCCAACTCTGCATTAAAATCTGCACCTCGCGATACTTGCTGAGATCCCGAATGAACTTCTGAGTTAGCAGGTTTATATTGATATTGTGGTACTTGTTTTTCTGAGGTTTCGGTAGAAGTGGGAAAAGAAGTGTCCGGCCTTCCTACAGATGCTACCCCTTTGGGATCTTCACGAGGCAGCTCTGTAAGCCGGCTCCCAATCTTGGACACTGCAAGTGGATCAAGTCCATAATCTCGGACAACTGCATCTGCCTCTAGCCCACCCGCTGCAAGTGCCCGGACCACCGCAGTTAAAGTTTGCGGGTGCAAATACATTTTCATCCTTCCATTGTTTGACGAAATTGTAGCTGCTGCTGCTGCTGCTGCTGCTGCTGCTGTTGATGATGCTGATGCTGATGCGGCACTGCCACTATTACCATTCTTACTACTCCTTCCTCCCGCATTGACGCCTTTTAATTCGGAAGATTCCTCGGCGGCAAGTTCTGCCTGTGCACTTCTATTGCGCAATGCAGATACAAGCTCATTGTGAGGACTAAATGTGTGTTTTGGTGCCTCTTGTTCGCGAGTTTCACGAATTAGTCGATCAATCAAACCAGAGTCTAGAGCTGATCCCAATTGCTGCACCCGAGAAATATGCTGGGGATCTAAACCGTCCCTTATAATCTCCGCCGGCTTTTCCGAAACTTCTTCATTTTGAGAAGTTCCGAGCTTAAAAGACGACGAATGGGAAAAAGATGATTGTGATTCCGCGGCCCTTCCTTCTTCTTCTGATGCTGCTCCTGATCCTGATGCTGCTCCTATTCCTGTTGATGAAGAAGCTGGAGGTATTTTAGATGCCGCATGAGAAGTTTGGACATTAACTCTGGCCGAGGCGCCAGCGCCCGACTTTGCAAGCTTGCGTGCAGTTTTGTTGATAGTTTGTTTTGAAGCAGCTGCACCCATAATCTAAATTGATTGTATATTCAATTCAAGACAGATTCAAAAAAAAAAAAAAATGAAATGAAATGAAATGAAATGAATTAGAAAAGGCCTGGTTGATGTTGGTGGCAATGATTAACTTTTGTAATTTTTTTTATTTATTTATTCAGACCAGTCAGATTTTTTGAATGGCTGGTAAAGTTAAAATAAATTTGTAAATTTTTTTAACTGCAATGTGGTTGGATATGTAATAGTTGATTACAAAAAAAATTAAAAACCCAAACCCTTAAAATTACAAAATCTACAAACTTGCCAATTTTCAAATTATCCAACATTATTTTTTTAATGTTTAAAAAAATAAATTTGTTTTTATTTTATTATTATTATGGATATTATTATTATTATTGTTCTTAGTGAGATATTGAGACAGTGAGTTGTCTCACTGGAATATCCTTTTTTTCTAATACTTGTTATTCATAATATCCGTTTTCTAAGTTTAAACTGCCTGATCTGGATATCTAACGGTGGTGCTCAAAGGTTTGGTTGGTGTCTTTCCAATTGACATTTACTGAAATTTTCCGTAAAAAAACAAGCAAAGGACGGTTATATTAGAAAAAAAAATAAATGAAAATAATAAAAATAAATGAAAATAATAAAAATAAAAATAAAAATAATAATAAAATAATTCAGATCCTTTCATTGAAATACAAAAATAAAATTATGAATGCTTTTTTTTTTTAATTGGCTATCATCAATCTTACTCATTTGATCATTTTAATTGAAATTTTAAAAAAAAGAAAAAAAAAAATTTTTTTTATTTAAAAATCCCACTTGTTTGATATTCCAATTAGCTCCGTTCTCGGTAATAAGCACTGTTTTTAAGTAACGACTCGGTAATACATACGTGCTTTGTGAAAATAAAAACATACACACACACAAGAGATACGATATAGATACTACTATCTCTTAATACTAATATTTGTTCAGGCGGACAAAATAGAAAATAATATAATATAATAAAATAAAATAAAATAATAAAATAAAAAAAGAAAAGATGAATCTTTTCACAAGTGTTTGTATTGAACCAAAATTAGTAGTCTTTCTACTTAACTTCTAACCTCATTTTCATACAAAACTTACAATTATTAAACGCCTGTTTTTCTTGGACTTTTACTTTTTTCGTTTTCGTTTTCGTTTTCATTTTCGTTTTCGTTTTTTCTTGTCTTTTTTTTTAGTGTCTACACTATTATTATTATTATTATTATTATTATTATTATTATTATTATTATTATTATTATTATTATTATTATTATTATTATTATTATTATTATTATTATTATTATTATTATTATTATTATTATAATTATTATTATTATTATTATTATTTTTCATAAAAATATCAAAAAAAGGATTTCATGAGGGCGTTATTGACCTGGGTTAAAATAACTAAGTTGTTTTAAAGAAATTAAGAAAGTAAGAAACAAAAGGCTCTCGCTTTGAAATTGCAACAATATTGAGCTTAGAAAGAAACAAAAAAAAAAAAAACAAGTCTATGGAAACCTAACAAAAAAAAACACGTATATATCTTGAAACCTACAGCTGCTCTAAAGTGATGTCAAGTTTTGATATCGCTCTTATTGTAAATATAAAGACTGTATTGTTATTTAATTGTTGTTGGTGGATTTGGATCTTTGGAACAATTTAAACAAAGGGGAAGGAAATTAATACAATTGTTTTTTTTTTTCAATACCTCTATCTTCCAAAATAACTTCAATATGCATAAATACTTATGCTTATAATTATAATTATACACATTTAGAATTATCATGGCTTCCAAAAAGTTACCTGCCCTCCTTTTGTTCTCTGCTAAAAGATGTTTTATTTAATTTAAAATATACTTAGACAAAAATAGGAAACAAAACAAAAACAAAAAAAAGTGTATCTTAAGCTTAATTGATATTGTGCTGTCATAAAATAATAATGTTGAAAAAAAAAAAAAAAAATTTTTTTTGTAAATAAATAAAGGCTTCCATCAATTGATATTTGGCGTTTTCTTTCAATATTTTTAGGTCAATATTTTTTTTTTTATTCTTCCCTTAAAATAACCACCCTTCTTTAGATCTATTTTTTTTTTCTAAAAAAAAAAGAAAAAAAGAAAACAACAAAAATCCCCGGGTCTTTGTTTTTCCCTCCTTAAAGCCATTTTAAACTAATACCAGATATCAAATGCACTTGGCCAATATGGAATATATGCGCATTTAGTATAAAATCATGACACACGCACATACAGAAACGATCGGCTCTTTTTGTTGACAGTAGAAAACAATTGTTTTTAAACAAACAAGCTTTTTGTGTATGATTATGGAGAGAAAAAAAGATTTGTATGTGAATATGGAGACAAAAAAAATAAAAAAAAAATTCCGTATATTTCACTTCAGTGTATCAAAATCAAAATTAAATTTTCCTTATAAGATTCTTGTTAGATAGTTCATTAGCTCCTTTGAAAGTGTTTGAACATACAAAGAAGAATCATGACTAGTAGAAAACTAGTAGAAAATAAGATTGAAATGATGAAATAGTAGATACTCTCTTTCCAGGCATATTATGTATTATATGTATTTTTTTATTCATGTTGTCTTTTTTTTTAAAAAAAAGAAATCTAAAATAAAGAAATACGAAAGAAAAAGAAAATTCATTCTGTATCACATATATAGTAATTTAATTACTAAGTATCTTTGATATTTATTTCTATTGTCGACTGAATTGATAAAAAATAATATATATTTCCAGGCAACCCAAGAACTCATAATTTCTCTGTTGCAACATCTAAGAACAACCCTTTTAACAAGCGGAAAAAAAAAGAAAGAAAGAAAAAAAAAAACTCAAACTCCTGAATATAAAATATGAAACCAAAAAGTCACAATTATGTTTAAACTATGTATTTTATTGATTCTCACACTCAGGTACCCGTCTTTGCCTATATATTTTTTGTGAGAAGTACTTCATATTCATTTGATTAAATGCTTCTTAATAACGCTATCTTTTTTTTCGTATCAAGTCAAGAGTTCACATTTTGGTTAACAAAAAAATTTAAGGAATTACTCATATTTTCAATTGAAAAAAAAAAACTTGAGCCAACCTTCATTGAATAGGATATTTTAAAAAAAAATAAAAAATGAATTCAACCTAAACACTTACTATTTTACCACAGAAAAATTTTTTTTCATTATTTTCAATTGCAACCTTCAGTTTGGTCTTTGACTCTTGATTCCTAGTAATCTAGCATCAGGACTCATTTTCTCACTGCTGGAAATAGAAACTTTCAAGTTAAATCTAAAAAAAAAAAAATTATTATGAGAACAAACAGTGATATAGCTGGCAGAAAACCAAATAGTGTTAATGCTGATTCTCTATATTTATAATCCTTGAATTAAAAAAAAACAAAAAAAAGAAAAAACAATACTTTCTGGACTAATGAACCCCCTTTTTTTGCTAGCCTCAATTTATATATCATCTTCGGTTCTTACTATTTTTTTTCCTTAATTTCCGCCATTATAACTAAAGTCACTGATTGATATAGGGGGGGATGATGATGTATTTATGGTACAGGCAATGTTTTAAAACAAAATTATATATATATATATATATATATTTCTTAATATTAATATCTTTTTTTAAAAAGAAAAAAAAAAAAGAAAAATGTTGTGAATCCATCCCTAATGATTTAACTCATTTTTTCATTAATATTTCTTTTTATTTTCTCCTTATTTTTTTGGCTCTTTTTTCAAATATTAAATTGATGATTGTAATTGTTTCATTTTTTTTCTTTTTTCTTTTTTTTGATTGATTTCAAACGTTTCGTCTTTCAATGTTTTTTTTTTCTTTTTAATTTGGCTTTTTATTTTCAATGTAGACAATATTATACTTTTTCCGCATCAAAACACGTCATCTTGTTGGTAGATTCCGAGCCTTTAGTTGAGTATATATTGAAGCTATAGATATTAATAGAAGTTATCAGACGTGAACCTCGACTGAAATAGATATAACAATACAAACTGAAGTAGTAGGTCAATGAACCGGACTTAAACACATTGCCATATGGGATAGATTAAGATGGATAGTTGATCGGGTTTTGAAAATATAATGAATAAGAAAACACGCACCGAATGGAATAAAATATATAAATACCCTTTCTCTTCCCCATAGACAAAGCTTCAATATATTGAAGCTTTAGTGAACATTATATAATGTTCACTAGATGTATTCTTCAACCCTAACCGCACTGTGCACTGTATGGGTAAGGTATTGATCCCCGGCGAGAGGTGACCCTAGGGCATTGCGGTGCACAGTCGCTCAGTAGAATGAAACGGAGGGCTAAGTCACACTGATTTCAAGTTCACAACATGCTTTCATTGAGTCGCTACACCTCTAACTTAAATTTACAATAATAAATGAATAAATTGTGTTGTAACTTTTGACGAGCTCATATGTTCAATATATTTTATATGAATTAGTTTAGAAAAAAATAAACAATATTTGTATAATATTTTTTTTTCTTTTTAATCTTAAATTACCTTAACTTGGTTTCAAAGCCTAAAAGATTTCTTCATACTCTAATTGTTTTTACTATAAAAATTTTCGAGTCATATTACAAAACAAACATATAAATTCTCATTCCAGGTTAAAAAAAAACTGATAAAAGTTATTATTCATTCTACCTTCGGATCCAAAGCCTGATTTTAGTTTTCAATCATCCATTATTCCCAGCTTAACGTTGTTGCAACATCCAGAATCATGGTAGTATTGAAACTCTCATCATAGGAACAAAAAAAAAAAAAAAAAAAAGAGAGATGCCTAAAAGCCTTACACTTTAACAAAAAAAAATCGGATGAATTGTAGGCCTCAATTTTTCTCCATTAAAGAAATTAGGGATTTGAAAGACATCTCGGGTGTATATATGAATAGCATCTCTACTGTTAGTTCTGCTTTTGATATTGCTTCTGCATCAGTTTTTGTTACCACTG